TTTACGTTTTTTTATGATGTTTTGGTAAAATGTCATTGTCCTGGTGTAGTCTAGTTAGATAACAAAACATCAGGAAGTCCGGGGACCTTTTGTATCACCAATGTATCAGAAATAAATCATGTGAATGTAGAGTATTGTAGGAACAGCGCCTAGGGTAAATATTTATACAGCTACGACACAACTTAAAGGTAAAATACTCAAAGTTGGGCATACTACAGAGTTGGTCTTGTGACTAATATATCGGTAAGTCAATGAAATTAGTAGTTACTTAATAATATGTTTGCATAGAATTGACACTGTTTGTATTGAGTTAACACTGTTTGTATTCTGTTAACACTGTTTGTATTCTGTTAACACTGTTTGTATTGAGGTAACACTGTATTTAGTTAACACTGTTTGTATTACGTTAACACTGTTTGTATTACGTTAACACTGTTTGTATTGCGTTAACACTGTTTGGATTGTGTAAACACTGTTTGTATTGTGTAAACACTGTTTGTAGTGTGTTAACACTGTTTGTATGGAGGTAACACTGCCTTTGTATTACGTTAACACCGTTTGTATTACGTTAACACTGTTTGTATTCTGTTAACACTGTTTGTATTGTGTTAACACTGTTTGTATTATGTAAACACTGTTTGTATTGAGTTAACACTGTTTGTATTGAGTTAACACTGTTTGTATTGAGGTAACACTGCCTTTGTATTACGTTAACACCGTTTGTATAACGTTAACACTGTATTTTGTTAACAGTGTTTGTATTATGTAAACACTGTTTGTATTGTGTAAACACTGTTTGTATTGTGTTAACACTGTTTGTATTGCGTTAACACTGTTTGTATTGTGTTAACACTGTTTGTATTAAGTTAACACTGTTTGTATTTTGTTAACAGTGTTTGTATTATGTAAACACTGTTTGTATTGTGTAAACACTGTTTGTAGTGTGTTTGTATTATGTTAACACTGTTTGTTTTGAATTTACACTGCCTTTGTATTAGGTTAACACTGTTCGAATTGCGTTAACACTGCATATAGTGGGTTAACACTGCGTTTGAATTGAGTTAACACTGTTTGTATTGAGTCAATAAGCTGTTTGCATTTGGTTACCATTTTCTGTATTGAGATAAAACTGCGTTTGTATTAGGTTTACACCAGTTGTAATGATTTAACACTGTATATATTGGGTTAACACTGCCTTTGTAATGAGTTTACACTGTTTGTATCAAATCAATACTGTGTATTACGTTAACAGTTTGTATTGAGTTAACAATGTGTTTGTATTGAGCTGACACGGTTAGTATTGTGTTATACGAAACAATATGTTTGTATTGAGTTGACATTGTCATTGTATTGAGTTAACAACGTGTTTGTATTGAGCTGACACGGTTAGTATTGAGTTACATGAAACAATATGTTTGTATTGAGTTGACATTATCATTGTATTGAGTTAACAACGTGTTTGTATTGAGCTGACACGGTTAGTATTGTGTTATACGAAACAATATGTTTGTATTGAGTTGACATTGTCATTGTATTGAGTTAACAACGTGTTTGTATTGAGCTGACACGGTTAGTATTGAGTTACATGAAACAATATGTTTGTATTGAGTTAATGATGTATTAGTATTGAGTTGACAGTGTTTAAAATGAGATCTCACTATCTTTGTTGCCAAATTCAAATTTCACATGAGCACATTACTAGATCTGTATCCCTCTGATACAGGAGTGACAGTTTATTTTACAAAGCATTACATATAATGTAATAGTTGTCCAGGGGCGTACTTTTGAATTATATGCCTATGAGTGTAACAGTCATGTTGGTGCAAGGCGAATGTTGTGTTTGTAGAAGGCCGAGTGTTATGTTGGTGGAAGGCCGAGTGTTATGTTGGTGGAAGGCCGAGTGTTATATTGGTGGGTTAAAGGCCGAGTGTTATGTTGGTGGAAGGCCGAGTGTTATATTGGTGTGTTGAAGGCCGCGTGTTATGTTGGTGGAAGGCCGAGTGTTATGTTGGTGGAAAGCCGAGTGTTATGTTGGTGGAAGGCCGAGTGTTATGTTGGTGGAAAGCCGAGTGTTACGTTGGTGGAAGGCCGAGTGTTACGTTGGTGGAAGGCCGAGTGTTACGTTGGTGGAAGGCCGAGTGTTATGTTGGTGGAAGGCCGAGTGTTATGTTGGTGGAAGGCCGAGTGTTATGTTGGTGGAAGGCCGAGTGTTATATTGGTGGGTTGAAGGCCGAGTGTTATGTTGGTGGAAGGCCGAGTGTTATGTTGGTGGAAGGCCGAGTGTTATATTAGTGGGTTGAAGGCCGAGTGTTATGTTGGTGGAAGGCCGAGTGTTATGTTGGTGGAAAGCCGAGTGTTATGTTGGTGGAAGGCCGAGTGTTATGTTGGTGGAAAGCCGAGTGTTATGTTGGTGGAAGGCCGAGTGTTACGTTGGTGGAAGGCCGAGTGTTATGTTGGTGGAAGGCCGAGTGTTATGTTGGTGGAAGGCCGAGTGTTATGTGGTGAGTGTTATGTTGGTGGAAGGCCGAGTGCTATGTTGGTGAAATGTCTTGTGTTATGTTGGTGGAAGGCCGAGTGCTACGTTGGTGAAATGTCTTGTGTTATGTTGGTGAAATGTCTTGTGTTATGTTGGTGAAAGGTTTGTGTTATGAAGGTGAAATGTCTTGTGTTATGTTGGTGGAAGGCCGAGTGTTATGTTGGTGGAAGGCCGGGTGTTATGTTGGTGAAATGTCTTGTGTTATGTTGGTACAAGGTTTGTGTTATGTTGGTGAAATGTCTTGTGTTATGCTGGTGAAAGGTCTTGTGTTATGTTGGTGAAAGGTCTTGTGTTATGTTGGTGGAAGGCCGTGTGTTATGTTGGTACAAGGTTTGTGTTATGCTGGTATAAGGTTTGTGTTATGCTGGTACAAGGTTTGTGTTATGTTGGTGAAATATCTTGTGTTATGCTGGTACAAGCTACATTTTTTGGTAATCTAGTATTATATGGCGGATTAGGTATGTCATTATGGAGCCTTGTCGAACATGTAACGCTGTAAACAACAGACTTCACATCTAGCACGATAACTTTATTTACATTTCTAGATGAAAATGATTCCATTGATAAGCTTGTTATCAGCATCGTCTCCGTGTAAGTACATAGAATTGTTGTTGAGTTGTCATAAAATACAGGTAAGCACCAAATTGTAAACAATAAATCAATTGTTGGGCCACAATATGAAAATAAATCCACCTGATCGAGAACATAACAAAAATAGACGTAAACGTAACCCTAACATCATACAAAGGCTAATTTAATATATTTCTGTAGGACAGACAATGTATTCCGTGTTTCACCAAGTCAAAGGTGTAGGTATGTAAGAAGTTAAGTTGGTTTTTAATTTGATTCAAATAGAGAAGTTTGTTTTCATTATAGCACAACAAAACAACATCCATGGAACTCACACAGAAAAATACAAAATCAAAGTTAATGCAAGATACGTGGCATTTTAAAACGAATAATCTACAATTACACTGCGACACCGGATGCATGAGATCGTATCTTAAAACCAACATTTATAATTTAATAGGATTTTTCTGACTTGTAACAAAAAATTTCAGACCGTGGATTCTATAATAATTTTTAAGCTGACACAATGAAACACTGGATTGGAATACCTCGAGACAGACAGAAAACTTAACACGAATATCGACAATTCTTTTAGGTGCATCATCGAAATCCAAGGATTCCGCTTCGTATACCTGGAGCGAAGCTCTTCAATGTCGGAATACAATAATGAAAGAAGGGTATATTATAGGGCGGATACTTTGAAATACACGTGGAATTACAACACATCACCGTACAAACAGCACAGAAATGGAGATTGTCTTACCGATATAGATCCAGCCTCGTTCTGATCAAGCTATACCAAAGAATAAAGTACTGTATGAATGAAATTGTTTAATAGCAACATCGAAATGGATTTTGAAATGTCAGACAGCAATTCCAGCTTCTCTTTTGAATGTCACACCTCATGTGGAGGTCGATGACAAACGCTGACATTACAATACAATATCGATTACAACAGTGCGAACTTTGATTATCCTGAGCTACGTATCTCCACAGGGGTTGTAACAACACAATAAATGGACTATTACGGATCAGGTCATTCGCCGGTGACCGGGGTAGTCATCTAAAGAACGGTAGTCTAAAGCTCCGCCGTGATGGGTTCGAATCCAGGCCTGTTACAACTGTTTGCTGAGAAGACTAGCTTTTATAATCAAGTATACTCTCTGTGTTGTAAGAAAGCTTGTTCTTTATTTTACATATAATGCGCCGCCGTATTCCTTATATGACATTTACATGACATACCAAGTGATTATTGCTTTACATGGAAATAAACGTCTTTACTTTTTAAAACGCAAAATTGTATTCCGTTGCCATGTCAATACAGAGTGAGCCCGATACGTAACTAAGCTAAATGCTGTGTTATGTTGTCGTAACGACTGTTTCTGTTGATCCACAGACAGTATCCCTGTATGTAACACCGGTCTATCAATATTTCACGTCCCCATTGATCCCGAGATGCACCTATCCTGCCCAAGTAGTTTACCTGATAGCAACTGTTCGCACCTGGCTAAGAAGCTCCATTCTCTACACTCTAGATCCGGTATGACAGGTCCACTGGTAGTAAAACAGTTTACTCTCTTTATGTAATGAATAAATTATCCTCGTTTGTCAGTTTGTAGATAACTATTGACATGCATTTGACTAGTGTTTATGAGTTTGCCTTTGTGTTGCATACTGCATAAGTGACATAAAATTTGAAACGTTTTGGAGTAAAGTGAGAGTGTTTATTATATGTACCAAACTCGTCCGTGAAAAACACAGAAAAATCAAATACTAGTGCACCAATTAGCATTCATTAGAATGTACGTGGTCAGGGAAAATGATCCGGAAAAGTTAAGGTCACGATTCAAGGTTTGGTGTTTCTGGGAAACAATAGACTAAGACACATCTATACATAGTTATACCTTCCTTTTTCTGTTTGTTTGTTTGCTATTTTTTGTTTTGTTTTTTTTTCAATTTTGCGCCACAAAATTATTGAGTTTTCCTCTGTTGTGTAGGTCTATGGTCTAATAAAAAAAATTTGGCACAGTTAAATTTGTGTATTAACCATGGTATTTCAATGAAGAGTTCACAAACTGTCACATAATATTAGTATGATGCAGTCCAGAAAAAGTTTCGAATCATGAAATAAGAGTTAATTTTTAACAATAGTGGTCCTTACGTCACAGATAACCTCGTTCTGAATAAACAGAAAACTACAGGTGCAAATAACAGGTGGAAAATCACGCTATTTTTATCAATATTGACATACACCATTCCTCTATGTTGACTAGATATAAGGGTTAAAGTACAGAACACGTCCATCGATTGTAAATCACCCTCTATCGGGTGTACACCATCCTATTGTACAAAGACAACTTTACGTATACATTTCTAACTTCAGCGTCAGCGATGCCAAAAAATCAGTTCTGTGATTCACCATTTTTCAAAGTCATATTTGCCAATAATAAATCAGGGGCCAGTGGTCATGGTTATTAAGACCCCTTGTTCTAGGGTTTATGTTCAGTGACCATGTTTATAAAGATCCATCGTTACACAGGTCCACGTCCAGTGACCATGGTCATAAAGACACCTCGTTCGACAAAGCCCATGTAAAGTGTAACTGTATCCAATTTACATGTTAAACGTGTACCGTTTTATAGGTCCAGTGTTAGTAAAATACAGCCCCAGTATTGGTTAACCTTATTATATTTAATATACTGCCCCATTATATAGTAAACCTAGTTATATAGACTACACGGTCCCAGTATATATTAAACATAGTAATATAGACTACACATCCAAAAGTATATAGTAAACCTAGTTATATAGACTACACGGTCCCAGTATATATTAAACATAGTAATATAGACTACACATCCCCAGTATATAGTAAACATAGTTATATAGACTATACAGCCCCAGTGTATAGTAAACCAAGTTACATAGACTACACAGCCCCAGTATAGAGTAAACCTAGTTATATAGACTATACAGCCCCAGTATATAGTAAACCTAGTTATATTGAGTACACAGTCCCAGTATATAGTAAACCTAGTTATATAGACTACACATCCCCAGTATATAGTGAACCTAGTTATATAGACTACTCTGCCCCAGTATATAGTAAACCTAGTTATATTGACAACACAGCCCCAGTATATAGTAAACATAGTTATATAGACTATATTGTCCCAGTATATAGTAAACCTAGTTATATAGACTACACAGCCCCAGTATATAGTAAACCTAGTTATATAGACTACACAGACCCAGTATATAGTGAACCTAGTTATATAGACTACTCTGCCCCAGTATATAGTAAACCTAGTTATATTGACAACACAGCCCCAGTATATAGTAAACATAGTTATATAGACTATATTGTCCCAGTATATAGTAAACCTAGTTATATAGACTACACAGCCCCAGTATATAGTAAACCTAGTTATATAGACTACACAGACCCAGTATATATTAAACCTAGTTATATAGACTACACAGACCCAGTATATATTAAACATAGTTATATAGACTATACAGCCCCAGTATATAGTAAACCTAGTTATATAGACTACACAGCCCCAGTATATAGTAAACATAGTTATATAGACTACACAGTCCCAGTGTATAGTAAACCTAGTATTATAGACTATACAGCCCCAGTGTATAGCCAACCTAGCTATATAGACTACTCTGCCCCAGTATATAGTAAACCTAGTTATATAGACAACACAGCCTCAGTATAAAGTAAACCTAGTTATATAGACTACACGGTCCCAGTATATATTAAACCTAGTTATATAGACTACACAGCCCCAGTGTATAGTAAACCTAGTAATATAGACTATACAGCCCCAGTGTATAGTAAACCTAGTTATATAGACTACACAGCCCCAGTATATAGTAAACTATAGTAAACCTAGTTATATAGACTACACAGCCCCAGTATATAGTAAACTATAGTAAACCTAGTTATATAGACTACACAGCCCCAGTATATAGTAAACTATAGTAAACCTAGTTATATAGACTACACAGCCCCAGTATATAGTAAACTATAGTAAACCTAGTTATATAGACTTCACAGCCCCAGTATATAGTAAACTATAGTAAACCTAGTTATATAGACTACACAGCCCCAGTATATAGTAAACTATAGTAATTCTAGTTATATAGACTATACAGCCCCAGTATATAGTAAACATAGTTATATAGACTACACAGCCCCAGTGTATAGTAAACCTAGTTATATAGACTATACAGCCCCAGTATATAGTAAACCTAGTTATATAGATAATACTGTCCCAGTATATGGTAAACATAGTTATATAGACGACACAGTCCCAGTATATAGTAAACCTAGTTTCATAGACTACATAGCCCCAGTATATAGTAAACCTAGTTGTATAGACTATACAGACCCAGTATATACTTAACCTAGTTACATAGACTACACAGCCCCAGTATATAGTAAACCTAGTTTCATAGACTATACAGACCCAGTATATACTTAACCTAGTTACATAGACTACACAGCCCCAGTATATAGTAAACCTAGTTATATAGACTACACAGACCCAGTATATAGTAAACCTTGTTATATAGACTATACAGCCCCAGTGTATAGTAAACCTAGTTATATAGACTACACAGACCAAGTATATAGTAAACCTTGTTATATAGACTATACAGCCCCAGTGTATAGTAAACCTAGTTATATAGACTACACAGCCCCAGTATATAGTAAACTATAGTAAACCTAGTTATATAGACTACACAGCCCCAGTATATAGTAAACCTAGTTATATAGACTACACAGTCCCAGTATATAGTAAACCTAGTTATATAGACTATAATGCCCCAGTGTATAGTAAACCTAGTTATATATACTACACAGTCCCAGTATATAGTAAACCTAGTTATATAGACTATACAGCTCCAGTGTATAGTAAACCTAGTTATATAGACGACACAGCCCCTGTGTTAGTAAACTTTGTTATAGAGACTATACACCCCCAGTGGAGGAGGTCTAACCCCAGTTTAATAACCCGAGTTAAATCTTAACTTCCTTTCATATTAACCACTTATTGACCACTTGTAGTTAATGATAAAATTATCCTGAACAACACCCAACATAGTGATGGTATACAAGATGATCCAAATGTCACTTAATCTGGAAATTATTCTATAAGAAATTATGCGAAATGAACTTGTCAAACACTATCTTTTATCGAGATAATTGTAAGTCTTTTCTCCGATTTGAGTCTCGTGGTAAAAGATGACTTAACTATTGAGGTAAACGTAATGAATTCGAGGTCAGCGAAGGCGACATAAATTCGAGAAAAATGATGTCGTATATACAGTTCGATATAAACAATGGTAAGACCCGTCGAGATACGTATCTGGTAGTTACCTTGGTGTTCAGACAGATGACAGATTGTCCGGTAATGTAAGTCATCTGTCGCAACCAGATTTGTACTTCACTATATAAAGTCGGAATAATTAATATAATAGATACTAATTTGTCTACAGATATATGTGTGAATGCCATATAAAATGTAAAAAGCTGTGTAAGACATCATTGGTAAATTGACGACTTAATATTTGTAGCGCGTTCCGACCGGTTTATGTGTACAATGTATTTGACTAAATACATGAGGTAATATGACACAAGTCCCTGCATTATAGCCGTGACCCTTGGTGAAGACAGAGATCGTGTAATATGTACTTCCTCTTATAACATACCAACAAGTTATTCGTACGTAATCAAAACTACAGAACAAATAAAACAAGTATGATATATCGATTACATGGATAAAACGATTAACGTACCAAGACTCAGGTATATATTTTTCATCGAAAATAAATATTAAATGAGGCGACTTGTGTCAGTGGCGTTAGTATGGAGGTATGGCCTTAAGCCTAGAGAAGTTTAACATGAATTACCTGATTGTTTCCGTCATGGTTTAAGAAAGTGGCGATGCCTGCCTTTACCCTGTTTTTCAAGCCTCGAACACTGCCCCTCCGACTCACTATAGGTCTCTCCTTAATGGACCCAGGACTTAACACATCCCTCCGGCCCGCGAATGTAGTGTCCTCTTTGGACGTATTTTGATTTTCGTCCACATTGAACTCGGGATCTCTGACGGTCAGAGCCCTTGCTTGATCCGACAAGTCCCGGTCACTTAGACTATGAACCACACATTCACTAGGCCCTAGTTTAGTCAGCTTTTTGTCTAAATTCTTCCAGTCCAGTTCCGCGGTGCTTGGTCTCTGTTCAATCTTAATGTATCTCACTCTCTGATACCCCTTTCTTTTATCCACCTGTTCTATTTTAGTGTTAGAATCACCAGTCGTCCTCTCCCTCGGGTCCACCGTATCCTCATCGCTAGCTTCCCCAGGGTCCACATCACTAGAGGCACTATCAATACACTCCTCCAGCTTCACGTCCCCATTAGTGTAGTGATAGCTAGAGTCCGCCCCCTCCGGCATGGCCATCCACACAGGTAAGTCAAAGGTAGCCCAGTCTCCTCAGCCGACTGGGTGTGGCCTGTATAACGGAATACCCAGGGTAGCGTATCACTCTCACATACATATAGATACGCACGCTCCAGCAGACGGCCTCAGGTATAAACATCAGCTGGATATCTAACACTGGTAAAAGATTTACCTGTGATCACGTGACAGACGGACGTCACTCACCGTTACAAAGTATATATGTATACAATGCAGTCGGGAATGTCAGGCCGAGTAAGAGGCACGTGGTGAAATACCTGGCTCCGGATGAGGAAGCTGGGGATCGATACGACCGCTATTGTATCTACACACGGCACAGCTGTATAATAAACAACATCATTGTGAAACGGTGGGCGGCTCGTCACACTGAGCCTTATGTGCAATAGGAGGATATGATATGTCACTACGTTATCTCGCAATATTTTGTGATCATAGATAAAAGAAGTGAATTGACAAGGGTTTAACTTTCAACTGCAATACATCAAATCCATTTGCATGATAAATAAAGTAAATGTGTAGATGATGTATGTAAAACATCTTCGTCAGCAGTACTTATACTAATGTCATTCATTATTCACACTTCTCACTTATAGATAAGGCTTATACAGTACTAACTATAATTGGTTCCGTTCGTCCGTACAGCACTGAATATACAACAAAGACAATACCAATATGTCAGCAGAAACATAATCCAAACTCAGATAAAATAAAACAAGGGTAAAATATGAATAAAAGAAAGATTTACAAGGAGGCTCCTGAAAGGATACAAAGAGAATAAGATCATGTTCCGGAAGAGGAACACGGAAAAACCACAACGGAACCAACAGGTACACTAACGAACGACAAACACGTCGAACTTGATGTCGCATAAGGAAAAAGAATGAAATCATCATAACCTTTCCACCTGTGTAGTCAATTTCTCTGTCAGTTGCTCACGTCTTGCATGAAAATCGTGATATTGTTAGCAAGCTCTTGAATATCGAATCATCTGCAATGTGTAAAAACCGTAGGTTAGGGATGCATGGATGTTGCTCTCAAGAAAGAACTTGTGCACCAAATATTTCATGAATTATTCAACTTATTTAGGTTATATTAACAATATAGCATTATGCCATCAAGTTACACAACTGTGCAACAACGATCTCGTTGGGTCGCTTTTGAATTTATTTATACGTTGTAATACATTTTCAAAATCCAAGCGACATTAACCACATCCGATTACCAGAGGTGTATTTTTGGTCGAAAGGTCTCCATGAAGGACGATTTTTATCAGCTGGACGGTTACTGTCGCCGGACAAACACATTAATCTCACTTCAGTACAAAGTGGATGGATTCATCAACTACACACATCTCCCGGTAACTCGGACAAACATCAAAACTAGCAGATAAACAGACTTTCTAGAATTGGCGGGATAATAACCGCGACCTAGTAAAGACGTAAGAGATTTTGTCCTTATTTCTGATGGGCGTATCGCATCATGAATTCTCAATACAGGGTGTATCACTGAGACGTTTCGGACGCATCCTCGATACCTCACTTTCGCTCTCTGCACCCCTACGGAACATGTCTTGGCAAAACTGAAGGTTCCATGTGCGACACCTTGTGGACAACACGATAAGAATACTTTCATATTACATCAAACGAACGTCGTAATTGCATAACTGTATGTTGTAATAGCTTTAAAGTTGGGTGTCGATCCTTTGTAATCTTCATGAGGAGCGTATCAACCACGATTGGTCAGTTTTGTTCTCCTTGGACCAATAAAATTACTCCGCTTGTGCCTTCAGTTTTGCCATGACATGTTCCCGAGATGCAGAGGGCGAAAGTGATCGTAACCCCTGAGCATCGATGGTGTTTCGACCAAAGAGTATGACTGCAATTCACTACGCTGATATTACGACCCGAGTTGTAACAACTCGCGGATCATCCTATTAGTAAGACAATTTACTCAAGTCGAGTCAAGAAAATAGATGTTTTTAATAAGAACACGTTAACATGTCAACCAAAATAAAAGTTGAAATAAAATGCTTAATCACATCAACAATTCAAATATTTGGGTGACAGGCAGCCACAAAAATAGATGTTAAATATTATCTGTCAGCATGACAATCAGTAAGTAAGTCGACGGTGTCAATGACGTAATCCGGTTCAATTAATTAAGCTAGACTGGTGTTAGATCATTTTATGGTAATATTTTCAGTCTCTGTTTTATAGGAAAGTCTGTCCTTTATTTTCGTTGGTAGTGGTAAGTTTGAAATTGTGCAGAATTTCAGTTTTTTGGATATGAAATGTTGTCTGATGGACAGCATACAAAACTGAACCAGCGTCCGAGGTACTAGAGCAAGTGCGTTCACGCGAGTTTGAACACTGTTCTTCAATCTTGTGCCCTCCATTTCATCGTCGTCATAGGAATCTGAATCTGAACCGGAATCTTGTGAATCGCTCAGTGCTTCATCATCAACGTCACCAACCAAATCTGAATGTACAAAACAATCATTATCGAGAAAAAAGTTTGCAACTAAAGTATGTTCCTCGCTGTCACACTCTAGTGCCATTGCCAATGCAGACTGTCCATTGTCCGAAACAAGGTCAATGTCTGCACCAGACAAAAGCAGCATATTGGCCATAGCTACGTCACCATTTAAAGCACATTGATGAAGAGGCGCAAGCCCGCGGGACTTCGCGTTAACATTGGCACCATGAGTTATCAGAGCGTCAAGAAGAATAGTGTTTTGTTCAAGAATAGCGGTATGGATGGGTGTGCAGACACCATCTGCATTTTGGCACTCAGAATTATCGACATTACATCCGTTATTTATTAGAAAGCTGACGAGTTCGTCAATTTCTTTGACCGATATCAAAGACGCTAATGAATGCAAGAGATTTCTGCTTTTGATATCTAATACCTGGAAGTCCTGTGATTTACACTCCTTCATGAAGTACCAGGCTACTTCTAAAGAGCCGTTGGTAAGTGCCACAAACAGGGGTGCTTCACTTTGATTAATGTTGTTGACGTCTGCACCATGTTTTACTAGAAACTCTGCAAGTTTGACAGAGTTTTTTTTCGCTGCATATTGCAATGGCGTTACAGGACGACTACCGAACGTCGCCGTCATTAACTTTCCTCCTAGTTCCGTATCAGCACCGGCATTGATCAAATGTTCAGCCATATCGATATCTAGAATACCATCAATGTAGAAAGTGCATGCGCGCAGAAGTGGCGGGAGGTTATTTGCAAATTTTAGCGCATTTTTGTCTGGGTTGGGATAAGCTCCACAACGGAGTAAGAATTTGACCATATCAACATGCCTGCCCATTACAGCGTATTCTATCGGTGTAACACTACAGCTAGAATATTTCTTCGGTAGATTTACAAAATCTTTGACAGGTTTTCTTGCACTTGACGGAATAATAATGTCATCGACATTTCCGGAATGCGGATTTATCCACTCGGACAGCAATAACAAAAACACGGTCACATCACCCGCTTGTGCTGCCAAATGTACGGGAGCCAATCCCATTTCATTGAAATGACAGTTAACACCGGATTTAACCAGTTGTCTGACTACTTCTAGATGACCCCCTTTCACCGCCAGATGAAGGGCGGTGTTGTCGTAAGCATTCTTGACCAACGTATTGCAGCCAGCCTGTATCATCCATTTAACCACGTCAGCGATACCTTTTTCGGCAGCATAGCAGAAAGCTGGCGTCTTTGTGAGAGGGTCTGCTTTATCGAGGTTACATTTAGGGTGGTAGATGAGTGTCCTGGCTATGTCCAAACACCCTTTCCTTATTGCTAAGTGAAGAGGTGGCTCGCGGTCCCAGTCCTCTATGTTAACCCCACTACCGCTCTCGATCAACAGCAATGCGATGGAAGATTGCTTGGCGCCAATAGCGGCACAAAGCGCCGTACCCCGCATTCCAAGTAGATGGTCGACATCGGCACCTTCCGATATTAAAGAACGTACCACGTCTTCATCACCACCGATAATGGCTTTATTCAGAATGTCCGCTTTAGCCATGCTCTTCTTGGTGCAACATGCTACCTTGGCTAACTTTCTCTGAAACCGAAAGATTGTCGTGATGTCATGAACAGGCAACGGGGAGACAGGAACAGAAAACTGAAAAGTTGGCCTACAAATGTAGGACATGAGTCTCTTTTATATAACAAATAATTTAAGAGCTATAATGAGTTAATATTAATTTTAAGTGACTTGCCAACGAACCCGTGAATCCACATAATTTTAAAGCCAACCATATGATTAAAGGGGAGCAACTCTTTTATATTTTTTCCTATAAAATGTATGGATAATCGTTAATGCACTTAATATACATATATTGCGAGTCCTGGATGAAATGATGTTTTGCAAATGTAGAAATTTCAAACAATGACTCGTTATGAATGACTCTTTGTTAGAAAATCTATTGACATTTTTGATTATTTACAATACTCTCTGAACCAGTGCTACGATGAAACTTAGGTCTAATTCCATGATTCGCAAATATCTTTGATTCCATGGCTTGTTTGAAGCATCGTGTATAACAATTAAACTACAACTGAAATGACGATCAGTGAATGTGGGTATAAACATACGTGAAATGATTTGCGCATGCTGACCTTCGTCAATGTTTACATGCCTCCAGGAAGCACCTGGTGGTGGAACTCTTTCTTGTGGAGTTACGAAAATCCACCGGGAAAAACATCAAAGAGCGGCATACCCCGACTCGACTCAGTGGGTGTAGGCCTACATTACAATTTAAGGTACTGACAACAGGTCTATTTAATGAAATTAAACTGTGACAGATTAATCAGTGATTAACAGGTTAACGATACTGTATCTGAGAAATTTAAATGTGATAATTACGTTGCTTGGGAACACCTTTGGATTTCGCATTGGAGTTCTAGTGCATCCTCTCGCATCCAAAGATGTTTGCAACCTTTTAACTGTCATCCAAAATCTATAAAATTGCTGGGTTGGTAGTATAATCATACCACTTAAACGCACTCCCCTAGGAAACTTGACTTGTAAGATTGCTTGTTTTGCCCTACGATGCCTGTGGTTTGCCATCCCAATTATTTTTCACAACACCATGGCACTTTCAGGGGTTAATAGGTTAACCTAATGTTTTAAATGCATTGAGCATTCTTTATATTGCTTTTTCATAAACGCAATTTATATGAAATAGATTTATATTGTTTATTCAGTTCTTTTCAACATTTAAAATGTTCAATTTTAGTTTGAAGTGGGAGGTGGGGGTGCTGTGGTGCAGCAGAAGTTTTAGATTACTAAACATGTATTTTTCTCTTGAGAGTTGATGTATTAATTTGAATGATAATGCCATACTGATTGAATGATTTAAATGTTGAGAAATATTTAGCAGATTGAACTTTAAAGATTTTTTTTTCAGATTTTCAATGAAGCTGAAAATATCAATGACTGCCTTAAGAGTTTAGAAGATGGCAGACACTGGAATCACCCTTCCTTGACATAAAACCTTCATAACAGGATAGGAAGCTAATTAGATGTTTCCAACCCTGCAAGCTGATTTGGACATTGTAAACAGAAAGGCAGAAGTGATGATGATGAGAAGAAAACAAAGAAATCAATGTCTTAAGTACATTTTGGCATCAATTGTTATCTTTATTCTTCTTCAAACAAATATTAAAAAATCCATTTCGGCATACTTTTCAAAATCTTTTCCCAATACAGAGAAGGCAGCATGGCATCATAATAGTATCATCCGTAAAGTTGTTGAGGATTTTGATTTTCTGGAAGATAAACAATCAGTTGCTGAAACAGCAGAGGAATGCCTGATTCCTCATCTGAGATATCGTCAAAACCCAACAGGTACAAACAGAAGCAGGGAAAAGGTGGCTTGCTCCCGTATAACTCCTGTGGCTGGCTCATGTACCATAGCTAGGGAGATGTTTTTGGAATCTCGTACACTAGAGTGTGATTCTAGACAGTCAAAATTATGTATAATACAGGTAAATAATTCAATTATCTAGTGAAACATACAAATAAATATGTATTTCCTTGTCATACCTCACTATGGATGTGACATTAAGCGATTAAAGCCTTTTCTGCTATATCATGGAGCTATGTGCAAGGTCTTATCAATAGATATAACATGTAACCAAAGGCAATGAAAATAGATATAGGTCACTGTGACTTATGTTGGAGTACAGTTCTCCAGATGTAATTATCTATAATTAATGTCCATAAAACTTAACAAAGTCCATCCTCTGTGAGCATGCTCTTGGTAATAGTGTATCTATGTTCTGTTACAGTCTGTCACTCATCATAAGTCTTATATGTATTTAATTGTGAACTATATCCATGTGTTACATTCACGAAGAGAAGATGGCATTAGGAAAACAGAAACAAGAGCAATAGTACAGCATTGTATGATCATACCAGAATTTAGCCTACTGTCATCCCAAACATTATACTTTTGTCACCATGAAAAAAATTAACAAGCAGTAACAATAACTTGAAATAAAAGAGTTGAATTCTTTGTTACAGGGTTCTGGGCCTTACATCAAAGTTGAGTGTGATATTGAATTATGTGCCTTGCCAGTTGTTGTTGGGACAATCCAACCAGACACAGGAGAGTTACTTTGGCAAAATTTTCGGGATTCATTGTCTCTTCAGCAACACCTCACTAAAATGGTGGATCCTTCCAACTCAAAACAACATTATGGCTTCTGTTTCCTAAAATGTTTGAAGAAGGCATATGAAGATTACATGTATGATGTTATAGGGAAATACAACAAAGATGATGGAATTCCGATGTACGATGATATTCACTCTGTATATTATATGTCTCAAATGATGGTTCTACCACCAGTAATTAAAAATATAAAGAAAAGAAAGAAGAATTCATTGTTTAACATCAACATTATTTTCATAGATTCTGTGTCACGTCATCACTTTTTTAGGACCTTACCAGAGACAGTCAAGGTTATGGAATCCATCAACCGTGACAACATTAAAGAAAATCACAGTCCAATGGTTTTGGACTTTGAGCTTGTGCAGAGTATGAGATCAAGAACATTTGAATCCTTACAAGCCTTGTTTTCTGGCTATGTTGATCCTTCAGAGAAACCGTTTGGTGTTTTAGATATGCCTCCGGTATCTCTCTCTACTGAATCTCTGTTTGATCCCTTTAAGTCACTGGGTTACCACACACTGTGGCTGGAAGACCTTTGCTGGGAGTGGGAGTGGGGAATATCTAAGGATTTACGTGCTTTTGAAAAGTCATATACCAAGAAGAAAATATGGGAAGACCTAAATGCAGCTCTAGAGAAGGCTGGTATAGATGGGCTGGATACCACATTGTCAAGCTGTGAAATATTCCGTGTCAATAATATTAATGATCACTTTCATGGACCAGACACAGTGTGTTATGGTGGTCAGTTTCAGCACCAGTTCGCCTTTGACTATCTCAGCCTTTACCAATCTCATATGACTGACCTCCAACAGCGTTTCATCACTTTCTTTCAGACCAATGTTGGTCATGAGGACACTGGACGTAGAATTAAAACACTTGATAAGTCACTCGCCAGTTATCTAAAGTTTGCTGCAACACAGAATGATACAATGACCATCCTGTTTTCTGACCATGGAAATTCATATGGCAGTTTCCTGGACAAGAGTTTGGAGGGTCGTGTAGAGATGTTCCACCCATTTCTGATGATGGTGCTTCCACAGAGTGTCCGGAACAAACTCGGTCCTGATAAGTCAAGCTCTCTTATATCTAATCAGGATAAACTGATCAGTCTGTTGGACCTACATCACATGTTAAATCACATAGCGGAGATGGGTCAAACATCTCACTCCTTTAATACCTCAAATTACCACAGAAAATCACTCTCTTCCAGCAAGAAACCATTCCTTCCTTTGTCTTCTTATGTTAAAATCAAAGAACAGTTCCATGTACCTGAATATGGTTTGTTGTCCAGGATTTCCCCTTCACGGACTTGTGACCAGATGCCCAGGATAATGCCTAACCTCTGTATTTGTGAAGGTTATGAGAATACAGTAAAGAATGACTCCTATTATGTTATGTTTGCACACTTTGCTCTAAGTAAGCTTAACTCTGTTATCCATTCTCAGTACAGGAAAGGCAATCCAAAATCCAGCTCTTCATTCGGGAGATGTCAACGTCTTGTACTCCACAGCTTTGGAAATGTAAAAGCTAATTTTCGAAAGGTAATTAAATTGGATACAATAGTTAAAGGTGTGGTTTAATGGGATTCTTACTGAGATAAAATGTGATCATTCTGGTATAGCTTTGTGGTTATAGATACATCTTTATGATAATTGTTGTCTTTAAATTTCATATTTTATCTTGTAACTTTAAGGAAAAGTGTTGATATTCACTTAAAGCTTACTATTTATTTACTGTGATTACTTTACAGAACCACACAGTTTACATAACTATGGAGCTGTCTGTCCAGCTGACCAGCAATAGACCATCAGAGGTGTTCTTCGTAGCACTGAGATATTCCGTAGGGAGACCAGGGTCTTTAGAGCTGACAAGATTTGACCGTATCACTCCATACAGCGGTTTTAAGATCTGTGCTGACCCAGGCCTTGACCTCAATCTATGTGTGTGTTACCTTCAATCAGGTATAACAGATCAGCTTTTTACCACCAAAAGTATCCCTCAAAAAGCTCTGCTTTCAAAATTAAAGGTAGACTTTGTGGACAAATCGGTCAGTTGTCTTCTACTGTTGACCACTGATAATGACCATGGTGTGGTACTAGAGGCTTTCAACACATGTCCGAGACAATCTGTTAAGATCCAGATACGGATGTTTACTGCAAATCTCATTTTGTCCACATCATCAAATCAAGTGGCAGCCATTTTGGAACCATTTGATGTTAAAGTAATGGTGGCTGCGATGCAAATTAATTCGAGGAAGAATATCTCTTGGAGATACAGTATATCTTTGTTTTTGGTGTGACCATGTAAAGTTTTAAATAGATGATTTTGTTATATATTTTGATATACCATGTGTGTGTGTGAGACAGACATCTATAATGGAGAGCCTCTTGTCACTTTGTTAATTGTGAAGATTTAAAAGGCTTTCTAATTCGAACTCTTATAGTCTCACTTTTTTATTTTTCTCTTTTATTCTTTTATATCCTAGAAATCATGATGTCAGAACTTGTTTCTGTCATGTTAGTGAGCCTCCTGTAATTCTATACCATCAGATTTTCCAAGTTGGTATCATACTTACCAGGTAGATCTGGACATGTATATTCATTACTTGGATTCACAGACATCTCGAATCCTAATCAGATTCGCATTATTTGTTTGAATTGTAAAATAATTCAATATTTAAACAGTAATTTGTTACTCAATGTGTATACGTAAAGTCTGTTAAACTTATTTCTGTGTCATCCAAATCTTTTAGTTCAAAGTTCATAGTACATTGCAAAATTTTATAGAAGAAATGTAAATGTAAGTTAGAGTTTGAAATGGAGACCATAATGAATCTCTTTGTCAGTCACAAACTGATACTGTGTCCTTACCAAGTAGAACACAAATTACTTTCATGATTCATGTTATTGTGCCATATTGATTGTTTTTGCCTTGCCAATTTATTTACATGTTTGCTTTATCACATTTTTGTTGGTGAAATATATATGGAATTTATCAATTTTATAAACACTTATACCATTGCTGCCATGATGATATAAGAGTTTTTTATGTCATCACCAGTGATGGTACAACTATTTCAGTGATGATGTTTAAAATGTATATGACTTAGGTACTTTCATCCAATCAGAGCAGTGCATTATATTTGTTGCTGTCACATTCCTGTTTTCCTGTTTGGACCAATATGAGACGCAGGTGGAATAAGTTGGTTTCCCTGCAAATACTTCCAATATCCGCTTTTGTTTTTCTCAACTTTGGTATTTAATGATATTTTTGGAAGCCATTCCTCACCTGATAACCACATAACATGGTAGATTGAAGAATTTGAGCACAAAGACATACATTGTGTATTTTTTCATTTTTGTTTTCATTATCAGAGATTATTTCAGAAAAAAGATGTTTTAAAAATTTTGAAATTTCACAGATACTATTTTATATGTAGATGATAGATTTTTGTTAAGTTCCTGAAATCAAGGTTAATTGTTCAATAGATCAGGGTATATATGTATGGCATTTAAGCACTTTGCTGAATCTGATCTATGAGTGTGTTCTACATGTAGATCAGCTATTACATTCCATTTTCATATGTTTATAACTGTATTGATTTTTTTTAATATTTTAGTTGAGAGATATTTTGTGGAGTTGCTGTGTAAGTGTTATTTAATTATTGTTATGAAATTATGTTGTAGAGCATCTGTTGATAAATGTTTAAAATTTTTATTTTTATAAGCTCAGTGTTAATAAGACTTAACAACGGTTTCAATGTCATTGCTGTCACAATACAAAATTTCTTATACTATCAATTAAATTTACAATTATCCATGTTGAAATCTTGCTCAACTGTGAATGTTAACAACTGTACTTAGGATTGGCTTGTTGAAACTAAAACATTCCAGTCTTTTATTAAATGATCTATACTGGTTTTAGTTCCATTATAGATAGACATTTATAGGGTATTTTACTAACATCATTCCACTGAGAAAAAAGGTGTTCTTGTTTGATCCATGTGTATAGGCTGTATTTATGTTACCAATTCACCACAAAAACTACTGCTGCCGAATATTTGTTTACATTTACCATGGTGTGTAACTGAGGTTGTACGTAAATATTATGAAATACATGTAGCCTTAACTATTAAGTCATTTTATAGTAGAGACTTTCAATATTGTAAACTATTGATACATTTTACTGTTGAAATCTAACAACTCCTAAGGCCCATAAATGTTCATTGCAAACACTTGTTACCTGTTCATATACTGTTATACTCAGTATTTCAGTGGAACTTACTTTATACAGATTTAAGTTATGACCTGCCTTGTAATGGCTTTTATTGTCTATATAAATGAAGGGTTTACAGGCAAACATATAGTAATCTGCAAAGCTGTCATTTATGTTGGCTATGAATGCAGTGATATTGAAAGTACATGTTTACTGATGTTTAAATATTCTACTAATTTTGTCTTTTTATGCTGGTTCTACAAAGATTTACACAAAAATAATTCAATAGGGATGGTGTTCATTAGATGGAACAGCTGTTTCTGGTTTACTGTTGATCACTGTGTATCAATAGTTACATCATAATGGACATGTGAGTGATGTCATTAATACTTGTATAAAAACATATTATTGTCAGTAAATTTATGTAGTGGATTGGCTATGTATATGCAAATATAGCAAGTTAACTGTAAATTATCAAGCCCTTTTTAGTAGGTACTTTTGTACCATTATATCAGGGTAAGGGGAGACTACTCCATGGTGGAGTGATTTTGTTATCAGGGTTGTTGTGTGGCAACATTGGTGATATCTTATCCATTGGTTAGAATTATACTGAATTCCTGTTGGTGTCCGCTGGTGTTTTCTATTGATTTTGTATTATAACTATGTATTGTTATATTTTTGTATATTGTATTGTTGTACAAAGGTTTTTAATGTTTGTTAAGTACATGTACTGGTGTATTTTTGTTTCATTTTGTTCTGTTTATTTGAAAGGATTGCTATTTTTATATATGTGGTACTGTGTGATGATAATTTTTTTACTATTGTGTTTATAGATATAACAGGATGGTTTGCTTACAACATTTCAATATAAAACACAGATTTGCACAAGAAAAAATAAATTAATTAAACAACTCAACCCATATCACATTATCACAGGTCACAAATGACATATCAAAACTTTTGACAATCAAACTGTTTAAACTGTCATGCTTGGTAGCGCTTGACCGTACTGCTGGAGGGGACTATTGGTATGTTATCTTTCTGTTGGCCCATTTGTCACTACCTCTGTTCATACACACGTCAAAGATTCTGACAGCTCGTATTTTGGTATGACATTGTCCATTGTATGACTTTATTAGTCAGGAGATCCCCTCCCACAGTTGTCGACCAATCTTTCTCAAAACACTACGACACAAAGATGTGTTTTCCTGAAAGGCAGTTTGATTTTAAGATATTCATACTGTTGAACTTCGCCAAATCTCTCTCTTTCTTTTACCGATATCTTTCAAACTTGGTAGACTTAATAACCAAGTCATGGAGTTGTGTTTCACAGAACAGCACGACGATTCAAATTTATCTGTTAGAGTTATTTCCCCTTATGATTTTCAACAAGTTAAGCATGATTGGAGATCTCTCTCGGTTTTAAACTGATTTGTTTTAAGCTTGGTGGGCTTAATCACCATAACATGAAGTTTTATTTACTGAATGGCAGTTTGGTTCTACTGTATTTGGAAATGTAAATGAGCCTTGCTATTTCATAATATTAATCATAAGCCGAGATCTCTTTCAGTTTTCAACCTATTTCTTGGTAAGCTTTTTAAATGTCCAGAGATTTATTAAGCTTTCTGCAATCTCCCTAAGTCTTGGAGTGCTTTAATTAGGGCTTATTTTTTTTAGACCTCCTAATCTTTTGATTGGTAGAGAAGATATTCACAGTTTGTCAAGAATAAGAACGAGCAGGGATTGAAGGTTTCATTTAAGTGTTTCAAAGTTAGGTCAAAATCCGATATGGCCACCATGATTTCATTTGTCAAAATCTTGAAGGGGCCATGACCATTTTTTATACAGCATTCCTACAATAATATGATTTGTGGATAAACTGCCTGGCTAACTTTTTGTCTCAATATATTTCTAAATTTTTCATTTTCTACTTCTTGTGGAAGAAATGTTGCACTATAAGATGTAAATCCAATGAATTTGATGTTTTTAGTTTCTGTACTATTTATCATTAAGGGTGTACCCCATTTTGAATTTTTGCTTTGATCTTTGATAAAAACTGCTTTTCATCAATGTCAAAGAAGAAAGTGTCTTTTTTGACATGATACAAAGTTTTCCTCAGATGTTCTACCACAAGTAGTAAGTAACCTGTTTGACCTGTAGAATTCAGCTTTGGATATGTTTAGTAAATTAATCAAGTTCCATCTGTGAGATTCAGTTGAAACTTGCCAGAAATAATCTCGAGATAGTCCTGAAGAAGTGTTTTTATTTTTTTATTGGTCCAAAATCCAGCATCCAGCTTCCAGCAGGATCCAAAATTCAAAGTTGTTATTTCGGGTATCAAACTTTGATAAACACCTTCTGAAGTTCCTCTGGTGGAGTTCAGCAGAAATTTGGCTGAAATGATCTTTAAGTTAGTGCCTATCAACTGTTGTTACGAAAAGTAACTTCAGTTTTCTTGTAGGGATCTAAATTCAAAGTGTTATTCTTCTCAAGTTTCAACAATGAGATTCAGCTGTAACAATTTACAAGTGTTGTTAATGATTGGAGTTGTCCAAAATCCAACACAGGGTCCCTTAGTTACCTAAGTTCAAAAGTGTTATTTTCAGTAGCAAACTTTTTAAATCTTCTTAGTTCTATCAGGTCTAGAGTCTTGATATTTCATGTGTGAGATGCCTAGGTGATTGGGTATTTAAGTTGTGAAAATGAATGACCTTGATGTACTCTCAAAGTCATAGGGGTCAAATGTCTTCAAATCTTTTAACAACTCTTGCATAATAACCAGGAAATCCAGAGCAGTGATATTTAATCAGGATAAACAAACCAAACAAGTTTAAATTGTTACATAGCCAAAGAATTCACCTATAAGTGAAAAATTCTGTCAAAATTGTGTATGACATTTTCTAGTTTAATATCAAAATATATAGCACTTTTTTCCTTTTGACATTTTGACTCATAATTACCATTTCCATATTTGTTTTCTTTTTATACAATAAATCTTACATGTCTCTTCAGCATGGCTGGGACATGAGTATATTGTTCCAACAAGCAGTAGTCTTGTTAATAGGTCTTTAATATTAGAGTGTCGCATACTAAGATCAGGTCTCAGAATTACCATACACATTGTGTAGAGATATGGCCCTTTTGCTCACCATGGCATCACACTGTCTACAGCATGTAACTTTGTCACCTATAGGTGCAAAATTGTATCTGTGAACCAAAAACTGGAACCTTTGCTCCTGTGCAGCCTTGCACACTTAAATGTGTGATGAAGAGGTTCTGGTGGTGGTACATGTAACATGACAATAATTTAATACTCATAGGTTTATTTAATGATCTAGATCAGATGAAATCTTGTTTTTCTTGATTATAAATAAACTTATTACAGTAGATTATACATCAGATATTAGAAATTAAAAATAGGTTGTGAAGTAAACATGCATTTATAAGAAACAAATGAATCTTGGCATTTATCTGATTGCATTTTTAGAATTGCTTGATGGTTGAATATTTTAAGCTGATTGCTGGTGTAGTCTGAATGTTTAATGGACTGTATGAATTGAACAATTATTTGGAAAAAGAGAACTACCCGGTAAACTTATTTGTTTGCATATTTCATGACTTTTGTTGTTTTTGTAGTTGTCATCTCAAATGCCTCTGAACACAATCCAAAACTCACTAAACCATTTGGATTGTAGAATAGTTTTTAAAAACACTTTTCAATTTGTTGAAATTCAGGAGAAAAAGAGAGAAATCTTTGACATTTAATAATTGATAGCCATTCCTCAATTAGAAAGAAGTTTTATTCTTGTGTGATGGAAATGTTATGGAAGCGAGACTAAGCTGTTACTTTTCTTTCTGTTGTCAACTTTTCACCTTTTAAAAGTTTTATCTTTGCTTGAAAAGTTTAAAGTCAAACTTAAACTAAAACTGATATATAATTAGATCACATAGTGGACACCTCACCACATCCATCGTTTACAAAAAAAATTCATTAACTTTAACCCTAAAACTTAGGAATGCAGAGGAACATGATTGATTTCAAAGCTTTGCCTTATAAGGTAAAATTGTTAACTCAATCACATCTTGAGTATAATTACACTGTAGTAGGGACATCTGAACCCACAAAATAAATGACATCAATTCAATAGTTTTTAGTGAATTTGGGTTCATACACATATTGAAACAAGTAATGTACAAGAAATCCCAGATCAAATTGTATGTTCTTAAGTGTAGATATTTCTTCTTCTTATTCGTTATTGCTCATTATATGGAATTTGAAATTTCCTGTGAAGAAATAGCGTCAAATCCTGTCAAATCCAAGATGTTGCCTTAAGGCCATTTTTTTCTGATTAGTCCCAAAATCAAAAGGTCACAACTAGGAAGCAAGGATAAGCTATGTATGAACTTGTAGAAAGATCTACAAAGTACATCTCAAGATATCGTAATAAAAATGTTATTTGTCAAAATTCAAAATAGCCACCTGTATGTTTTGTTTTTCTGATAAATCTCAAAACTTGTAATGTACTTTTAGGCACTAAGGGAAACCTACATATGAGATATGATAATGGTCCATCCTGTTCCACTCCAGAAATAGCAATAACAATCTAAAACTGTCAAAAATCAAGATGGCTGCTTGGCTGCCATGTTGTTTTTCTAATTACCCGGTAGTGCTAAAATGCACAGCTTAACATCGGGTTATAGTGTAATAGTGATCATATGGTTAAAATCTAAAATGGTGACAAGTGACCATATGAAATTTCTGATTGTGCTTAAAATCAGGCATGAACAGCTGAGTCCATACTAAACTTGTTTATGTACCTATAGTTATAAGACAATCTCGACTGATATCCTGGAGAAATTGTGAGCACTGAAAAAAAGTTACACAAACAGACCATGGTCGTACATTGCTTAGAAAAACCCACCATTTGACGACCGCTACAAAACAGATTAAAACAACATTATGTAACTCACTTTCAATTTAGACTTGGCCATGATGACAAAGACAGAAAGAAATCAATCATGCAGATATCATAATAACAAAATGAAAAAAAATGTACAGAAATAAGAAGACATTTATTCCTCAAGCTTGGTGAGTTAAGAAGTACATACATATCAAGAAACATGAATTTAAAAGTCTTAACATTAGAAAAATATTAACAAATTATCAAAAGCAAGTTATAGATTAAACTGCCATTTACAGTCTGTAAGTATACCTAACTATAAGTGTTGAAAGCCAGTTTCATGTCAACAAATAAACATGTCCAGTTATTTTTTTTCTGATACATGCGTGTCAGTAATCAATTCTCTTAATCTGTCAGTATTAGGATACCTGAATACATAACCATCTCAAGAATAATGTATGATGTTAATTCTAATCAAAATTTATATACCTTTTGAAAATCCAGTGTTGACAGCAGACAAATGTCCTGGAAACAATGTCTTAAAACCAAGAAAATCAATGCATGTACATGTTTCTATATATAATCCAAATCCTAAAAACTGTTACAAAAAAAGAAGAAGAAAAAAAAAAGAAAAATTGTTGGTATACCCAATTTCAATACTCTTTAACTTCAAAATGACCAGCATCAGTTAAGTCTATCTGACACATTTTTCCTTGCTTCCAGCTTTTGAACAAATAAATAAAACATAATGAATTGTTTGTGACTGTGATTTAGTCATATACATGTAAATTCAAATTTGCTGTATTGTTTCAAGTCCAATAATGTCATATTTAAAACAAAATGTCAGAAGTTACAAGTTTTCACTATATACTGAACTATCCATTGCAATGATATTTTTCTTCATCAAGAAAATTATTTCTTTAAAATGCTACAATCTGAATTTTTCAAAATCAGTTTTTAAAGTACAATGTTTGTATTTTAAAAGTATACTTTCATGATCCTTGACTTCAGATCCATCAATGTAGATTTTTGACAGAAAAGTCTAAATCTAAACCCATGAAATGATTTATGCTTCAATTTAAAATGAAACGTGTTTCCTTATTTACAATTTCAGAGAATACAATATCAGCTGCAACAAGCATATGCTTGAAGTTCATCTGATCATAAATATTAAAAACAATTTGGGTATCTTCTTACTTAGCTTAAACTTACAGCTTCATGATGTGTCTCTGGAAAATGTGATGGGTCTCTGGGTCTCTTAAAACTAAAATGCCTGTCTTTCAGTATTGTTTAAATTTTGTACTGAATGGCTCCTCTATTTGTAACAAACACTGACTCATAATAGCTACAAGTGACAGTCGCCTTCTCTTATCATTCCACAATCATTCTAAAGATTTCATCTCTAGGTCAAAATACTTTGTACACATCCAGTACAATGAATGTGATGATACATGTGACAGGAAATGAAAGTTTTTTTTTCTTTTTTAATACATATCAACAGGACACATTCATGTTTTGTATTTATTTTGGCATTCATTATAATACACTTTTTCACAAACAAAAACATATAACGAAGGTTGCTAGGATATGGGAAAGTTGAATATGGATTTGCATGGTATTTTAATATACCAGACTGAACAGTCCAGAACTGAGGAGCAGCAGAAAGGCTGTTAGAACTGAACTGATTGGTACATATTTTCTACATTTAATAAATAGTTCACATTTAAAAAGTAGCAACCTAAGGGCAAATGAAACTTGCAACTAACCCTTTCATGATACCAATCTCCTGACAAATACTGGCTTCACAATTACAGCTGGTCTTATGCTATATTTATCTGCAATAAGCCAAGGGAGGCATCAATCAAGCTTGATTCAAAGCCAGGGGATGGGCTTATTACAGGGTATTGAGCCAAGGGGACCATCAGTCAAGCTTGATTCAAAGCTAGGGGATGGGCTTATTACAGGGTATTAAGCCAAGGAGGGCATCAGTCAAGCTTGATTCAAAGCCAGGGGATGGGCTTATTACAGGGTATTAAGCCAAGGGGGGGCATCAGTCAAGCTTGATTCAAAGTCCTGGGGTGGGCTTATTACAGAGTATTAAGCCAAGGGGGGCATCAGTCAAGCTTGATTCAAAGTCCTGGGGTGGGCTTATTACAAAGTATTAAGCCAAGGAGGGCATCAGTCAAGCTTGATTCAAAGTCCTGGGGTGGGCTTATTAAAGGGTATTAAGCCAAGGGGGGCATCAGTCAAGCTTGATTCAAAGTCAAGGGTTGGGCTTATTACAGAGTATTAAGCCATGGAGGGCATCAGTCAAGCTTGATTCAAAGCCAGGGGATGGGATTATTACAGAGTATTAAGCCAAGGGGGGCATCAGTCAAGCTTGATTCAAAGTCCTGGGGTGGGCTTATTACAGGGTATTAAGCCAAGGGGACCATCAGTCAAGCTTGATTCAAAGTCAAGGGTTGGGCTTATTACAGAGTATTAAGCCAAGGGGACCATCAGTCAAGCTTGATTCAAAGTCAAGGGTTGGGCTTATTACAGAGTATTAAGCCAAGGGGGGCATCAGTCAAGCTTGATTCAAAGTCCTGGGGTGGGCTTATTACAGGGTATTAAGCCAAGGGGACCATCAGTCAAGCTTGATTCAAAGTCAAGGGTTGGGCCTATTACAGAGTATTAAGCCAAGGGGGGCATCAGTCAAGCTTGATTCAAAGTCCTGGGGTGAGCTTATTACAGGGTAAAAAGCCAAGGCATAACATCAGACAAGCCTGATTCAAAGTCCTGGGGTGGGCTCATTACAGGACAATGAGCAAGCATTTGATTACTAATTTATTTCATAGCAATATACATAGATAGACTTATTACCAGACACTGGCTTATTACTGGATAAACACATTACATATATGTAGTGTTTATTTTCACTGCTCAGAGCATTGTTATTTTCTTCACATCTATAACTTTAACTTTTGACTGAAGATATAATGCTAAGTAATGGTAAGGTGTCACATTTTTAATCCCTTAAACAACGCTTGCTGGTATAATATAACACAAACATACATGTAAATGTTTCTATTACACTTTCTAGACCTGATCTACAGATATTTGAAAGACTAGACATGTGACAGACTCATAAGAGGAATTCAGATCAGAAAAAAAAACAAATACAGACCTTAATACTTAAAATGTTTCATATATATCAAATCAGCTGACAGCTGCTGTGTGCTGACTTTTTAGAAATACCACATTCAATATGCTGGAAACATTAATGATATTATGATGTTAATTTGCTCACACTATTGATAACACTACAGAACCTGTTCCCTGTAAAATACTGTGACAACAGGAAGTTCATTTCCAGAAATTACTCAACTCTCTTCCTGTTACCTAGACGGATCAAAGCCATGATTTGTAATTTGTAAGACAATATAATATTATATTTTTCACTTCACACTTTTTAGAACAGCCATTCATTTCTTCCATCAGCTGTAAATGGGTCATATTTGGACACAGGGGATCCTTTTATTCTTCAGACCTGATGCGCTTCATACGACACATCTGGGAAGAGGTCATCTTTTCTTTCCACCAGGTAACTATGTCAGAAAAAGACAGGGATAAAACAATTAGGTATATAAACAGATGTAACAAAAAAATTCTAGTATTAGTTTTAAGCACCAATATCAATCTGAACTAAAACCTGTTCCATAGACTTACTTTTCCATGACACTTGTTCATATATAAAACTGAAATAATGGGCAAATGAGTATCCCCCACCTACCCACACTCCAAACTGATGACCAGCAAAGTTTAATAAGATTAGAACAAGATTGAAATCATTCTAAACAATTCTGATGTCGCACATGTTGAATTAGAGAAGTTTAAAATAGGTGTTGCTTAGGAAAACTATAATTGCATAATCATGTTCAACATTGGCCATCCTGACTGTCATGTCAAAGTTTTGACTACACAAAAAAAGAAAGAGAAAAAAACACCCAAAACTTGACCATCTTTCCTTAATATCCTTACAACTTTCAGTTCGATGGCACTCATCAAAATAGGAGTCATGGCAGCAATATTGGATTTCGAACTAGCCCAAAAATTAACAATCAATGGTCTGGACCATTTCGGTATCATTTTTGGCAAGTTTGAGGAGAATCCCACAGGTGAAGCTTGAGAAGTTTAAAATGTGAAAAGTTTATACATGGCAGATGGCTAATGACTGTTCGTGGACAACACAAGGGACACAATGATGGATAAAACACAATGACTATATGTCATCCTCACTCTTTGGGTCTGATGACCTAAAACTCCTGTAATCAGCCATACTGTTAAATAAAATTTAAGATCTGTTTACGACCAAAATCTAATCAGGAGTAGAACTAAAGAGTAAGTATATACCACAGTACCTGAAGAGGCCCGCAGATACAAACAAGTTTCCATTATGTACAGACGCATAGATTTACACATTTAGCAAGGCCCAACAGGATTAGTGCAAGTAATTATTATATCACCATTAGAGCAGTACTTACTCCATGAAATATTCCAGTAAAGTCTGTAAGGCCTTCAATTTCTGCTCTTCCATATCCATACTCAGGATCAGTTCTGGCAGTTTGACTAAAACAAACATCATATATGTACTATAAAGAGACATTCCATTTTCCATCTCAATACTTGGCAGATAACTTTGTTTCAGATTTTCATCTTTGTTCAAAGTTGTGAGCTCTTATACTGATGAAAGACTGCTGAAGATTCAAAAAGAGATTGAAGCAACTAAATATGAGAAGATGGTGACCCCTTACTCTTACCCTTACCAAAGAGTCAAAGTAGATGATGACCCTTACACTAACCAGAGTTACAGGAGATGGGGAACCCTTGTACTTACCAAAGCGTCATCAGAGATGATGACCTTTACTCTTACCAAAAGGTCGGCGATGATGACCTTTACTCTTACCAAAAGGTCGGCGATGATGACCTTTACTCTTACCAAAAGGTCTGAGTAGAAGACCTTTACTCTTACCAAAGCATAGTAAGATATGATAACATTTACAGGATAGTCGCAGGAGATGAGGACTCTTTAATATTATACTTTCAAAAAGAGTTCGAGGAGATGACCCTTACATTTACCAAAGAGTTCGAGGAGATGATGACCCTTACATTTACCAAAGAGTTTGAGGAGATGATGACCCTTACATTTACCAAAGAGTTCGAGGAGATGATGACCCTTACATTTACCAAAGAGTTCGAGGAGATGATGACCCTTACATTTACCAAAGAGTTTGAGGAGATGATGACCCTTACATTTACCAAAGAGTTTGAGGAGATGATGACCCTTACATTTACCAAAGAGTTGACCCTTACATTTACCAAAGAGTTTGAGGAGATGATGACCCTTACATTTACCAAAGAGTTCAAGGAGATGATGACCCTTACATTTACCAAAGAGTTCGAGGAGATGATGACCCTTACATTTACCAAAGAGTTCGAGGAGATGTCCCTTACATTTACCAAAGAGTTTGAGGAGATGATGACCCTTACATTTACCAAAGAGTTCAAGGAGATAATGACCCTTACATTTACCAAAGAGTTTGAGGAGATGATGACCCTTACATTTACCAAAGAGTTCGAGGAGATGATGACCCTTACATTTACCAAAGAGTTTGAGGAGATGATCACCCTTACACTTACCAAAGAGTTTGAGGAGATAATGACCCTTACATTTACCAAAGAGTTTGAGGAGATGATGACCCTTACATTTACCAAAGAGTTCAAGGAGATAATGACCCTTACATTTACCAAAGAGTTTGAGGAGATGACCCTTACATTTACCAAAGAGTTTGAGGAGATGATGACCCTTACATTTACCAAAGAGTTCAAGGAGATAATGACCCTTACATTTACCAAAGAGTTCAAGGAGATAATGACCCTTACATTTACCAAAGAGTTCAAGGAGATGATGACCCTTACATTTACCAAAGAGTTCAAGGAGATAATGACCCTTACATTTACCAAAGAGTTCAAGGAGATGATGACCCTTACATTTACCAAAGAGTTCAAGGAGATAATGACCCTTACATTTACCAAAGAGTTCAAGGAGATAATGACCCTTACATTTACCAAAGAGTTCAAGGAGATAATGACCCTTACATTTACCAAAGAGTTCAAGGAGATGATGACCCTTACATTTACCAAAGAGTTCAAGGAGATAATGACCCTTACATTTACCAAAGAGTTCAAGGAGATAATGACCCTTACATTTACCAAAGAGTTCAAGGAGATAATGACCCTTACATTTACCAAAGAGTTCAAGGAGATAATGACCCTTACATTTACCAAAGAGTTCAAGGAGATGATGACCCTTACATTTACCAAAGAGTTCAAGGAGATGATGACCCTTACATTTACCAAAGAGTTCAAGGAGATAATGACCCTTACATTTACCAAAGAGTTCAAGGAGATAATGACCCTTACATTTACCAAAGAGTTTGAGGAGATGATGACCCTTACACTTACCAAAGTGTTTGAGGACATGATGACCCTTACATTTACCAAAGAGTTTGAGGAGATGATGACCCTTACATTTACCAAAGAGTTCGAGGAGATGATGACCCTTACATTTACCAAAGAGTTTGAGGAGATGATGACCCTTACATTTACCAAAGAGTTCAAGGAGATAATGACCCTTACATTTACCAAAGAGTTTGAGGAGATGATTTACCAAAGAGTTTGACCCTTACATTTACCAAAGAGTTTGAGGACCCTTATGATGACCCTTACATTTACCAAAGAGTTCAAGGAGATAATGACCCTTACATTTACCAAAGAGTTTGAGGAGATGACCCTTACATTTACCAAAGAGTTTGAGGAGATGATGACCCTTACATTTACCAAAGAGTTTGAGGAGATGATGACCCTTACATTTACCAAAGAGTTTGAGGAGATGATGACCCTTACATTTACCAAAGAGTTTGAGGAGATGATGACCCTTACATTTACCAAAGAGTTTGAGGAGATGATGACCCTTACATTTACCAAAGAGTTTGAGGAGATGATGACCCTTACATTTACCAAAGAGTTTGAGGAGATGATGACCCTTACATTTACCAAAGAGTTTGAGGAGATGATGACCCTTACATTTACCAAAGAGTTTGAGGAGATGATGACCCTTACATTTACCAAAGAGTTCGAGGAGATGATGACCCTTACATTTACCAAAGAGTTTGAGGAGATGATGACCCTTACATTTACCAAAGAGTTTGAGGAGATGATGACCCTTACATTTACCAAAGAGTTTGAGGAGATGATGACCCTTACATTTACCAAAGTGTTTGAGGAGATGATGACCCTTACATTTACCAAAGAGTTTGAGGAGATGATGACCCTTACATTTACCAAAGAGTTTGAGGATATGATGACCCTTACATTTACCAAAGAGTTCGAGGAGATGATGACCCTTACATTTACCAAAGAGTTTGAGGAGATGATGACCCTTACATTTACCAAAGAGTTTGAGGAGATGATGACCCTTACATTTACCAAAGTGTTTGAGGAGATGATGACCCTTACATTTACCAAAGAGTTTGAGGAGATGATGACCCTTACATTTACCAAAGAGTTTGAGGAGATGATGACCCTTACATTTACCAAAGAGTTTGAGGAGATGATTACCCTTACATTTACCAAAGAGTTTGAGGAGATGATGACCCTTACATTTACCAAAGAGTTTGAGGAGATGATGACCCTTACATTTACCAAAGAGTTTGAGGAGATAATGACCCTTACACTTACCAAAGTGTTTGAGGAGAAAATGACCCTTACACTTACCAAAGAGGCGGAGTAGATGGTGTGCCCCATACACCAGTGAGGGGTAAGGTGGAATCTTGGTTCTTTCTTTATCAGGAAGGAGTTTCCAGGCCAGCACATTTTCAACAATATTTTCACGTCCAGTTTGCTGAACACTGTCCCCACTACTGTCCACACTTCCTTGTCCAGATGCCTGATTAGAAATAACACTTGGGATGAGGAGGGGTGGTGGAGGGTCTGCACGGCGAGACACAACACCAGAACCTCCCCCCTCAACACCTTCATAACCACACTCAGCCTTTACAGCAGCTGAGTTCAAATTTTCACTGTATTTTCTCCGTCTAGATTCGCGTCGTTTATTTGGAGTAACTTCCCCTCGTCTTTCAATATCCAATTCATCTGTTGATGGAGTTGCCTCCTGTGAAAATGTCTGATATTTCTTAGCAGAGTCCTGCGCTGCTTGTCGTGTGAGTCTACGTGGAGTTACCTCTTCTGATTTTGGAGCAACATCGAACTCAATTTTTTCACGCTTAAACACTTTTGGCGAGAGTTTTGGAATTTTGGGTGAGGAATCTCCCGTACCTGGGGTAGTTGATACTGTTCCTTGTAACTGTTTTGTCTTAGATAACGGGGTCTTTATCAGTGGTGACTGCAAGCTGAAGTAAACATCAAAACACACATACAGTTATATGTACAAATAAAACACAAAATATATTTCATGTGGATAAACAATCTTTGCAGGATAAAGGAATAATTTCAAGAAAACGTGTTTTAGTTTCCCAAAAGGTCTGAGATCCATGCAGAAACAGTGTATGTATCTCAAATACAGATACATCTTATTCCTTTGATGTAATATGAAAATCTGTTCTCTGAGAACATGAGGTCCAACAAAATACATGTTTTAATCAGCATACATGTATTTATGAAATCTAACACACAAATCAGTCTTCCTCGTACATCTAACTGAAGAATGTCAACTGATTGATTTTCCTGGTGATTCCTGAATCTTTATGAGCGTGAAAATGATCTTCTTGATATTTCGTTTCTCCTGGTTCTGTATGATTATGGCTGTGACAATTCATCAGAACAAATAAATAACATACTTTCTAACCAATTGTATTTAGATAACAATGTCAAGATTAATATTTACATTCCAAAATTTATTCACTTCTGACCTAAAAGTAAAAAAAAAAGAAGAATGAATCAATAATAGTACATTTTCTTTGACATCACGACCCCAGTGGGTTAATGTGACTGTAATATCAATTCTTCTAATGTAAAATGATACATAAATTCTGTATGTACAGCGAGTCAAAAAGGCTAGGAAAGGGGTTAGGTAAAATATAACCAAGAGAAAGAACCATGGACATACAAGTAAAATATTTTCAATTATATAACATATACATGAGTCATTGCTACCTGTTCGTTTTTGACTCTGTGTTAGGTTTGAACTTGTTCTGAAGCAGCTTTCTGTACTGGTCTCTCTCTGAGGCATACAACAGGACCAGTGGTAGTGTGTGATCGAAGCAGATCCTCAGGCCATCCACCAATTCTTTACAAAGTGGGATACTGGGGAAGACAACAACCCATTCAAATTTCTTTGTTATAAATACATGCATATGTCATAACTATATTAACTATATTTTTCAGGTTATAAGCCATACTAGAATATAAGCCGCAGAGTGGATTTTTAACCAAATATTAGTTGCACCAGAATATAACCTGCACCTTTTCTTACAAAGTTGTAACTGTTACGTTAACCAAAGTTTATTGATATAACAGACAACAGAAGGCAATTTATCAAGAATGCCAGTGAAACATTTAATAAAGTTTGCAAGTGTACACAGATAATCCTTTATTTTATTGATGTATTTAAAAAAACCTAAGATAGCAAATATTGAACTCCTTAGGCTTGAGTGCCTTCACAGACTGTCTATGCACAGGCATAGGGCCTGACATTACTTACGATTTACTCACGAGGAAAAAAGGTGCAGCTTACAATTCATAACATACAGTGCACTAATGGAACATTGTTTTGAAAACATTAAAAAGCTACATATACAAAGAAAAACTAGTCATAATTGAAAAAGAGATAATGCTTGTAAGGAATACATATACTTTCACTTATATGATAAATGAACTCCAATCGAAGAAAACACATAGGGTTGTAGTTCATTTAGCAATGTTCCAACTGAAAAAGACTACAGTTCACACATCCTTCAATTTCGAATATCCATGGTAGTCTTTAAAGAACAAAAAACAAATAAAAATGACAAAGTTGTACCTGAAAAATGAACTTACTTTCTGTCAAAAGGTATGTTTGATGTGCTCCCAGTTATCTTTCCTTTCTCTGGTGTGCCACATAGAAGATTGATACAGAATGTCTTCACAAAACCTTCTAGGATATTTACAATATTTGTTTCTGCAGGGAGTTGAACCAACTGTGACATAATTAAAGAAATCTTTGTAATTGGTTTAAAACAAATTTTCATAAAATATACATTTCTTTTCTAAAAACTTTATACTAAGAAGTGAATTTCCGAACGGTTATTCCATGATGAATAAAGGGGTTATATAAATTATTAGTAATGTGTACAAAGCAAGTGTAAAAACCAGCGTCAGTATTGTCACATATCAAATAATTATGTGTACAAACCAGTGTCAGTATTGTCACATGTGATAGTTATGTGTACAAACCAGCGCCAGTATTGTCACATATCAGATAATTCTGTGTACAAACCAGCGCCAGTATTGTCACATATCAGATAATTATGTGTACAAACCAGCGTCAGTATTGTCACATATCAGATAATTCTGTGTACAAACCAGCACCAGTATTGTCACATATCAGATAATTCTGTGTACAAACCAGTGTCAGTATTGTCACATATCAGATAATTATGTGTACAAACCAGTGTCAGTATTGCCAGTATTGTTACATATCAGATAATTATGTGTACAAACCAGTGTCAGTATTGTCACATATCAGATAATTATGTGTACAAACCAGTGTCAGTATTGTCACATATCAGATAATTATGTGTACAAATCAGTGTCAGTATTGTCACATATCAGATAATTATGTGTACAAATCAGTGTCAGTATTGTCACATATCAGATAATTCTGTGTACAAACCAGCGCCAGTATTGTCACATGAGATAATTATGTGTACAAACCAGCGCCAGTATTGTCACATATCAGATAATTATGTGTACAAATCAGTGTCAGTATTGTCACATTTCACTTTATCATTTGCACATACCAGACATTCTTTGTTGATAGCTATATAATCTCCTTCCAAAACTTCCTTCAACACTTCAGGGATGTCCAGTTCCACTGTCTGCTTCTTCTTAAAGAAAGTCAAATGTTACCTATTGGCTATTCACTTCAACTCTAACCTACTTCACAGCATTTGGTTCCAGTGGTCACTGGACTTAACAACAATTGATAGAAAAATGTTCAGAATTTCTTGTCAACTTGATGCTTACAATACAATGATCAAAACTGACCTCTCTTTAAACAGGGTTCATCTTTCCTCTACAAGTTAACCAATGACTACATCATCATTACTTGCCTTATTTTATAATAATTGTACTAATGGTGATAAGAAATATTTCTTGTCAGTAACACGTTATTAGCTTATGTTATTCCTTAAAAGTAGAGCACATTTTGTGGGCTTATCTGTAGGTGATTCTGGAATTTTGTTTAAGAAACTTTAACAAATGCCATTTTTCTTAGAATTATCATTCCATCAATTCAATACCTGATTCAAAAACCATAATTTTAACATATCTCCTATATATATTTTTTCATGTTACTGCAGCATATTAAAGCAACATATTGTGGATTCGGTATAAACTACAAATCATCACCTTCTTGTCCTCAGATTTTCCACTGCCTCGACTACTGATCTCACTGCCATCCACACTCTGAAGAGAAACATTGAAACAGATACCGAGGATAATAGAAATGCTAAAAACATCTCATATATATCATTGTGTTTTTTAAAAACTATTAAGCTAACTTTAACATACAGTTTGTATTCCAAATTATTTTTTTCTGAATGAGAAATATAAGGTTTTTTAACGAATTTAGAACAGAAAGATTGGACTAATCAATTCAGACTCAGTCTACTGGCTTCAGCATTTATTAGAAAAGCAACCTTTGTCATTCATATGCTAGACATCAAATGTAATTGAAACTTATTGAGGATTTTCAAATAATTAATTCATAGAATAGAATATGACAAAAGGGGCAACATTACAGTCAAGCTAATTGATATCTGTAAAAGAAAATGGAAACTAATGTGACATGCTAAATGCTGAATGTGAATTGCTTTATCTTTAAGTCACTTAAAGACTTCTTAAATTCCAAGATTTCATCAGAAAATATCTCTGAATGTTTGAGTACTAAATGTTGAGTTGGCATATGTTGTCATATCACCTACATATCATGTTAAAAGTTGTTTATTTTTTTGGGGATATTCCATATAATTGAATACTTACTACATACTCTTAATGCTTTATGCAAAATATGTTATGATAAATGCTTTATGAAAATGCATAATGTGATATGCTTCATTTGAAATGCTTAACATAGAGTACTTTTTATGAAATAGGTACTTGTATTTTGAGATAATGAATGCTCTACAGCTGCTTTAGGCCTACAGGCAACCATGTGTGTTTTATAATTCTACTCAACTTTGATGATCCCCCCCATTACATTACTTCAAGATCAAAACCTTTTGCATTTCCCATTCAGCATTTGACACAATTTGCAAAATGCATGTAGCATGTCATACCAGCTTTCCATAAAGAACATACTGAAGGGACCAGAAGTAAACAGGTCACATACACTGTTTACTTACATCAATATCTACATCACCATTAGTTGATCTGTCCCTCATCCTACTGTCTTCTTCATCTGTATCATCATCCTCTGTGTCAACTTCAGTGTCGTCATCGTCATCATCGTCGTCATCATCATCGTCGTCTTCTTCATCATCACAATCATCATTGTCATCACTGAAATCACTGCTGTAGTCCATTAGAGGTGGCTTACCTTTAAATGCTTCTTTTAAGATCTGGTCTATTCTATGATTTCTTGCTCTGTTGATGCGACTATGAATAGGACAAACCAATTTATATTGTAAGTTTGACATTTTGTACCATGTTAACACTTAAATTTTTCATGTTGTAAAATGTAAACACCTATGTACACATATGTGTGCCAACAAATGAACTTTTTGATTTAGATGTCATACCACACTTTTTACACTTTATTAAAAATAGACTTTTACTGTTAGTTTTCTCATGAATGAAGGAGACAATGTATATATGTATTATATGTACTATGTATATATTGTGCAACAATGTACAGATCAAAATATCACAAAATTATTCACATGCTTTAGCTATGGAAATCTGCATATACATGTAAACTCACTATCGTTTTGTTATCTCAGCCAACTTTTTCATCAAAGCTCTGTTGGCCTCATCATTTTTCAGAATGTGGTTTTCAACCACAACACGGTCCCAGCTGTGAAAACAACAAGTACAGATAACATGTGTGAGATCAAACATATAATGTTTATCAACATTGTGGTAAAAATTGTTTACAATATGTTTATAATATGTGTTAAGTCTCCAGTTCATATGATTCTCATACATGTTAAATATTCACTTTTAAGCAGCTTAATTAAGTAAATTTGGCAAACCCAAGTGTTAAAATTTGGTCAGAGACTTGAATTTTTTTTCCATTTTTTTCTTTTCATTTAAAAAAGACGATCATGATATACTCTTTGAAACTGAGTTATTTAAGTCACATAGCTAACAGAGTTCAGTTATGAAGGACTTTTAAAAAGGAAATCTCCATTTTTCCAATGTTGACCCCTGGACCAGTTTGAATGTTACACATGTAAAATGAAATTATGAGTAACAACATATGTGGTTTAATGATATTAATTAATATAAAGATATATTTGTGTACTAACTTGAATACAGTATTATATACCACAGGAATTTTTTTGCAGCTTTACTGCGGCAATTTGGTGAATTTACATTTAGATAGCCACATAAGAAATTTCTAAATTTTAACACTGTTAATTCTACAGAAGTTTTCATCTTTTGCCATTTTGTTTGGATTTTTGATCATTTGCGCTATGGAAAACAGAATATTGACTGACTGCCTGTAGCTTGGCAATGATAAGACCAAATGATGGCTACAGGCAAACTAAATATAATCTGGGACAGCATTTATTGTCATCAGGTTGACATGGATGAGAGACTTCAGTGAGCTCAATTTAGACTAAATAATGCTTTCTGTGTACCTGGTACTTTATAAAAAGTCTCAAAATCTCTGAATTATGGCAAATCACTAATATAGGATAGCCATCTAGTTTCTTTAGTTTCTTGGCCAAAACTGCCAAATATTGTTTCCACAAAAATTTCCTGTTGTAAAGTGAACAGTACACTTAAATTTTCAACAAAGTAATCAACAAGAAATCTTTAAAATTAAAAGAAATCCATGAATATGAAATTCAATATTTTTGAAATACACTGAAGTAATATTTACCTATTATTCCAACCTTGAAAGTGAATGTGATAAGCTGGTTTTTTCCCTCCATTCTTAGCATCTTTGACAAATGTTTGATCTAGTATCTGAAACAAATATTTTTACTTATGAAATTTACTCACCTCAAAGGAGTTACCTCCCTTCCATCATGATCATTCTCAAATCCAGGTATAAAGCTCCAATTGACTGAATTTTGATTTTTTCATTTAAAATGATTCAGTTGGCAGTCTTTATTGAAGTTTCAAACAAATCAATACCTTTTCAAATGAGTATTTCAGAAAAGTTGTAAATTTGGGGATGTTTTTTTTTTTTGCAGAACCCTTCCTAATCACTAAATAGCGATACAAAAGAAAGAGACAGAAAATCTATAACCAACCAAAAAGGGCATTTTTTCTCTTTTCATTTAGCTAGAACACATAATACTACCTAGACAGTTATACAACAATTAGACACTGGAATACATGAACAATCACGTTTAAATACATCATAAGAGATGAATCTTTATGCAATATGTTGCCATATTTGTCTGCAAAGCATTGCACAAGTGTAAACAGGTTATGATATAATCAGGACCATTTTTAAATCAATATTGTTTGATGATAAGATAAACATAGATTTTTTTAAAAATTAAATATTGCATTTTGGTTTTGTACTGGGTTGCAGTGTGTAGATATAATTTTGTCCTTTTGTATAATTTTCATAAAACAGCACCTTACAAAATCCTAGCTTGTCTGGAATATCCTTTTAAAGTTGTAGCCAAGAGACACTGTACTGTATACTGAGGAAATCAATGCGTTTCAATAATAAAACTGTGACATTTGTTGGGTCTTCTATTAATAATACCAGTTACAAGGTGTTTACCACTTCAGTTAAACACAGTTAAAATCCTTCATGTCTCCTGATAAGGGTACGATAAAGCTATGGATGATTTTGTATACACATTACATATTTTCTCCCTGTTGTTGTTGGAATCAACCATAGCTTTTTTGTCCGGATTCGAAATGGGGGGGGGGGTTGTTTGGTTATACACAAATAATCCCCTACTGACATAAATAACAAAATTTTGTCTATAAGTATGCAATTAGGCATATGTATGGCATGACCATATGCAAATTCAACTGTAAAAACAATAAAAATCAAAACATAAAAACAATGATGCAGACCTTCGCGTCGTATAAAACTCTGGCTTTTGTTGGATCAGGTTCGAAACAGAGGACGCATTCTCCTATGCTGTATTGGAATTTTATGCCTCTTGTTGACATAGTAGAAAGACCCGCGAGGATCCTACCCGATGCATTAAGTTATCACAACTATGCCAGTGTAGTGATTATTATATGGACAAAGCATTTGTTGATGTTTTCAGTTCGCCTTCCCGCGCCGGAAGTTCAAAGAACCGGAAGTTAAAGTAGAAATTATTATCAGAAAAAACGATTATATTTGCAAATCCGGATTACGAAATTCGGAAAACTTTTTTTGTCAAAATACAAACAAAAAATCTCCAAAACAGAGAAAAAAAATCCTTTTTTCTTATATAAAATACTATCTACGGTTTCAATCCATGTGTCAATCTACTGGTTGACTTGTTTTTGTTTTCATCCGATTTAAAATGATATTACGTGATTTAATATGATACATTATGGACGAGTCTCTATATCAGTACATATAACACATTAGGCTAAATTTATTGACGAGCCTATTAAAACAGGTCAAAAAGCCCCTTATCGTTCATTTTCATCTTCAGATATATTGACAACATCTTGTTATCAAATGAAGAGATTAATCAACCATGTGCATACGCTGGTACAGTGTATATACCAACCAGAATTTGGAAATCAAGGCCGATGTGAAACACTCTGCTACATCAGCCGCTTATCTCAGTCTACGACAGACTCTTCTGCATCTGCGGCCTATATTGATTTTTTCTTTCAATGAAATTAACATGGACAGTTTTTCACCAAGCTGTATGATAAGTGAGATGATTTCAATTTACCTATTGTGAATTTTACATTTCTGCATAGCAACAGACCTGAATCCCTTATATTAACCAATATGGTTTTTCGCATGTCGCAGTTGATTCAATATTCAAGGGCATGTTAATATTATCAAAATTTTCGTGCTTGAAATTGTCAACTGATGGACAAACTTGTAACACAGGGTTTCAAAAGATGCAGGTTGATGAAAATAATGGGAAAGTTTTATTGTTGTCATAGTAATCTTGTTGAGAAATATTCTATTTATTTGTGCGATATGGAGCTGTTTATTTGTGCGATATGGAGTACATGACATTACGCGAAGAATTTGCTATCTCGTTAGTTTACCTTGTTGTTTTAGATTATCACTTTACATGTAGGGCCAACTTTTGTTTTATTCCCTTTTCAAATTAGATAATGAACACGAGGTATCTCGTGAACACAAGCCATCATCTCGGTGTGAGATCCAGTTTATGATATCTGTATGAAATGTAATCAGTTGGGCACATGGTAATTATTATTTAGTAGCAAGGATGTGCACACAAATTAGCATCCTGTGGCATGCATACGTATTACAGGATTAAACAATGTGTAAGAACATAAAATATCAAGGCATCTTTTGAAAAAGTGTCCAAACGCAAATATCATTCAGACAAAACTGACCTATCTGGTTTCTAAAAATAACAACCTAAATATGGACTACAACATATGTAATTGGTCATCTGTGTAATTAGAGCAATCATTCCTCTGATTACCAACACCAAGATCATCAGTGTAATTGGAGCAATCACACTCTGATTACCAACACCAAGATCATCAGTGTAATTAGAGCAATCATTCCTCTGATTACCAACACCAAAATCATCAGTGATCAACATAAATATGGTGTTATTGTTGTTTTCTTGTGATTTGTCTGGGTGTAAAGGAATAGCTGATCCATTTTGGGTAATATCTAACTTTAAAATCAGTGCGAAAGAGGGGGAAGGCGTTGCCACCTTTCTCTTTGGTGTTTGTTAGTGGGTGTAGGACTACAGTGTCCCCTAACGCGACTACAATATACAGGTGAGGATGAAAGCACACTAATGTGATGACTTTGATCATTTCAAGGTAGTGAAGACGTTTAACTTCTCTTTCTATACTTCAAAACGAACAGACAAGAAATGATAAGAATGTATAAACATTTATTGCAAAAATACAGCTATTATCAGTAATATGTCATGATAAACAAATAATGTAATTTCTGTTAAAGTACAACGGAGACCTGCACCACTGTTTTCACACACACACCACTGGTATGCTAATTTACATAATTGTCTCTCTTCTTTTGGAAAGGAGACACAATAAAATTATGTCACAGTAATATTGCATACATCCTTAAGGTGGTGTATATATACCATTGTAATGTAGAATACATCCTTAAGGTGGTGTATATATACCATTGTAATGTAGGATACATCCTTATGATGGTTTTTATCAAAATAATGAAGCATACATCCAAAAAGTGGTCTACATCACTAATGTAGCATACATTCTTAAGGCTATTTATATAACATTAATGATGTGTACATCCTTAAATTGGTATATATCACTGTAATATAGCTTATATCCTTAAAATGGCCTATATCACTATAATATTGCATACATCCTTAAAGTGGTGTATCTATATCACTATAATATTGCATACATCCTTAAAGTGGTGTGTATCACTGTAAAGTAACATACATTCTTCTTGTTACATCACAGTAATCTAGCAGCATACATCCTTAAGATTGTCAATACAAATGTAATGTAGCATACATCTTTAAGGTGATCATTATACGCCCCCACCCCCTCCACCCCCAATGATGTTAGAGGAGTATACTGGAATCAGCTTGTCTGTCTGTCCGTCTCTATGTTGAAAAAAGGTTGTCTGGACCAATCTCCTAAACTACCAGATCGATTTCAATTACACTACACAAGAATGTTGGGGACCATGTGTAGATGTACATGCAACTTTTTTTTCCAACAAAATATTGGTTGCCATGGTAACCAGTCAATATATCTATTCAAATTACAGTGTCAGTACTACAAAACTGTATTTTACAAATGACAGTGAGCAAGGGTTGTTAGTTAGCCATTGGCTTACAGTTCTAATTATCCCTGCTGTAACATACCCTTAAGTTTGTCAGATCACTGTAATCACTGTTATGTAGTATACATCTCTAAAACATCATAGGTATTCATTTGACATAAGTCAAGAGAAGAAAAAAACGGAATACTTGTGAGGGTTTCTTGTTGGTTTACTCAATTAACAAAACCCTCAAACTGATTACAGCAAATCATTGGACAACATCAGAAAGGCACAGAGTACAATGAACATCATTTGGAGCAATATTACTTCATATCACATTTCTTTTTTCCTCAACTGAGATTATATCAGGACTGACTCTCTCTCTCTCTCTCTCTCTCTCTCTCTCTCTCTCTCTCTCTCTCTCTCTCTCTCTCTCTCTCTCTCTATGTATTTATATAATTTTTACATAACTTGTATAATAAATCACAGGATTCCAACAATATATCAATATCACATAGACCTAGCGGTGGTTGAAGATGTGTCTATAATGTTATCATATGGACCTAGCAGTGGTTGAAAATGTGTCTATACTGATATCATATGGACCTAGCAGTGGTTGAAAATGTGTCTATACTGATACCATATGGACCTAGCAGTGGTTGAAAATGTGTCTATACTGATACCATATGGACCTAGCAGTGGTTGAAAATGTGTCTATATACTGATATCATATGGACCTAGCAGTGGTTGAAGATGTGTCTATAATGATATCATATGATAAGATGTGTTTGTATACATAATCACACAAACATACAATAGACTTTGTATATAAAAATTATCTATGTTAATGACTGTTTGATTTGTACATGAGACAGGACTTGAGAAGGAATGTATCAATGATTATCACTCTTAAGTGATGAAGACAGAAAAATCAGAACCTAAATGTGAAATCAGATTCATAACGATGGTATATAAACCAAATTTTACATACTTTTCTACATATCTATTACAATACCTGTTATACCATACACAGAAACTCATAATTCATACCTCTAGTTCACATGTACCTGGACACTCAATAATTGACAATAACAATTGATGAATTATGTAATGACATTGCATAACAGTTTGACTATTGAAGGCCAAGCAAAATATCTCCTCATGGAGATTTTAACACCTCACCAAGGTGAGAATAACTTGCACAAGATTGTAATGAACGTTTTCTTGATATTTTGAATGTTAAATTTTTCTACTGTCTATGAATAATAACTCAATTCCTCATTTCTGAGTATGTTTTCCAATAAACATATTAAGGTTCCCATCTTAGCCATGAGTAGAAGGAGTAAAATTATCTCACACAGAATTTGAGCCCAGAAGTCTGACTATAAATTCTCTATTAATTTATTAATTTCTTTATTAAAAGGGTGGTAAATATCCATTTCTTGGACTAAGCATGGACACATCAATGGTCATCTGACCACAAAGTGTGGACACACCAGCGATCATCTGACCACAAAATGTGGACACACCAGTGGTCATCAGACTACAAAGTGTGGACACGCCAGTGGTCATCAGCCCACAAAGTGTGGACACGCCAGTGGTCATCAGGCTACAAAGTGTGGACACGCCAGTGGTCATCAGGCTACAAAGTGTGGACACGCCAGTGGTCATCAGGCTACAAAGTGTGGACACACCAGCGATCATCTGACCACAAAATGTGGACACACCAGCGGTCATCTGACCACAAAATGTGGACACACCAGTGGTCATCAGACTACAAAGTGTGGACACGCCAGTGGTCATCTGACCACAAAGTGTGGACACACCAGCGGTCATCAGGCTACAATGTGTGGACACGCCAGTGGTCATCAGGCTACAAAGTGTGGACACACAGCAGCCATCAGACTACAACTACAAAATGTGGACATACCAGCAGTCTTCAACTCAAAAAATTATATAATTTACACGCCAGTGGTCATCAGCTCACAAAACCAGGTCAGGAGTTATCAGCTTACAAAACCAGGTCAAAGGTCATCAGCTCAAAAAGCAGGTCAGGGTTCATCAGCTGTATGTTCTATCTCCTCGTTGTATCATCAAAACATCAGATGGTCACTTACACAATATATAGAGTAGATACATGTCCTGCTATGCCTGTAAACGGTTATAAATGTCATCAAATCAAAATATATATATTTGTATTTGTATATATATTTACTTTATTGAAAAAAGATAACAAAGGAGTTAGACATATTTTGTATAGGTAACTATTTTTATCGATTATACTGTCTGGTAAAGTTATAACTATATAGCTGTTTATAAGTTTATGTCAACAAACAGAACTTTACAAATCCAGTGAGTAAACATGTTTCTCCACTAAGACAGTTGTACATTCTAGAAAACCATCACTTTTTGGCAAAACAATAAAATAAGTCTGCATTACAGGATAAATAAACCTACCACATATGTTTTCTCCAATCTTGATGTGTAAATAGCCATTGATACCAAAGTCTGGTCCCCAGGAGTTCCGCACAATATAATACGGTGTGTCACCTGTCAATATAGCATGACAAGATTAATATAGGGAAATACAGTATGTGGTTTGTCTAGGTCCAGCAATTCTATAGTTTGTACTTTGGACCCTGTGTTTGGGCTTATTATCATCTGACAGTTATGGAGAACGCCACATCATGTTTTTTCTGGCCCCTATGTTTGACCTCTACTAGTATATACTTGTTCTATTTACCCCAAAATGCCATTTACTAGTAAGGTCTACCACACAATGTATGGTTTATTGTCTGGACCTGTATTTGGCTCTCTATTTACTTGTTAGGTCTACCCCACAATACATGGTTTATTGTCTGGCCCTGTGTTTGACCCTCTGTTTACTTGTAAGGTCTAGCCCACAATGTGTGGTTTGTCTGGCTTGTGTTTGGCCCTCTACTCTACCCTACAATGTGTTTTTTTTTTACTGATTTGTGTTTGGCCCTCTACTCTACCCCACAATGTGTGGTTTCTCTGGCTTGTGTTTGGCCCTCTACTCTACCCCACAATGTGTGGTTTGTCTGGTTTGTGTTTGGCCCTCTACTCTACCCCACAATGTGTGGTTTCTCTGGCTTGTGTTTGGCCCTCTACTCTACCCCACAATGTGTGGTTTCTCTGGTTTGTGTTTGGCCCTCTACTCTACCCTACAATGTGTGGTTTGTATGGCTTGTGTTTGGCCCTCTACTCTACCCCACAATGTGTGGTTTGTCTGGCTTGTGTTTGGCCCTCTACTCTACCCCACAATGTGTGGTTTGTCTGGCTTGTGTCTGACCCTCTACTCTACCCCACAATGTGTGGTTTGTATGGCTTGTGTTTGGCCCTCTATTCTACCCTACAATGTGTGGTTTGTATGGCTTGTGTCTGGCCCTCTACTCTACCCCACAATGTGTGGTTTGTCTGGCTTGTGTCTGGCCCTCTACTCTACCCCACAATGTGTGGTTTGTCTGGCTTGTGTTTGGCCCTCTACTCTACCCTACAATGTGTGGTTTGTCTGGCTTGTGTTTGGCCCTCTACTCTACCGTACAATGTGTGGTTTGTATGGCTTGTGTTTGGCCCTCTACTCTACCCTACAATGTGTGGTTTGTATGGCTTGTGTCTGGCCCTCTACTCTACCCCACAATGTGTGGTTTGTCTGGCTTGTGTTTGGCCCTCTACTCTACCCTACAATGTGTGGTTTGTCTGGCTTGTGTTTGGCCCTCTACTCTACCGTACAATGTGTGGTTTGTATGGCTTGTGTTTGGCCCTCTACTCTACCCTACAATGTGTGGTTTGTATGGCTTGTGTCTGGCCCTCTACTCTACCCCACAATGTGTGGTTTGTCTGGCTTGTGTCTGGCCCTCTACTCTACCCCACAATGTGTGGTTTGTCTGACTTGTGTCTGACCCTCTACTCTACCCCACAATGTGTGGTTTGTCTGGCTTGTGTTTGGCCCTCTACTCTACCCCACAATGTGTGGTTTGTCTGGCTTGTGTTTGGCCCTCTACTCTACCCTACAATGTGTGGTTTGTCTGGCTTGTGTTTGGCCCTCTACTCTACCCTACAATGTGTTGTTGGATTACCTGTTAGGTCGTACCCCACGATGACGACTGCATGGTTGATGGTATTACCACAATGGTGCTGAATAATGCCACCTTGATAGTTAGCCCATAAGGTGGCATCGACTGACACTGTCAGTGGTCCATTAGACAGAAGCATAAGCATGTCCTGCTCATCATCCAGATATCTGTATTAAGACAAAATATTTACCACAAAATGTTATCGAATCCTCTTATAGCTGTTACACAAAGTAGAAACAGTGACCTACATTTTACAATTAACAATTAAAGCAGTAATTTAATGGGGATAACTGTGACCTACATTTTACAACTTCTAATTTCAGCAGTAACACAATGGAGACAACCATGACCTAAATTCTACAACAACAGATTACTTCCGAGGGCCAACTAGGAGCCATACAGATATATATCAATTTCTACTGTCCAGGTATGGCTGAGGTTATTGATTAAAGTTGATTCATTAAAACTTAAAAAAATGCAAAGCACTTTCATCCATGGATCATAAGCTTTTTAACAATTATATCTACAAATATTTTCAATCAAAATCTGAGTATGCAATACGCTGTATTTGGTATATATTGTAAGAATGCCTTGTAAAGGATTGAACCAATAATATCTAGTATAAAATGCTGCACTCTGCTGATCGAGCTAATGAGAAGTTCTCCCTTGCTGGGCAGTTATTGTGGCTAGTATTTATCAGAGTTACAATCTGCCTGACTAGGCAGTATATTGTGTAGCTGGTATTTACCAGGGTTACAATCTCACTAGCCAGGTGGTAAATTGTGGCCAGGGTAACATCTAGAAATTAAAGAACAACAACACTTGTCAACAATTACCTGTGTTGCCTTGTACAAAGATCTGTACTTACGATTGACAGGTGAAGTTTTTGACCTTGACCCCTGTTGTTGGAGATGGCAAAAGCTTACAGTAGTCTGATGTGTCCGTTAGAGGATATTTTGTATCATTGACCAGGGAAACATGACTCTGAAATAGGTAATAATATATCATAGTCCAACATGATGGTTAGAAGGTAATCAAAGTCCTCGGGAAGGGTAGGTGGGGGAAGGGGAAACATGACTCTGAAATAGGTAATAATATATCATAGTCCAACATGATGGTTAGAAGGTAATCAAAGTCCTCGGGGAGGGTAGGTGGGGGAAGGGGAAACATGACTCTGAAATAGGTAATAATATATCATAGTCCAACATGATGGTTAGAAGGTAATCAAAGTCCTCGGGGAGGGTAGGTGGGGGAAGGGGAAACATGACTCTGAAATAGGTAATAATATATCATAGTCTAACATGATGGTTAGAGGGTAATCAAAGTCCTCGGGGAGGTAGGTGGGGGGAGGGGGAACATGACTCTGAAATAGGTAATGATGTATCATAGTCCAACATGATGGTTAGAAGGTAATCGAAGTCCTCAAGGAGGTTAGGTGGGGAGAGGGGGAACATGACTCTGAAATAGGTAATGATGTATCATAGTCCAACATGATGGTTAGAGGGTAACTAGCTATATCACTGACCAGGAGGATGTGAAAAAAAATAAATTCATGGTTTGAATTTGATTTGTATGTCGCAGGGTTATTCATGTCAATTTGAACACAATGAAACCTGCTAATACACAGAGAAGTCCACAATTTAACTTTGACCTCTGGCTAAAGTCTTATGATATCAACATTGGCTTAGATGATTGTTTAAACCATTTTAAATAGGAATATTACTCCCTCAGTGAAAGGCAAGAGCATTACCACTCTGCTACCCAACCACCCTTCATCAGACCACAGGTCCATGGGCCTTGACGATCATCTGACTACAAAAACTTTCAGCAGGGAGAAGGGTTATTTTTTCTACTTTGAATGAAAGAAACTGCTTTCCATGATGCAGATGATAGTTTTAGGTGTTACCTATTATTTGACAGTAAAGTTGGAGCTCAATCCAACTGGTGAAACTTGAGAAGTTTGAAAGAGGTGTTGCACAGGAAAACCATGATTGCGCAATCATGTTACAAAATGGTCTCCCTGGCTGCCATATCGAAGACTTGATAACAATTTGTTGGCTACCTTAATATTCCCATCAATTTTCAGCTTAATGGCTCCAGTTGAACGGGAAAAGAAATTTAAGATATGTTTTTTCAAGATGGCGACCATCTTGGATTTCAGACCAACCTGAGAAATAACAACAATCTCAGAATCATTTCATGTAAGTTTGAGCTCAATCCCACTGGTGGAACTTGAGAAGAAGTTTGTCAAAAGTTTACACACGAAGCATGATGGCTATAAAAATTCACATTTTTTTTCATATCAAAATCTGAGTACTTACGTCAACCATCCACTGCATGGCAGCACAGGTGTCTCCACCTGTACATCCCGAGTTGTACTGAGAACAGTCAATAATCTCCTGTACGCTGAGGTGAGGAGGTGGCACATGTTTCTGAATGGCATACATACTCTCCATCAATTCTGCTGTACTGAAAGCCCTGTCAATTAAAAATAATATGTGTACGATGTGGCATGTGTTTCTGTTTCTTATTCATAATCTGTATATGATACGGTACCCCTAAACCTAGCCTCCAGTTTGTCATATAACAAACTTACCAGCATCCCCCACAGCTGTTCTGGTTCTTGACTGGACTCACATAGCTTTGGTTCTTGAAGTTTCTCCTGATCAAAAAACATATCAAAATTACATAATTTTATGGAAATATTACAACCAGTTTTCATGACTATTTCATAGGACGATGAAAAATGGCACAGGTTGTAGTAACCTATTTTCATATTTACTGAATATTGATTCATGACAACATTGCTCCCTATACATTATATCAGCTACTTGAGCTATAAGTCTACAACTGACAAATACTAAAACAAATAAAACCAAAATTTGACGTAACACAACAATTGCAATGCAATCCAATCAGCTAGGTCATAATCCAAGTCACTGGACCATGTCAGAGTGACATAATTACAAATGGTGCTTTGCTTTGTAATTGATGCTCAAGATACTGTGATAGAAACAACTATACATGTATATGATTCATGATAAAACTGCTGCATGGCTGATCATAAACCACTAAGGCTTAACACATTTCTCATACATGAAGTGATACTCACCAGTCCAGTTTTTGGGGTATGTTCAAGGAGTGTAACTTATCAACTTGTGTGATATGATTCTTATCATCTAGGGAACCGACATATGGCTTCAGATCAGTCAAGTAGGATGCTGAAAACAAGATTCAGCAATTTTACATCAGATACTTCTCTTTGAAAAATTTAAAAGAATATATACAATATTATGTGGAAATTAGCCAATCCTCTACTTTAACCCATTTTCAGTGCACTTGCCCCTAGGCTTATACCTGGTAAAATATAGTACTAGATATCAATTTTCATGTAGAATATTCTGACTTTATATATGTCTGGTATTTTAATATAGAGCCTCTATGATCTATGCCTCACAACAGATATCTTAAAGAGTAGACTTTAATTGATACTTACCTTTGAATTCTTCTGGTGTAAGATCAGAAAATTTGTTGATTCCATACCAGGCAAATGACTTGTTGGTATGTAGATTTAGTTTTTCTATTCTAACCAAATTTTCCTGAAATAGTGTAGAGAAGATACACAAAAGTTTTATAAAGATGTGATGTATTCAAAATTTTGCATAATTGTATACAGATATTATTTTGGGGGAAGTGGGGGAAAGGGGGTTAAGTTTATATGACAAACATGAGTATAATACAAGTAAAATGTGTAAGCTTATCATTGAATATCACTGAGCATGATTATTCAATCATCCTTAACTGACTGGAAACAAAGTCACAAAAAAGTACCATACTCCTACATGAAGTTTTTAAGTATAGACTATTTGTTATAAATGTATTTCGTTTTCTTTCCATTGTATATGTATACGTATGCAGTGGGGGGGGGGGGGGGGGGGGGGGGGGGGGGGGGGGGGGGGGGGGGGGGGGGGGGGGGGGGGGGGGGGGAATTGTCACAGTGTGGCTGATTTATCTTATTTCAAGCAATGAAAGGGAAAACTGTGCACACCGGAAACTGGCTTTAGGTATATAATTTGGTATCTAAACACTACAATAAGAGAAAAGAAAAGGAGCAAACTGAGCTTCGAACTGACATATAACCATGTCCAGCAACATTTGTGACCAACTGATCACCAAGCCATATTTTTCTTTTCTCTTGTAGTGTCTGACAATCGGACAAATCCGTATCAGAAGATAAGTATCGTCAAAGATAAATACTAGAGAAGTACGAGTAATTATGAGCTCTATAACATGTAAATATTAGATGTCCGATGATAAAGTTTGACAATCATCATATGAATATATCAGCGTATACATGTACCTTATAGGACAAGGGTAATTATAGGGAACTTACCTTAAATATGTTAAATCTGAAATGTAACTCTTTTGTTTCGTTGTAATAAGACTTTTTGTATTGATCGACATACTTCAAAAATGTATCGAATATGTCTATTTCCAAAGAAAATCCAATTAACAAAAATAACGTCAAAGCGAAAATAGGATTCCACATGACTTCCGTAACTTTGGAACGCCTCTTGTGTCAACATTGATTTGTACTGTGTGCTTATCCAATTTTATACCCCAAATATAAGTTCCGGACTATTGAGATATGTTGGGGAACATCTGAAAAATATCTCTGATTGAAAATGTTAGCGCTGTATGTTGTGGTACTTACATTAACGTGTACAAAATGTTGTTTGTAATTCTGAGTTTTAACCAGTTCTGTAATCATGATAACGCTAAAACCACCTGGTAGGTCCACTGGTTTTTACCAGAGTCGAGTTGTTCAAGTATATGATACTGTAGCTATGAAATTGATTCTTTCTTAACACTAATGTATATCCTTTGATATTCTAATATAATAAGTGAGTCAAACTGCCAAGAATCCAAGGCTTTATATCTTATAAATCAAGCTATAATTTTCAACGACATAATTGTCATTGTTATAGAAATAAACTCTGCCACAGATATTAAATAAAGTGACATGGTTAATTGCATCATTTTACTTATTCACGGAATTTATCGATTGTGATTTGTCCTTTTTTAATGAAAACACCGCGGGTATTTGAGCTTTCCAAAGACGGTGTCTATATCAGTAACAGTTTGTCCTGTAATATTTGATTTATAAAATAAATAATTAAGTTTATACCATAACGAAAAAAAAGCTACGTACATACTGTGGCTGGTAGGATTGTGATTCTTGTTAACCTAAGTGTGCATGACAGCGGTTTATAACATTTCTGATAATAACCCCGGTGTCTTCAAAACTAAAATTAGAGACATCAAATGTCAAACAGTATTATCATTTGCGAAAGAAATCACAAAACAAAATAAATGAATGAATAAGCATTCTAGATAGTGTCAGAGAGCTGACTCTCTGAATGTCTTTGAAGTCCTACTATGGTGTCAACGGACAAGGTAAACAATCTAACATACACAAAGACATTTCGGATTCTATGTCCCATAAAGATTCAATGTATTTTTGTTTAATTTGTGAAATTAAATTTATCATAGAAAATAAAATTTCAGTATCGTTCGGTTCTATTGTATTTTTGAAGCACGGTAAATATAAAGACAAGTGAAACAAGCTCGCAATTCACTCGAGGAGAATAAGACCAGGTTTTACGCCGGAAGGGCGATCGTCGTCTGCTTCACCGAGAACATCCGCCATGTTTTATTTTGAAAACATATAGGATGACAGAAAGAGTGAGAAAATATGTGTGCAGGAGAGGGAGCCTCGGGTGTGTGTTTTTGTCTTCTCACGTGACTAAAATACATGTGAAACAAACAATTAGTAAATAAAATTATCAGTATTGTGAACGTGTGTTCTATTGTTCAATCTGTTATGGTTTGATGTATGGAAAGACATAGGTACCAGTCAGTTCAACAACAGCACAGTACACATTACAGTATTTGTAACTGTCTTTACTAACACGTTGACTTCTGTAAAAGTTTGTCTTTTATCGTTATCTCAATTCACCACCCATCATCATCATCATCATCACCATCATCATCATCATCATCATCATCATCATCATCGCCACCACCACCATCATCACCACCCATGTAGTAAGGATCATCGGTTCCACCTGTCTGTAGAAACGACCAGATTCCAAGAAACATCGTTTTGTACCAGTTTAGCTGTCAGTTGAAGCTATACTAGTTGTAGGCGTATCTAAATGTGAACTTTTTGAACAAGTCGTAACTAAGCTTGGTATACAATCTAAAACATGTATTGGGGTATGTACATTTGCAATTTAGTTCGCTGCAGGCAGGCAAAACTCTTGAAAGCTTAATATCTAAAACGCTCCGATTGGGAAGCTATTTTTCCATGGGGAAGCTATAGATAAATAACATAATTCTGGGATTGTTGATGCTCAGGAATCACTTATTAAACAAGTATATTGTAACAGAACTAAAAAAGTTATAAAACCAGAGTTTTACATCTGTTTTAACTCTGAATAATGGAAATTAAACGTAGACAATCTGCAGTAATGTTCATGGAATTAACAATGTAAATACTAAAATAGAAAGCTTAAACAGGAAAGTTATAGATTTTGTGAAATAATGACTATAATCCAAGCAATTTATAAGAAATTGTTCTAATGATGTTATGAGAAAAGTGCGGAACTATTAATTGGGGGCCAAATTTTCTCCCGACACAAAGTAGACCTCTGAGTTCGGAAATACCTCTACTTCCTCTTTAAGCCTTTCAATATGGCGGCCACGCAAGGTAGCAAGAAAAGGAAGGTTAGAAACGTCTTTTACATCATGAAATACCGTTCTAATAAAGCTTAAACGACACCAAGAGAATGAGATGAAACAAATCTATGTAACAAATTATGTTTTGTGGTTTGATGCCGCCATTTAAAGTTGATTAAGACGGATTGTTCAGGGCATGTCATGTTGTTACTGCACATTCGTTTGACGTTCAGCAGAAATTTATGCCCTTTTGAAGTATGTCCGAACGCATCATAGTGTAATGAGCTCGATTAGGTTGGAACAATTTGAGCTTAGAATATTTTAGATCAAATTTACGGTTTTTTGTTTTCTAGTAAACGACAGTTATCGTATTTGTTTTGATTTGTCATCAAAAAATAAGTTGAGAACAGTGGGTAGATCGAGTCAAAAAGAAAACTCACAAGACATCCGACGGATGTTTATAATGTGTCCAATCCCACATTATTTTACTTACAATCAAAATAACTGTATCTACAATGTTACAGCTGACATTGCGATTTTGTTACATGTTATGTAGAAATCTAGCATGAGGAGACCACTATTGATAATAACATGAAAATATTCAACCCTTTATATTTGTTTATCTAGTTCGTAGCAGATGGTGTGTTCAAGGCAGAACTGAACAACTTCCTTACACGAGAACTTGCTGAAGATGGTTACAGCGGGGTTGAAGTACGCGTCACACCAACCCGTACAGAAATTATTATTTTAGCCACAAGAACCCAGAATGTCCTCGGAGAGAAGGGACGCAGGATCAGGGAACTTACATCTGTTGTACAGAAACGATTCAGCTTCCCAGAGGGAACAGTTGAAGTATGTTGAGTATACATTGGTTCAATGATTCAGTCTTAAGATGTTGCTTCACCTAAGTGTTAATTTAGATTTTGCTGGAATGATAAATCTTCACTTATGTATATTCAAAGGTGAACAATGCAACTGTTTATCCTCTCTTGATTGTAGAGGTAATGAAACCATGAAACCAAAAAACTAAATGCTGTAGGCATTGAAAAATTAGTGAACACAATTTGAGTCTTGCCAACAGAAAAGAGAAACAGATGCTGACGGCTAGGAATTTTCCTTTTCCACATTGTATATTCTGTTTCTTTTTAATAGCTGTATGCAGAGAAAGTTGCCCAGAGAGGTCTTTGTGCCATCGCTCAGTGTGAGTCCCTTAGATACAAACTTATTGGTGGACTGGCAGTCAGGAGGTGAGTGTCATGTCTAACAGTACATTATTCTCTTGCACTTGGTAGAATTTATATTACTAGCAGTAATCTCCTGTATATCAAGAGCGGTGCTGTTAAGATGGTAATAATACCAAGCATTTGATGCTTATAATAAAAATATTGTAGTTGTGACTTAATTCTAGGATGTTTTACTTGCCAGTATATTTGTGTCTGTATTGAGAATCCTTTTACGTTCAGTTTGATTATTTAAACCATCACAGTCATTAATTCATTATTGATGCATGTACATTTGTAGCAACACAGAATCCAGTCATTTATTACTGTAATTTTCATTCTTTCCATAATTCTCCACTTCTGATGAACAAAAAAATCTCCCAGGTAGTAATTTCCTCTCTTTGAATTTCCTTGATAATTGTTCATATTTATATTTATATCTCCATATTTCAGGGCATGCTATGGTGTGTTGAGATTTATCATGGAGAGTGGCGCCAAGGGATGCGAAGTTGTTGTGTCCGGCAAGCTGAGAGGTCAGAGGGCTAAATCCATGAAATTTGTGGATGGCCTTATGATCCACAGTGGAGAGCCCATTAATGATTATGTAGACACCGCCGTCAGACACGTACTCCTCAGGCAGGGTAGGTGTTGTGCTAGTGGTCTGTATTTAGTTGTGACCTCCAATGTTTTTGAAACATAACCATGTGGGATCCATTTTAAAGTGTACCAAGGAAGTTTTGCTATATTTAGCTATAAAACACTTCATTTTATACCATAACAGGTCAAAAAGTGCAGATGTCTGTTAATTCTGTTTCCTAGATATTTTTATTTAAATAGCCATCGCCTCAATATGGATAGACCACAACTGTTTCATCACACAAGTTCAACTGTCAAAAACAGCCCTATAGTAATATAACGGGGAACCTTCATCATGCATTTGATATGCAAGCTTTCTAGCTTTTTATGCGATACATTCATTGACACTTTCATGTGTAGCTTATATTTAAAGTGCTATGTACATACAGAAATTACTTTCTACAACTGAAATTATGAAATGAGATCCTATTAAATTGACCCTTAATGTTGTATTGTATGCAGGTGTCTGAACACACATGCAGAGGCTATCTACTTTAATCTGTGTTTTTCATAACTTATTAATTAAGCGACTGAAAATATACATTTTATCCAACTGGTCTCCATATATAATGATGAACCCTTAATTTATAAAACAAAATCTGTCGACCTATTCAGAATATAGTCAAAGGAATGAAAGCACACCCCACACCTTTCTTCACATTTGGAGATTTAAGTTTGCAATTGACAACAAATACAACAGTTCATTAGTCTATACTCATAATGGGCAAAACAAAACAATTCTTTTTTATCTCCAGTTATAAAAACCTGAAACAAAGTATGTAGTATTTGTGGCAAAAGTTGTCTAGAATAGTTGCATTAATTAGAGGTATATGGTAAAGAAAATTTTGTGATTTTGATTTTTAATGTGGACCATTGAAGTACAAACTGATTTACAAATGCTGCAAAGGGAGAACTGTCCATTTATGGGTTCACTTACATTGAAGAAACATCATACTTGTCGGTCAAACAAAATGAAGATAAATTGAATTAATTCACATTTGTACTACTGAATACAGAATTATCTTGTTTGATGTTGTTGATATGTTAGACTGGTGAACTGAATGATGGTTATTGCTCTGTGGACACCCAAGAACACTAACGTTGTCATGTGATTTTACAGGTGTATTGGGAATTAAAGTAAAGATTATGTTACCATGGGATCCTAGTGGTAAGATTGGCCCCAAGAAACCTCTGCCAGATCATGTAAACATTGTGGAGCCAAAGGAAGAACAGTTACCAGCACAGCCCTACAGTGAACAGAAGGGAACAGCCAAGCCTGGAGCCCCAGAACCAGCACAAACACCACAAGCATAAGGGTAAGGATGAAGCTTGTTCTTATATAGATGAAATACATTGTCTAGATGATGAGACTATTTAAGGCCTATACTCTGAAGTCTTCACAAAGAAAGCTCACAACCTAGAAACAACAGTATAACACCAACCATTCACATTATTATGACCACTTTTGTGAGCCAATAACCATTTGTAGTATCTTAGGAGATGGGACAACATTGTTCCTAATGCTAAGTTAAAATTTTTAGTCTTTACCAAAGTATTGTGTCCAACAATTAATGAAGAGAAGTAATTGAACCTGAAAATAAAGTATTGATGTGAATGATCCTGAACTGATGTCATTCAGCAGGTATGATGAACTTCCTGTAATGGCTAAACTGGTTTTCTGAGACTGTTAAGGAGTAAAATGGAGATAAATTGAGACAAAATAAAAAAAAAAATCTGTTTTACACCATTGGTAGTTAACCTGGATGTTAGATAAAGATGGATTTTTTTTGGTAGTAGAATATTGATTTTTGTCTCTTTTCCTTGCAGGTCCCCTCATCACAGTTTGATGCTATCTAAGTATTTGTGATGGACTTCATGTAAAATAAACATGTGAAGAAAAGATAGTGTGTTACTTAGTGTCATTTCTGCAGTATCAAAAAAGGGGAAAAAATTGGATTCAACTTCAGATTCAAGAAAAAAGATGACCAAAATGTGCAATTCCTTTTTTTCTTTCCCTGATAAGAGAGTCTGAGGAAAGTTTAGTCTAAAAATGTATGTGAAAGGTTTATAAGGTAAAGCTCTTGTTTTCCTATTTATGGAAGGAGGTCTGGTATGGAATGTCTAAATTAATCTGCAGAGATCTACTCTTTCTTTCCAGTTTGCATGTATCTGTCTAGTTAAACAATTTTTGACTGCATCTTTGAGCGGAGGAGTTTGGTACAACAGGAAGCTTGATGAGGTTTTTTCATCGTGAAAAGTGATTATGTCACAAGTCATCATCTTACATCTGCCCATCTAGACATAAGCTTTGCTGTCATTGCCTCTGAATAGGTTTTGCTTCGGAGACGGGACTGTCACTACCACTAGTAACCATTGTACCCTTTCATCCTTAAAGCCCAGGCCCATGTGCCATTCAAAATTGACCTAAATCTATGAGGAAAAAGAACTTGCTGGAACTCCTGAATTCACTGCTCTATTGAAAAGGTCATCGTCCATTATTGGTTCTTAAAAATTTAAGCAAATCATACTATCAAGATGGCAGCCATTTTGGAAAGCTAATGTTTACTACGGTAATCAATTTAAAAAAAATGTTGATAGATTGTGATACTGGGAGGGCGATGTAGGTGTAATGAATTGGGAGTAATTAGTTTGACTAACTTGCGGTCCTGATAAACTGCGGACATCGGCCACAATCAGGAATACTTATTGTGCTCCTTCTGAACAGTAAGTTGTATTGAGATCGGATTTTAGCTGATTTTCTTTTATCCAGATTTGATCCGCACGGGGATGGCAACTTGGTTCACTTGATTTTGAAAGCATCTTGTTAGTTGCTTTATGCTTCATAATTAACTTGGTTATGAAAAACAATGCAAGCAATGATTGGATGAGGAGCTAACCAGGCACAAATCTAGTTTTATGATAATTTGCATCAGAAGAGAATACAGAAAAAAATTATCCATTTGTTTCAGAAAGGGACATTTCAGTTTGAAGATACTTTTTGTGATTTGATGAAGGTGATCATACATTTTGCATACAAAATTAACAATGTGATGAATAGAATGGTAGGGATTCATGTTGTTAAGGGTAAGGTCAAGATTGATTTGTGATTGAGGAGTTAACAACTTTTATTTTTGTACAGTGTCCTGATATCAACTAACCATCGATAAAACAGGTAAAATATCAACGAAACAATGAATTACACCAAGATCCTTAAATGCCACGGAGAACAAGACCAGGTCCCAAATGTACAAAGGGATTAGTGGTTAGTGAAAATTTTCAAACCCGAGTCAAACGAAATTGGAAACCTTTTTTATCATGTCATTTGTAGATTTGTTTACATTTACACACATTTGTTCACCTAGTGTATTTGAAATTTTCACCAAACCATTGTAACTTTTAAGCAACTGGGCCCAGGTATTACAGAAGGGTAGGTGTCTATTGCGCTGATTAAGGATTGAGGTAAAATGTTTATCAGTTCTGATTAAGGATTGAGGTAAAATGTTTATCATCTGTCCTGACTAAGGATTAGGGTAAAGTGTTTATCTTCTGTCCTGATTAAGGATTGGGGTAAAGTGTTTGTCAGCTGTCCTGACTAAGGATTAGGGTGAAGTGTTTATCATCTGTCCTGATTAAGGATTGGGGTAAAGTGTTTATCATCTGTCCTGATTAAGGATTAGGGTAAAGTGTTTATCATCTGTCCTGATTAAGGATTGGGGTAAAGTGTTTATCATCTGTCCTGATGAAGGATTGGGGTAAAGTGTTTGTCATCTGTCCTGATTAGGGATTGAGGTAAAGTTTTTATCATCTGTCCTGATGAAGGATTGGGGTAAAGTGTTTGTCATCTGTCCTGATTAAGGATTGGGGTAAAGTGTTTTGTCATCTGTCCTGATTAAGGATTAGGGTAAAGTGTTTGTCAGCTGTCCTGATTAAGGATTAGGGTAAAGTGTTTATCATCTGTCCTGATTAAGGATTGGGGTAAAGTGTTTGTCATCTGTCCTGATTAAGGATTGGGGTAAAGTGTTTGTCAGCTGTCCTGATTAAGGATTAGGGTAAAGTGTTTTGTCATCTGACCTGGTTAAGGATTAGGGTAAAGTTTTTATCATCTGTCCTTGTTAAGGATTGGGGTAAAGTGTTTATCATCTGTCCTGATTAAGGATTGGGGTAAAGTGTTTATCATCTGTCCTGATTAAGGATTGGGGTAAAGTGTTTGTCATCTGTCCTGATTAAGGATTGGGGTAAAGTGTTTGTCAGCTGTCCTGATTAAGGATTGGGGTAAAGTGTTTGTCATCTGTCCTGATTAAGGATTGGGGTGAAGTGTTTGTCATCTGTCCTGAAGGTTTGGGGACAGTGTTTTGTCATCTGACCTGGTTAAGGATTGGGGTGAAGTGTTTATCATCTGTCATGATGAAGGATTAGGGTAAAGTGTTTATCATCTGTCCTGATTAAGGATTGGGGTAAAGTGTTTATCATCTGTCCTGATGAAGGATTAGGGTAAAGTGTTTATCATCTGTCCTGATTAAGGATTGGGAAAAAGTGTTTGTCATCTGTCCTGATTAAGGATTGGGGTAAAGTGTTTTGTCATCTGTCCTGATTAAGGATTGGGGTAAAGTGTTTGTCATCTGTCCTGATTAAGGATTGGGGTAAAGTGTTTTGTCATCTGTCCTGATTAAGGATTAGGGTAAAGTGTTTGTCAGCTGTCCTGATTAAGGATTGGGGTAAAGTGTTTATCATCTGTCCTGATTAAGGATTAGGGTAAAGTGTTTGTCATCTGTCCTGATTAAGAATTGGGGACAGTGTTTTGTCATTTGTCCTGATTAGGGATTGAGGTAAAGTGTTTGTTATCAGTCCTAATTAAGGGATGAGCTTAAGTGTTTGTCATCTGTCCTGATTTTGAGTCTGCTTAGAAAAGCAAACTTGCCGAAAGGCGGCCATCTTTTATTGACTGTGAAAGCTTGTTACCACAATTTCTTGATTAGTATTTGATGGATAGTTCGCATATTTCATATGTAGATTCCTCGCCGTCCCTAGTAGTGCGTTCTCTTGTAGTAGTCTGATCGGAGAAACAAAATCGTCGACAGTGGCCATGTTGGATTTTGACATTTAACATTTCTTGAGAAGTACTGGATGTTCTTCAATGTGATATGTAGGTTTCCCTTGTTCTCTTTTTGTGTCCATTTTGAATTTTGGGACTGTCAGGAAATCAAAATACTGACAGTTGTCCATCCTTTATTTGATAGTTAAATACTATTATTGTGACTCTTTAGAGGAATTCTCAAATTTCGTATAATTAAGAGGAAAGAAGATAAAAGAAGGGAAAAGATCCAACTTTTAAAGAACAAGTGAAGATCGAGCAGTGGTGGTCGCCAAGATCCCGGTGAGATCTCTTGGTTAATATTCTCTTGTTTTGTTTCCGCGTAATGTGATGTAAGAGTGTCAATTGAACGGACGAATTCCTTAGCACAAAACCTAACAAGTATACCGTTTTATGACAATTCTCAGTAGATCGCACTAGTGGCATTTAGCTTCGCAATATAAGCTTTGGAATGAAACCAAACATCGTTAAAGGTGTGAAAAGGCCAACTTTCTTACAGAAGAAATGTTTTTGAGAAAATAATGTTCATGGTTTATCAAAAGGAATCTTGACGTCTTTAACTGTGGTATGCAATGTAACAATATGAATGCAACTCAATTCTTATTCACTCTAACGTGTAGTTAAATCTGCTTCGTTCTCTTATGTCACACCGGACGATTCATGCCGACCTAAATGAAATTAAAGTGATTTTACATACAGGTTAATTAACCAGTATCGATGTGTCTTTTGCTGATGTCTAAAAATAAGTGAAAGAAATAAAATTTTCGTGATTACGATTGTAACTGATCAAATATTACAGAAAAATGTTAGGAAAGGTTGGTAGAAAAAACTAGCGATAAATCTGAGTATTTAATGGTTTATGATTCCAATATAATCGAGGTAGGTCTGTATCATTAACATGCACTCTGAAAAGTTGCCACACTAGCAAGATTTCTGTGTACATGTACAGTGTACCCCTTTCGAAAAATATATGGAGAAGAGTTTACATTGCAATCAATATAAGTGTTTGTAAAGCTGGACTATATGTCAAATATTTGTGGACGCTCCCCTCCTAGTCTTAACGAATCATTTAAACAAATACTACAACGTATTTTCATATTAAAAACAAAACAAAAAACACGGCTTTTCTCTATCATAAATTTTTTCATTGTAACAATAAAAATTGAAAATAATCTCTGTTCACTCAACAATTTTATCAGTCCTCCAGTTGTTACTTGCACCTATGTGAACTCTTATGCTGGGCTGAAAAAGAAACATTTCAATTAAGTATGTATTCAGTAATTCATTAAACTGCGGAAAGCCAAGGGCTCAACTGAAGGAACGGGGAAGCGAATTAGCGAAATTAGGTGCTACCTTGTTTCAAAACCTCAAAAAGTTAGCAACATCAAACAGTATTGGAGAACCTGTCGGAATGATTTGTGCTGGGTCATACGCCGTATCTTACATATGGTTTTGTTTTAGTCTATATAAAATTGTTATACCTACGAGAATTTAGACAGAGTTGGCCTTGTGAACAGCTACTCCGTTAAGACGAACGAAGCTTGGCGGACCGATAGGAATCTCGGCCTCTCCATCCTTCTGTATCTTCATCACTCCACTGGAACGATAATTATCAATGTTTTATCAATATCATCAATATTATTACTATAATGATTTAAGGTAGATTTTAACTTTTTTTTTCGTGGCGAATATTGTCCCTTTTTGGCAATAAAACCCTAGATAATTAGAATGCTTGTTTTATTATAATGACACAACTTATTACTAAAGTATATTTTCTATTCTAAACGAGATAAGTACAAGCGTACCATTCACTTGTGAATGCGGCACATTAAGCGCTATATGTAGGTACATATTTCTAGCTAAGTACCAATCACCCATGAATGCGCCATATTAAACGCCCAGTGTAGGTACATATTTCTAGTACCAATCACCCATGAATGCGCCATATTAAACGCCCAGTGTAGGTACATATTTCTAGCTAAGTACCAATCACCCATGAATGCGCCATATCAGACGCCCTATGTAGGGACAGGTTTCCTTCCTCATCACTCACTCTTTGGTCCAGTCGGAGAAATAGATGTATTGTTCGTCAGTGTCCACACCGAAGAAGTGAGCCCCGGAGTCCTCGAACAGTGTCCTTCTGTTACTGCCATCAGTATTCATGACTTCTATCTTGTTGGTTCCCGCGTCACAGAAGTAAAGCTTGCTGTCTGAAATAGAAGGAAAATCCTGTATTGTGATACCGCTACCAAGGATACTTTTAAATACTTGCATCAAGGCATAAGATACTGCATGTTACCCATAAATATTAAGTGTAGATTTTATTCTCCTGAAAAAAATCCTGTTCGAGTTTGTGATATACAAGATTCAACTTATTCTTACAAGGAAAGTGACAACGCTACACAATGATTGACATGACCTTTTTGTACTCAATATCCTATCAAGGGGGTATTTGTTATAAGTGATGAGAAATGTCCATGCTTCTGATAATCAAACGGAGTATACTGCTAGTAGCTCGATTTCAGTTCTAGTGAATACATTATAATGAGTTACTTTATGGTAAGGTAGCAATAAGAACTCGATTACACACAGCACGCATCACATATGCATTGTCTCTACGAAAAACTTTAACTTTGTGTGAAGCACTTTACCGTTTTGCAGTAATCGTAACTGGTGTGAATTTCTGTATACCTTTTTCATCGAAGGTAAGTCCGTTTGGCAGTTTAAGTCCAGTACCATTGGCGATAACTTGTCTGGCACTCCCGTCATAGTTAGCTTTTTCAATCTTGGGGTCACTTCCCCAGTCTGTCCAATATATCACCCTAGGTGAGAGACATCACTTAGAGATCACATATACAGTTTTAACTGGTTATGAACCAATAAGAAGACGTACATTACAGAACATTGTAATACAGAAACATTGTTCGTATAAGAAAGGATCCAAATCCAGACATCTGTTTCCAAACGAAAGAACGGTGCTCCTTAGTGGTAATTCTTCTTACTTGACAGGGTGCTGATAATCATTTGTAATTCATTTCTCCATCTCTATTGCGAAATATTAAATTGTGATTTTCCATTATATATATATCTCATATAACATATCAGCATGCACTGAACATTGACGTTGACTTGAAAAACACAGGAAACAATATTTTAAAAGCTTACTGATTCTTTTCGTCAAGGGCGATCGCTCTGGGTTCATCTAAGTTGCTTGTGATGATATTAGTATTACCTGTACCATCAATGCCTACTTTACTGATGACATCATTTCCGGTATCGGTGTAAAATAACAGGCGATTTGTTTCGTCAACGACCAGACCATCCGGAGTAGAAACTGTAAATGTATTTTATTTAGTACGGAAGTACAGGTGGGACATAAGTTTTTTTTTTTTTTTTTTTTAAATTTTCATCGGGTGCGTACTTATGTACTCTCACGCATGTACACTCGTTATATTGTATTTAAAGCTAGGGTAAAGATGTTGTAAGTATGTGACACACATCTGCGCACGTCATGTCATATTATTCATATGTACCAAATAAAGGGAAACAGATTTTTAAACAGCACTCCAATTCCCTTCTATGCTCCCTGGTACGTCGAACTATGACATCGAAGTTTATGTTTTAACGAAAACATTTTTGGACATGTCATTGAATGCGAGATAATCATCAAGTAAGGTGTTAAAAAATAGTGAAGAACAGTTATATTCATATCAACGCAAATATTATTCAACGCTGCTTTTGTTGGATCAGACCAAATTTAAGATTAAGATGTTATCCAGTTTAACCAAATAATACTTTGATGAAGTTTGAGTAAACAATCCTAACAGCAATGACGCCGATAGCTTAACCACTTAAGTATTACATATCATTCGGAATGAAATATTCTTGTGTTCCTAGAGTTTCCAACATCACCAATTTTTGTTTTAAAAAATCTTGATATTATGACTTGCATGGCTTCTAACACGTTATTCTGAATGAGAGATTTTATATGCAATTTAAAGTATTGTCATACTTCTGTTGAGCTGCAACAGATCCGACTGGGTGGCGCCATCTAGGGACGTCTTTCTGATGACACCCACTCTAACGTCGGTATAAAACACATCGTGGCTTACAGGATCGTAGTCGATAGCAATGGGAGAATACACATTGTTATTTGGAATAGCTGAGTAACTTCCGGTTTCCAAATCCATTCGATAAATCTCAGATGTGTAAGAATCGGCCATCAACACAAAGCTCTTGATCGAATTTGGATCTGTAATAAAGGTAAGATTAACAAAACAGTGTATACAAAGTTTTATAATGTTATCAAATTCTGGGGAAAAACTGCAAGTAATTTGGAAACAGCAGTTCGATACCACACACCTATATACAACAGAAACTGAAGAGTATGGAAAATCTCTCCATGATAAGGACTGAATCCGATAAATAAACTTTGCTGCGGTTAAACGTGTATTTAAAACTTTAGTATGTCTGATGTAAAAAAAAAACAAAACAAAACACACACACACACACACACACACACACACACACACACACACACACACACACACACCTGTTACAACTGCTATAACAACATATGTATGCTACCTAATCTTAGAAGTTGCTCTAGACAACAATTGTGGATTTCGTCATCTTATGTATCGAGGTATCTACATTTAGATGAAAATATTGTATGTCGTTGTAAAAAGAAACCACACACGCAAAGTGATAGTTACAACAGTAATAACACATGTTGGCCACCTAATCTTAGAAGTTGATCTAGACAACAAATGTGGATTCCGTTATCTTATGTCTCGAGTTGTTTACATTTAGGTAAACAGAATTAAAGGTACAAAACATCCATTGTTATTCTCCGATTCCTTTCCCCTCTGACATGGCGTTGGATAGTCTCTAGATGGAGCTCACCAACTACAATGTATTTACCAATATTTGATCGTGGTTTGTATGCTTCCTGATGAGTACACGGTCTGGTTGGTCATTATACACACTTCGATGTACGTACAAAACAAAAACAAACCCTTTAACAAATGGCTATGCTACCTATAAATAACTATAGAAATAATGATAATTTCTTATGTAGTCATCGTATATGCTTGATAAAACTGATGAGTACCTAAATGACAGTTGACTCCAGCATCTTCGCTGTGACGGCAGTCGTGTACTCCCCAATCACTCGGTAATGTGCATTGTGCAATATGGGACTCGTCTCCAGTACAGTTGACCTCATCCAAAAAGATTAGAACACTGCCGTCACTTCCATAGAAGGACTCATTTACAGCCACAGCGTTAGACCTACAACATTGTATAAAAAACATTACCAACTGTTGCCAGTTTCTTGTAGCAATGGCTGCACATCCCGTATAAGCTACATAACTTAGCAATTATGTATCCGAATAAATTCATGTCTTTGAGCACTCTTTTATAATTTCATTTGGCATTGTGTCTGATGTGCATTCAAATTTTCCAAAATCTAATCCTTTTTGGACAATAAACTCTTTTGTGTTCTCCAAATATACTAAGGATGATCTGGCCTTGTTTCCGCTAATTATCATTCTGGGTTTAAAGTATCATGTTTTATGTCGCATACAGTCATGTAAAAGAAGAAACACATACTTGCCAAAGCCCATCATTTCACAGATTACGCTGGCGTCTGCATTTGTCCAACCGTCGTCACAAATGGTGCCCCACACGCCGTTCGCGTAAACTTCAACCAAACCTTCGTTATGATTTCCTTTTCCCAGCAATCGCACAAACATATGTGTCTCATCCTGTACAATGGGTGCTGGCGTAACCACACCTTGAGTATATGAAAAGTACACATAGAGATGACGTAACCACATCGAGACCGCGGGAAAATGCACACAGTATTGATGTAATCATATCTAGACCGAGAGAAAAGTGCACACAGTGATGACGTTTCAACATCTAGACCACAGGAAAAGTGCACACAGTGATGACGTTTCAACATCTAGACCACAGGAAAGTACACACAGTGATGGCGTTTCAACATCTAGACCACGGGAAAAGTGCACACATTGATGACGTAACTACCTGTAGACCACGGGAAAGTGCACACATTGATGACGTAACCACATCTGGACCACGGGAAAGTGCACACATTGATGACGTAACCACATCAAGTGCTCAAAGTGTTCACTAGTGAAAAATAACACGTTTATCAATGTAATATCTCTATATTTCACCGACTTAAATGTAATAAATGATGCTTTATATATTGTGTATTAACTAAAAGGATACCTCGCAGAAATGAATAACTGACCTGGCATGCCTGAACCATAATGGTGTACGTGGATATCTGCCAGCGTTTTGAAGGATGGCGGTCCAACTGTTGTCAGTCCAGTTCCGTCCTTATTTACTCTCATTACGGAACTAAAATGTACGTGTTAATGAATAATTGTTTGTCGTTCTTATAAGTAATAAACTGAAAAATAATACAAATATTTACCTTTCCCTACGTCATATTTTGATCAATGACCAATTTATCATCTCGAAAATGTTGGTTATATAAAATCCTCTAGAATATCAACGAGATGTAACTACGGTCTTCGCTGTAAATACTAAAGAACAGTAATGCATTCTTCGGTGAACAACAAATTGTAACCTATATTTAATGTTTACCTACCTCCTGGTGAGGTCGGTGTAGTATATGTATTGTTTGTAAAGCGAAAGCGCGAACATATGCGAACCAGGGTCAGTCAGGATAACTTGACGGTCAGATCCGTCTGTATTCATCTCCTCTATTTGGTCAGTACTAGCATCCACAAAGTAGAGTTTTCTTGCTACAAAAATCAAAGGAAAATGATTGTATGTTGACAAGCGTACTTATTATCTGTTTAAGATAGTACCGCCTGTGTATTTCCCCATTATATCTTTATTTCATCTCGATGTCGAGTGCGAATTTCAACGTATAAAAGATGTACGGTATTATTTTTCATTATTTGACCAATATTTTCCTTGCTCTAAAATCTATGTACAGAAAGTGATATCATACTGGTATAATCTAATGCGAGTCCATTTGGCCATTTCATGTTGTCAGTGGCTATTGTCTGTCTTCCGGTTCCATCGTAGTTCATCTTCTCGATCTTAGGTGTGGCTCCCCAATCTGTCCAGTACACCACCCTATAAAGACACCGCTTAATCTGTCATGTCGTTTATATTTCGATGTTTGTCACGTAATTAATTCAAGAGATATATTTATTTGTACTCAGGACTAAAATCATTGTACATTTAACACACTCTCCTTTCTCCCCGGCAACCAGGGTTGATGTTCTCAGTGTGAAGATATTGGGTCAAATGTCTAGTCGCGTGGGTTTTCCCTAGGTACTCCGGTTTTCTCCAACAGTAAGGCCCCTGACTTTTTTCTGTCCGGGCCAACAGAGTGTCTGATATTTGCTTATAGATTGCTATGGTTATAAGCATTTAAAACATGGTGCAGGAAGAGCTAAAGTTTCTCTATACAACATGGTGGAGGAAGTGCTTAAGTTTCTCTATACAACATGGTGGAGGAAGAGCTAAAGTTTCTCTATAAAACATTGTGGAGGAAGAGCTTAAGTTTCTCTATAAAACATGGTGGAGGAAGTGCTTAAGTTTCTCTATACAACATGGTGGAGGAAGTGCTTAAGTTTCTCTATACAACATGGTGGAGGAAGAGCTAAAGTTTCTCTATAAAACATTGTGGAGGAAGAGCTTAAGTTTCTCTATACAACATGGTGGAGGAAGTGCTTAAGTTTCTCTATACAACGTTGTGGAGGAAGAGCTTAAGTTTCTCTATAAAACATGGTGGAGGAAGAGCTAAAGTTTCTCTATAAAACATTGTGGAGGAAGAGCTTAAGTTTCTCTATAAAACATGGTGGAGGAAGAGCTTAAGTTTCTCTATACAACATGGTGGAGGAAGTGCTTAAGTTTCTCTATACAACATGGTGGAGGAAGTGCTTAAGTTTCTCTATACAACGTTGTGGAGGAATAGCTAAAGTTTCTCTATAAAACATGGTGGAGGAAGTGCTTAAGTTTCTCTATAAAACATGGTGGAAGAAGTGCTTAAGTTTCTCTATAAAACATGGTGGAGGAAGTGCTTAAGTTTCTCTATACAACATGGTGGAGGAAGAGCTAAAGTTTCTCTATACAACATGGCGGAGGAAGTGCTTAAGTTTCTCTATACAACATGGTGGAGGAAGAGCTAAAGTTTCTCTATACAACATGGTGGAGGAAGAGCTAAAGTTTCTCTATACAACATGGTGGAGGAAGAGCTTAAGTTTCTCTATAAAACATGGTGGAGGAAGAGCTAAAGTTTCTCTATACAACATGGCGGAGGAAGTGCTTAAGTTTCTCTATAAAACATGGTGGAGGAAGTGCTTAAGTTTCTCTATACAACGTTGTGGAGGAATAGCTTAAGTTTCTCTATAAAACATGGTGGAGGAAGTGCTTAAGTTTCTCTATAAAACATGGTGGAGGAAGTGCTTAAGTTTCTCTATAAAACATGGTGGAGGAAGTGCTTAAGTTTCTCTATAAAACATGGTGGAGGAAGTGCTTAAGTTTCTCTATAAAACATGGTGGAGGAAGTGCTTAAGTTTCTCTTAAAAACATGGTGGAGGAAGTGCTTAAGTTTCTCTATAAAACATGGTGGAGGAAGTGCTTAAGTTTCTCTATAAAACATGGTGGAGGAAGTGCTTAAGTTTCTCTATAAAACATGGTGGAGGAAGAGCTAAAGTTTCTCTTAAAAACATGGTGGAGGAAGTGCTTAAGTTTCTCTATACAACATGGTGGAGGAAGAGCTTAAGTTTCTCTATAAAACATGGTGGAAGAAGAGCTTAAGTTTCTCTATACAACATGGTGGAGGAAGTGCTTAAGTTTCTCTATTAAACATGGTGGAGGAAGTGCATAAGTTTCTCTTTAAAACATGGTGGAGGAAGAGCTTAAGTTTCTCTATTAAACATGGTGGAGGAAGTGCTTAAGTTTCTCTTTAAAACATGGTGGAGGAAGTGCTTAAGTTTCTCTATAAAACATGGTGGAGGAAGTGCTTAAGTTTCTCTATAAAACATGGTGGAGGAAGAGCTTAAGTTTCTCTATAAAACATGGTGGAGGAAGTAAGTTTCTCTATACAACATGGTGGAGGAAGTGCTTAAGTTTCTCTATAAAACATGGTGGAGGAAGTGCTTAAGTTTCTCTATAAAACATGGTGGAGGAAGAGCTAAAGTTTCTCTATAAAACATGGTGGAGGAAGTGCTTAAGTTTCTCTATAAAACATGGTGGAGGAAGAGCTTAAGTTTCTCTATTAAACATGGTGGAGGAAGTGCTTAAGTTTCTCTTTAAAACATGGTGGAGGAAGTGCTTAAGTTTCTCTATAAAACATGGTGGAGGAAGTGCTTAAGTTTCTCTATAAAACATGGTGGAGGAAGAGCTTAAGTTTCTCTATAAAACATGGTGGAGGAAGTGCTTAAGTTTCTCTATACAACATGGTGGAGGAAGTGCTTAAGTTTCTCTATAAAACATGGTGGAGGAAGTGCTTAAGTTTCTCTATAAAACATGGTGGAGGAAGTGCTTAAGTTTCTCTATAAAACATGGTGGAGGAAGAGCTTAAGTTTCTCTATAAAACATGGTGGAGGAAGAGCTTAAGTTTCTCTATAAAACATGGTGGAGGAAGTGCTTAAGTTTCTCTATACAACATGGTGGAGGAAGAGCTTAAGTTTCTCTATTAAACATGGTGGAGGAAGAGCTAAAGTTTCTCTATAAAACATGGTGGAGGAAGTGCTTAAGTTTCTCTTTAAAACATGGTGGAGGAAGTGCTTAAGTTTCTCTATAAAACATGGTGGAGGAAGAGCTTAAGTTTCTCTATACAACATGGTGGAGGAAGTGCTTAAGTTTCTCTATAAAACATGGTGGAGGAAGTGCTTAAGTTTCTCTATAAAACATGGTGGAGGAAGAGCTAAAGTTTCTCTATACAACATGGTGGAGGAAGAGCTTAAGTTTCTCTATACAACATGGTGGAGGAAGAGCTTAAGTTTCTCTATAAAACATGGTGGAGGAAGAGCTTAAGTTTCTCTATAAAACATGGTGGAGGAAGTGCTTAAGTTTCTCTATACAACATGGTGGAGGAAGAGCTTAAGTTTCTCTATTAAACATGGTGGAGGAAGAGCTAAAGTTTCTCTATAAAACATGGTGGAGGAAGTGCTTAAGTTTCTCTTTAAAACATGGTGGAGGAAGTGCTTAAGTTTCTCTATAAAACATGGTGGAGGAAGAGCTTAAGTTTCTCTATACAACATGGTGGAGGAAGTGCTTAAGTTTCTCTATAAAACATGGTGGAGGAAGTGCTTAAGTTTCTCTATAAAACATGGTGGAGGAAGAGCTAAAGTTTCTCTATACAACATGGTGGAGGAAGAGCTTAAGTTTCTCTATAAAACATGGTGGAGGAAGAGCTTAAGTTTCTCTATACAACATGGTGGAGGAAGAGCTTAAGTTTCTCTATACAACATGGTGGAGGAAGTGCTTAAGTTTCTTAAAGAGCTTAAGTTTCTCTATACAACATGGTGGAGGAAGAGCTTAAGTTTCTCTATACAACATGGTGGAGGAAGAGCTTAAGTTTCTCTATACAACATGGTGGAGGAAGTGCTTAAGTTTCTCTATAAAACATGGTGGAGGAAGATAATAAGTTTCTCTTTAAAACATGGTGGAGGAAGAGCTTAAGTTTCTCTATAAAACATGGTGGAAGAAGAGCTTAAGTTTCTCTTTAAAACATGGTGGAGGAAGTGCTTAAGTTTCTCTATACAACATGGTGGAGGAAGAGCTAAAGTTTCTCTCTAAAACATGATGGAGGAAGTGCTTAAGTTTCTCTATAAAACATGGTGGAGGAAGAGCTAAAGTTTCTCTTTAGAACATGGTGGAGGAAGAGCTTAAGTTTCTCTTTAAACCAAGGTGGAGGAAGTGCTTAATTTTCTCTATAAAACATGGTGGAGGAAGTGCTTAAGTTTCTCTATAAAACATGGTGGAGGAAGTGCTTAAGTTTCTCTATAAAACATGGTGGAGGAAGAGCTAAAGTTTCTCTATACAACATGGTGGAGGAAGAGCTTAAGTTTCTCTATAAAACATGGCGGAGGAAGTGCTTAAGTTTCTCTATACAACATGGTGGAGGAAGAGCTAAAGTTTCTCTATAAAACATGGTGGAGGAAGAGCTTAAGTTTCTCTATAAAACATGGTGGAGGAAGTGCTTAAGTTTCTCTATACAACATGGTGGAGGAAGAGCTAAAGTTTCTCTATAAAACATGGTGGAGGAAGAGCTTAAGTTTCTCTATAAAACATGGTGGAGGAAGTGCTTAAGTTTCTCTATACAACATGGTGGAGGAAGTGCTTAAGTTTCTCTTTAAAACATAGTGCAATACGTGTTGAAACGATTTATAAAAAGTACCGTTTTCGTGACATTAAATCACGATAAAATTTAAATCCTTGAATATTTGATTGGGCATTTTAAGTTTATAGACAAAAGGTGTTTTATTATTGCGACCTATCCCTCCCATAGAAGAGGGATGTATTTGTCATAGAACACCTATCCTCTAAACTAACTGTTAATTTTAAATAACAGGTGATTTAGTAACAATGACCCATTCAGTAAAACCAACCAGTGTACATCAACAACAATCATATCTTCTACAAAGTAAACATCCCAATTATAATATTTGTGTGTTGTAGAACTGAAACGTCTGTTTGAACGAAACATTCTACTGTCAAATTTCGGTCATTTATCGTATTTTTTGAAGAGTTAAAATCGGAAAATATATCATTACGCTTTTATAGAAATGTTAACATGAAACGTCTAATGAAACGATCCATTTTAATCATGAAAACGTACCTGTTCTGGGGATCTACAGTTAAGTCTCGTGGCTCGTCTACTGTATCATTAGCGAGAATTGTAAAGTCACTTCCGTCAAGATTAATGGATGCAATGAAGTTATTTCCAGTATCAGCGTAGAATAGAACCTTGTTGATAGGGTCTACACATATCTTCTCCAAATCAGCATCTACAATTTAATACGGGACAAAGCAGTATTATTTTGCTGCGATTTCTATTTTATTAGAATTATCATACAACTAAGTGTGAACTGTGTAATTCTCCCTGGAGGCTAACTTACTTTCATCAAGCTGCTCAAGTTCCCGGATGTCGGTACCGCTAAAGTGCACGCTAAGGAGCTGTCGGAGAGTCGGGTCGACGAAGTAGATACGGGCCTCTGTGGGGTCATAGTCGATAGCTGAAGGTGAATACAGAGGGTTCATCGGTATAGGAGAGAAACTCTGCGTGTCGATGTCCATGCGAAAGATAAGGCCGCCGACTCCAGTATCCACAAGAAGTATGAAGTTGTCCTGATTTCTCACTGAGGAATATAATATACATAGTAATATGAATACGAAAAGATTTTGGTAAAGAAAATGAGTTGCAGTTTTCGATGAAAGCAAAAGACGTGTTCTTAGATAAAAAATAGATAAATAAAATTACTTGGAGAACACACTACACCCGCATCCTCGTTATGGTAGCAGTCATTGACACCCCAGCCGTTGTGTTGACATTGATCTATCAGAGTTTCGGTTCCAGTGCAGTTAACTTCGTCGAGCCAAATACGGGCATAGCTTGGCGCATTTCCGAACCCAGCGGCTGGTACTGCTCCGGCTCCATCACTACAATGCAACAACACTGTCGTTACATTACATTATTTAAGTCGTCATTTCAGTATAAGTGATTAGCATCGGAAAGGAATTAATAGATTGTCTTTATTTTTTGCTAGCAAAGAATTTTTCCGTTGACATGGAAAATTTTTTTACTATGATTATCCATTCTACTGGTGATTTTGTGCTGTCTTAGAAAAACAAAGTTTCAGTTAAAAATGCAAGACGCTTTAAAATGCTACTCGTGTTCGTCCAGGGATGTTAACATTATGTAATTAAAGAAATTTGTATTGTAATAGATCCTGAATCATTCCAATACATAATTACTGCTACGTTGAACCTTCATTACAAAATTATAATATATTAAATTGTATCAAATACCGTCCAAAACCGAGCATTCCACAAACTACGGCAGCCTCTTCTCCACCCCAATGATCATCACATACTGTTCCCCATCGGCCGGAATGGAACACTTCTACACGACCTTCATAGGGATTCGAGCCTCCGATTAATCGGACCCAGGTAGTACTGTTGGGTGACACAGTTGGAGGAGGATCTATGAAAAATAATAACACTTAAAAAAGCTAAAAAATTTAATTCAAATGTTAATGGTGGACACGTGCTTTACGTTTATAGGGTGTAAGAAATAATGTTGTCAGTGATTAATACACTTTTACAAGATGTAGTCAAGGTATTTTGGCATTGACCTTTTTAACTTTAGATGACGTTTTTAGCTATTGATCTGATTATGTTTTGATAATATATTTATTTATCGGTGACCTAGTTACCTGATACCGATTCATATAACTCTCATCGACCTATTTTGCTTCCTTTAATATATTCATTTCTCTCTGACCCGTTGTCAATCTATTTATCTATCGTTGATTCATTTTACATTTTTTTCTCAGCGTATCTTTGATTGGACTGTTTACTTAATGTCAATGTATTTCTGATGTATTTTTTTCTTGTCCTTGACCTATTAAAACTGCTGTTACTTTGTTTGATTTTGTTGACCTATTTACCTGTTGTAGCTCCAGCACCACACTCGTTAGTGTTGCATAGATCACCAGTACAGCATTTATTACATATAGGTATCACCCGTTTGTTTTTGTTCCCGGGTACAGAACGTGGCCGGCTGTTCTCTCTTTTCCCTACTTGTGGACCTACTGCTCCGAAGTAAGATGTACACATCTAAAAAGGAAAGAAATAAAAGAAAGTTGAAATTTAAATAACACAATAAATTTTAGTTGCAAACTGTTCTATGCAAAAATATTCTTGAGTTTCCCGAGTAAGTAAATAATATTTTAGTATTTATAATAACTCAGACATACCTGTCCCCTAGTGCATCCTTGATTGAATTTGTCCGTCGTTCCCGAAATCGTCACCTTTTCCACGTAACATACCTGTAAGTATTAAGTTGCGAATGCATCATATTGAACGTCAGCAATAGTGCAAATTCCGTCCAAAATCGACACGAACAAGACGCCCCAGAAGAGTCAATAGAATTTCAATTCAAACTCAAACTAGAGGAAACAAAAGAGAGAATTCTGAAAAAGGAACGATTTGTACGGAGACCCGTGAAAATGTATAAGGTATATGGTATCAGGGTTTCCGGGAAGGTAAGTAGATTCTGCTGTATCGACAATATCGGCCATATAAAATCTTAGTTTAAGTGCTTAAAGTCAAGTAATTTTAAGTGCATTAAGCAAAAGATAATGTAATATTTCCCTATAATATTATGTTACAGATTCCACGTACTCTTGATAAACCCATATTTCTTAAAGCTCAGTGTTGTTAGTTTATCTGTCAGCTGTCGACACCTCCCACGAAAATCGTGATATTAGGAACATGCCCTTTAATCAACTGCGGCAAGTAAACACCAAAGATTCGGGAAGCGCGGACGTGACTATCTAGACTATCTAGATCATTTGTTGGAGTTGTCTGTATGATAATATTATTATCGGTACCTTGATCAATGCTGGTTTCAAAATCATATTTGATTTAACATTTTACTCACGTTTCACTATGTAGTAAATGTGTTTTTGTCAATTATTCTAGATACATAAACATTCCAGAGTTGAGCAAGCCTACTCGTATAGAACGTGGTAAACAGAATGTTTCCGCTCAAACTACGTGGATCGCATACTGGATTATTTTCAAACTTATCTATTTAATTAATTTATGATATAATGTCCTAGTTTCTAGATCTAGTTGCACACCTTCTCGATGTTAATAATCAGGACATGTAAGTGAACGGTTTTGATATGGACTGGCTAAGGTTAAGGACAGCCAAGGTTACCATAGGCAATGTTTTTATCTAAGTCTGATTTCTTATCTATGATATCACTACCTTAGCATGGAGTAGGCATGGCACTTTAGAATGGTACCTTCACGATGCATGTCGGTATCCTTGTAAGATCATTTATATTAAATGAAATTTAATTAACAGTGCTTGGTTTTTAAGACCATAAGGATGTGCTCCTCTGGTATTTTGACCGGAAGTAAGTCATAATTCAATATAAAATGAATTCCAACACAATATCTTGAATTTTTTTGTTTTTGTATACTACATTTTTGACAACGCAGCATACGGCGTGATTCGGGTTATAGCTCAACATTTCAGCATTTTCTGGTCGCTACTTCCCTTGAGTATGTCTCTGGAAGTCTTATGTAGATTTCAGTTAAATTCAGCATGAATTATCGCCTTAAATCACTTTGTTCAAATTCGTGAATTCTGATTACTTTCCCAGATTTGTAGGACCCGACTCTTGATCTCGGGGAAACTGTTTGGGCGAAACTATAAACCACAGAGACCCTCTCTGTTTAACCATGAAAAGTATCGTTGAAAATATCTCAAATATTAATACTAGAAGATGGTTAAATAAGTAATATCCAAGTACCATACCCTTTACCTTTTATTAAAAGATGAATGTAATTTTTAAAATAAATATAAGAAATAATATATGGAAATTAACTATTTCCTGTTATGCTTTTTTGGCGCCCTTAACGGTAAAAGTAGGCAACAAAATATTGAGCGTTTGCTTTTAATTTAATCACACCATTTAAAAAAAACATCAGAAATAAATTTAATACTGGACTTTTTTCACTTCTAAGAGAAGTACACCCTTAACAAGAAATTGCGCATGTATCTGTGTAACAGTTACGTAGCCTATATACGCCCTTCCGCCGTCCGTCCGTCACCATTCTCACCTTACCTCATCTTCCTCACAGCGAACCGTCTTACTGCACTGGCTGGGATGGTCAGACAAAGAACACGCCAAACATAACGGACCCGAGGCTGCAAAACAAGACCAGATGTTACCATGAAAAAAGATTAAACTCTGTAATGATTACAAGATGAAAACATGAAAACAAGACAAATCTTTGCCTAAAAAAATGACAAAACAATCGTCATGAAAACAAGACAAAAAATTGCCAGGGAAAGAAGACAAAGAATTTTCGGGAAACAAGACAATGCCAAAGAGTTTCCTTCACTAGTGTTCGTAACACAATGACAAACGTTTGGGACGCATTGCAAAATGAGGCATAATTACATCCAATAACGCACAATTACAAATAAATCCAATTTGCGGTTATAAATTAGGAACAGAGACCTTAAAGCATAGGTCAGACAAATCTAGCACCTGGTTAGAGAGTGAGATTTAACTGCTTCATGTACGAGAAAACTCGATATGTCTAAACATATTTCTTTCTGTTATAATTTTTGATGTGTTTGTCAAAAACTTTTTATACATAATCTGCATAAATAACGGTTTCGCATCTAATTTTGTATATCCCAGCGGCACGTTGTGCCTTTAAGAGCCCAAACAGAATTTTCGAGTTTGCCATATTTTTATTTCATTTTTACATCAGTGTTATATAGATATGTTCATCTTCCTTGAAGTGATACAATGCCAATTAAAATTAATGTGTGATACACGTTTGAAAATGATACTCTTGGTATAGTCAATAATCACCTTAGTACTTCATAATTCCAAGAATTGTGGGTGGTGCTTAGGCAAGCGTTTCCTGTTATCTGTTTAGAATAATGTTGCTGTGTCTTGACCTATCGGTAATTTTCTTAACAATGATAGCCCCTCAAACTTTTGGGCAAGTGAGAAATGCCTTCCTTTTATCTGTTAACATTTATTCTTGATTGTGAAATGCTCCTATTTTCATTATTGTATATATATGGTACCGAGAAAATACTTACAACGCTTGCTGTGCGAGACATCTTCTGAATACGGTAGGCAAAGAACAAGTACCGGCACGACTGAAAAAACAGCCATAACATGCAAAGAGTTACAGTTGCAAAAAGGAAAATGAAATAAAGTGGAATTTAGGAGGTCTATAAATTAAAGTATAAGGACACGAATAAAATGTTTAAACGAACTTCCCCGACATCACGTCATTGTCATTATTTTTATTTTTAGCAACTTGTATGTACATGTAAACAACGCAAGTTTTAGTATCTTAATTGATATAACAATACATTTTATGCTAGTAACACTGATAGATCACGCCTGATTCTACTACACTTACCTGCCAGCAGTAAGGTTGTTCGGAGGAGCTCCATTTCGGCAGATCGCTGGACAAGGACACCGGACCTGACCAGATCTTTATAAACTACAGACGACTGGATCACGTGACAGTCTGAAGATAACCTTATCTTAAACGTTAACTTCCTGATAGGTCAATGCAATTCAAATAAGGAGTCTGCTTTTCGGCAATTAATTTCATACAAGTTTGTTGCTGTTGTCCTTTTCTACATGTAAATGCGAAAACCGTGGGATAAGTTTACCAGATAACTTCAACGAGTATCTGGTATGGGTGCTTAAACACCTGAAGTATATTCGTAACATTAACTGTTTTAATACAATTTGAAGCTATTCTTTACGGGTTTCAGATCATTTTTGAAAGTAAATTTCGGTATAGCAGATCAGTATAATTTTGGAGTACAATGACAAACACTGGACAATGGAAAGACTGATATTCATATGAGCACTCACAAAAATTGGAATCATATATGGAAAAGTAAAATTTCTATGACATAAATAGAGATTCGGATAATTTTGTCTTGACCATGGATAAATAGGTAAAAAAAAAAAGAAAAACAGTCACAGCTTGCTTCCTTGTATATACTATGAAGGCAATAAATGGCTACCAGGAAGTTGTTTAGGTATACATCAGGCTGTGATACATTCATGGATGCCTAGAATCAAATAATCCCTAAATATTTAGTGGCCTAACAATACTTAATATGTACTAGTGTAGAGGTCAACAAAATGTTTTTTTATGTGATGCATTACGTGTCTTTGTTCTCTTATCTATGTCATTGAACAGCATATTGACTGGTTATCTATGTATCTACGCCTGACAGTGTGGTCGCTATTTGTGACTGCGTGGTCGGGCGTCCATCTTTCTTTTTTTTATGAGTAATATCTATGACTGACAATGACGTGAATTGTTCTTTCGTCAGCCCTTCTCACCGCTTAGCTAAGCAGTATCTTAATTTTTGTCCCTTCTACCTACCTGTTATACTTTCTGTCTAACGCGGATTATGTTCGATTTTCATGCAATTTTAGTTTTGAGATTTGTTGAGTTCTGATATAAATTTTATTGACCTAATGCCAAGGTTGTCAAAATATTATATCATTGGAAAATTATTTGAGGTATCTTGAACTGTTAACACTAATGTAACTTTTCTTTATACCTCAAACAAAATAGAACTATTTTAACAACCAGCACAACTATATGTATGGATATAAACCATATGTATGTATTTTCTTCGATGGTGCTGAATTTGGGTCAGAGCTGAAGCTTTGCCGTTGTTCTGAACCTGAATTCTAAAAGCATATTAGAATATTCCCTTGTAAGCCCTATTTCTGACTTTTTTGGTGAAGTATCCGTATTTATCTAATATCTAATAATTTCAAAAGAATGTACATATGCAAACTCTGAACCATGCCACTGCTTCAACGAATTAGAACCTGGTAGGGAAGTTAACTAATTGTTCCAAGGACTCCGATTTCCTTGATAGATGGCGACATCTTACATGCATATTGGCAGCACAGGAGTTCGGTAGATGAACGTTGATGAAGACTATCGAGAAGATTTATGGACCCCACAATAATTTCTTTTTTTGAACTTTTTTTTATTTCCTTGTGTGAAATGAAGTTGCATGCTTTTAATGCTACATATTGGTATTTTCTTGTTATTTAAATTCATAAGGTTATAATTCATTCTTCTATGTCAACCTTGTGATAGTTTTATACGTGTTTATGTTATACTCTAAATTTCGCATTTAGTGATGATGAACAAACACCATAGTATATCTTGGCATCGTGTAATGGCTTTTCATATTGGCTCTTTTGGCGTTTCATATCTTTGTATTGGCAATATGAATATCCGATAAGAGTTTTTCAAGGGCAACCAACATACCAACTTAAAATATCAAAATTCAATGACATATGGAAAATATAATTGCAATGGAAAACATTATAAGTAGACTATTGAAATTGTGATTTTTTTTTTTTGTTTTCTGGAAGGGAAATATGATGTTAAAAGTGATGTAAGAATGATTCATAATAGAACATACATGAGAATGAAAATATCAAAAGGTAAATAATGCAAGTTACGTAACTCTGGTAGTGGGAAGAATTGTGGAGGCTCTTTCGTGGCAGATTTTGTGTTGAAATGTAACGACTAGCTATGGGTTAGTTATATAGTATATTTGTGTAATTTTAAATTGGTCATGTTAAAGGTCGATCTTGATTGGAATATTAGCTTTCGTACAGATAATTGTAAAAGAACGTACATATTTTATACAATAAAAAAAGATAAAGATGTAATTTAAGAAAATGATAAGTCTAGAAGACAGAAAATAATTTCAGAACAATGAATAACTCAGGAAGATAGAATATAATTTTAGAATACATTATTTTCTTAATGAATGTATAAGACATTGTATTGAGAAAATACTGCTAAAGCTTAAGTTTCTTATATAAAAAACACGCTCATACGATCACTTTTAAAAAGTCATAATATTGAATGATGTGCTAATTGATACTTTATTGCAATGTTATTTGATAAAAAGATTTACAAGTTTTCAAAACAAGATAATTTGAATCAGTAAAACAATTTTATTTTATATCAATATTAAGATATCAAAGATGACACACTAACGCAAGTATACAGATAAATGAATACAACATCAACCAATAAGTAATCGTAACTTCATGTAATACATTATAACATGTTGTATGTGCTAAACTAACGGTGAATTATGAAACGATAACACTACATTTTTATGCATGAATGTTCCACACATGGGCGTTCTTTAACCAGCCAGTACTCATTTCTTTTTTACACAAGAGCAATCAGAATTTACCTTACCTCGGCTCCGTAAACAATCAAAACGTAAATCAACACAATGACGTAGTGTATTTAAATGATAGGAAATGTCTTCCTGGTCCGACCGAAAAACCAAAAAGTGGCCCTCTCAGTATGTCTTGTTAAATTTCTATTTCTATTTCACTAAATGCTAAACATTTCTTCGGCAGTGAAAAAAAGTTTGCAAACTTTAGTAGGAGTTGATCTTACAAGAATTTGACGATACATTATGACCAACACCCAGTCTGCACAGTAGGCTGATAAATGAGTTGGTCTGTATTAAGCTTAAGTGCGTTAGCAAAGTCCAGTAGCATGGTCACTGCAGCTGCGTCGGCTGTGGGTTTTCTTGCCAACAAATGGATACAGTAATTTGTCATGAAGAAAGCGGAAGTACAGTCGTACTCAATGGCGTAATTATCATCCAAGTAGATGACTGTGTAATCAGCCTGAAACAGGAAAAGAATATACAATTATATCTACTAAACATAGTCATACAATGATAGCCTATCAAGAATGCACATGGACAAAGATATTCAATTTATTTAATCAATTAGCAGATTTGTAATTAAATTGACAAAGAAATTCAATAAATGAAATTGTAGTCACCTGGACAAAAAGATTCAATCAATGGATTTGTAACCACATTGACAAAGTTATCCAATTAACGGATTTGTAATCACATTGACAACTAAATTCAATTAACGGATTTGTAATCACATTGACAAAAAGATTCAATTAACGGTTTTATAATCACATTGACAAAAAATATCAATTAGCAGATTTGTAATCACATTGACAAAGAAATTCGATAAATGAAATTGAAGTCACACGGGCAAAGAAATTCAATTAATGGATTTTTTAATCACATTGACTAGTAAATTCAATTAACGGATTTGTCATCACATTGACAAAGAGATTCACTTAATCGTCTAAAATTCCATAAAGTCTTGATAAAATTTGGCACCGGCTCATAATATATATACGAAATTCTCGTTCTGCTCTTCATTCTGAACTAAATTATACTGAAATCCATTCATGAAAAAAATCAGTTGAACCTTGATATTCTTCAGTCCCCTTCTATATTTCAACATTTAATTCTCCTCTCCTAAACTCTGACATTTCATAGTACTATTTCTTTGATTATATGGCAGTATATAAACATGAATTTTCTACCGGAAATTCGATTGTGTCCTTAAACGTTGGAATACTTTGATATTACACTGCAGCTGACGATGTGTTTTAAATGAGACACAAATGTATAATGGTTCTACTGACAAATATCTACCTGTTTCTATTTATTTACTAAAAAAACCATTGCAAATTACAAAAATTCTTACCTTTAGTTTTTATCAGACTTTTGTTTAATGCTCATTTTGATATGATAATTTTGGTTTCGAATTGGGAAGATCGAGATAAAAGAAATCAAATACCTTTGGTGCAAGGAAGAAAAAGCCTTCTTTCCAATGCCCAGGGACAACTTCACCTGTCAGAGCACCTATTTAAAAAGAAAATTTAGATAAATCACACGTAAATTTATATTATTGTTTATATCCTGTATATCAATGGTAAAAATAAAGGGCAAGGAATATCATCATTTCAAAATGGCAGAAAGTAAAATAAAGACACAAATATGTATTCAATATAAATTATATATTGATATATTAATAAACTCCTGTTGTCATTTATCTTACCTGTAGCATTTAGAAAATCTCCAGTCGGAGATAACTTTCGGCAGCTATTAAAAGCACTTGCATCCCCATTTGTAGCGCCGGCTTTAGGTTGGATTCCTATAGTGGTACATACGCAATCCTTTTCAAAGAACCCTCCTCCTGCTGTCTGGATCTTACCTATTTCATACCACAATCCATTGTAACGTTCATTGGTAAAATTGGATGAGGGAGGAGGAGCCATGCACCCGGAAGCAGACACGAGAAAGGCATGAGAGATACCTACACATATGACCTGTTAAATTAGAAAGTTTGTGATAATAGAGTGTTGTGTAATACAATCTTTACTATTGACTAACACTTTGTAATCGTTATATGAATGAAATCGGCTAAATAAGCATTGCCTTCCCTACCATTTAATGCTGCATAGTTTGACATTCTTCAGAATAAACAGGATTCGTGTATGGATATAAGTGTAGTAAGTTAAAGTATGATCGTCAATAGTAAGCGCCCCCTTTTGTCAATAATCGGATTTCATTCAGTTATATATATAATTACAGATATCAATCAACATTTCAACTACAAGAAATAACATTCACATTACATTATGAATGCTGTTTCCAATGGACAGCTCTTTCATTAATCTATCAACAGTATGTTCCCAATTAGAATATTTTTCGCACAATCATGAGATCAAATATATATAAAAACTTTACATGAAAACTTATAAACATATTGTAAGTTGATAAGCATTACCCTTAGATAACGGAGCTGATGGTCAGCTTACCTGTACAATCAGTAAGGTATACATTTTTTTGATTCAGAGGTGTAGATCAGATGATGTCTTTGTTCGCTACTGACTTATTTCATGGCTCTGACTGCCTATATATATATAGCACACGAGGCACATGTTGACCAACGAGAGTCTTATCAGGATTCCAAACTATCATCTTTGGTTAGCTTACTGGCGAGGATTTAACTGATAAATGCCTTCTTTTATCTTATTTGTTTTCCATTTTTCAGAATACTGCTACATGATCCTCATATTCATAAGCCGTAATAATTGTAAACAAGCTAAAAAATAGTCAACATGAAAATAGATAAACAAAACCATATCTTTATAAGCCCGTCCCATAAATAAATATGATTATTCTGTCGTGTCAAGAAGGCTATGTTAAGTATCGACGAGATTAACTTGTATTTTGAAAAAAAAACCTAAAATGTGAGATGTTTTCATGGATAGATAACTGATTGAAATCAAGAATAGATTTATTATTCGTGAACATAGATATTGATGTTTTATTAAGAGATCCAGTACTAAGGCAGCACGCATGTCTGTCAATGATGTGATTGAAAACTATGAGTTTGGCATTGTTTTAATGTCTATCTTTTGAGTGTTATGCTTTTGTTTGTTAGGCTGACAGTACTCTAAAGTCTGTATTTACATGTACGTAAGGTCATTGGCGAGGACACGTGTTAATGTATGTGACCATTGGTTATGAAACAATATCTAGTAAGATAAAGCACTTCGTCTGTACGTGTTTACTAGATTCCTGTCTTCAAGTGATCGATATCATTTCTATTTCAATGACCTGGAATATTTTGAAGTAACGATTTACACTAGAACTAGCATATTTATATACAAGTTTATACAAGCAAAACTGAGTTAGAGGCCAAAAAATGAATTAAACTGCATCATGCAGTTGTTTTGTCTTTCGAGGACTCGTCAGTGATGCTTTTATTGTATATCATATTTGTTCAAAAGTCATAGATGAAGGGTACACTATTGATTAATGAAATTTTAGTGACTAGAATTCGATAGAATTGATCAATCAATGGTCTTATCGAAGTACATGTGTAGATAGTCTAAGACTTTAATAATAAAACTACATATACGACATCATGTTGGCAATGGTACACACACACACCAAATAAACACACAACGGTAACAACCATTCACATTTGTGCACGCGTCATTTACACTTCCCTGTTCTGCACATAAGATGTAGAAGTTACATATGATGTCCCCAATGTATGATTTTTTGTAAAGTTTGTATTTTTTCTTTGAAAACTACTGTATCCTTCTTGATGTATCCCTTAACGATGTCACACTTTAGCCCATGGCTTTCCTATGTGAAGAAGGCTTCGGACTTTGTCTGCAGGTCAAGACATACCAAAGGGTATAAAATAGTATTCCCCGCTTAACTCTCAGCATTGCGGTAGTGTAATAATTGCTTAACAATCGTAAATATAATGTGACCAGGTGGAGTGTCCTGCTGGAGGTCTTCGGCAGTACACTTCGGTGTGGAAGCACTAGAAAGTCGATAACAACAGTGCTATCACAAGGAGGCTATCATAAATAAATAGCAGCCCCTGAAGACGACTCTCTCAACACATGTCTCGCATACATTGCACACATTGTGAGGCTGTTCATAAATTACCATAGCTGTTAAGCAAAATAAACCGAAACAAGTTCTCTTCCAGACGAGAATCTTTAAACACATTATATATATATATAATCTTGCATAAACATTGGGCATATATTCATTATTTAATAACATTTGTATTCCGTAAAATGAGGTGGGAAAATCTACCATCTGACTTCTGTTTCATAGCAAATCACGGTATTGTTGGCAATTTTACCCCATACCCAATTCGTTTCTTATCTCTAACCTTGTTATTGGTCACACCTCTACTGCCTACCTTAATCTTTATTTTAATCCCTAACCTTGTTGTTGATCGAAGTTGTACCAAAACAACCAACATAATTTGAACAAAGGATTTTACACGAAGACAAATGAAAAGTACAAATAGAAGATGACCAGGTATTCTGGAAGGGTACGCGTCTTCTGTTTCAACGGTGACACCCCATGTATCTCTTGGTCAATCCAAGAAAGTAATGTCAAATGCCCAAATGAGAACAATGTAAATGACAATTGAACCATCAGGCATACTAATGAGCATCAAATATGTCCACTTTTATATCGCGTAAAGAATATAACCCCACGTGGTCAAAGCACAACTCTCTAGCGTAGTTTTCTACGGAATCCATAAATATCTTGAAACTCACATTCCGGCCAATGGACGGGGTTTCACGATATGAAAAAGTTGACATACATTGACGTGCTAAAAGTATTCGATCACAACGGCGGCGTGTTTTTTTTGACATTTTGACATACACTAGTATACGGTCGATATAAAATGTCGCCGAGAGGTAAACTAATGATTCAATTGCAACAAAATTACACACTTTAGTATTTTGTGAGATATCTCTTTAATCTGATCACATTTTAAACCCTCGAATTATGTAAGCAGTGGATGTAGTCAGATGTAATCTCCATCCAGATATTTGTATTTCCCTGAACAAGTCTTCTTTCTATTTTACAAATGTTACGCGGGATTGGAGTTTGATTTTGACAGACAACAAAACATTTTCAATAATATTTATATCTGGAGACTGTGCTGGCTAACTCATGCAGTGGATTCCCTTCCGGGCAACACATTCCTGGATGGACCTTGCACGATGTAGGGGCGCATTATCGTCTTGGAAACAATAACAACCTGAAGGACAATGCCTTGTTATAACAGGCCAGAGATGTTCTTCCAAGACTTCCTAATATTTTGCAGCATTGAAATTTCAATCGATAAAAGTAATTAAATTGACAGTAATTAAAGCCTTAAATCATCATTTTATATTTGTTGTGTATCAAACGCGGCCGGAAGAGATCGGGTCTCCATCCTCCGTCTCGTTTTCTCCAGATGTTAACACGGCGGTCCTGACCAATAACTATTTTACTTTCGTCGGAGAATATGACCCTTCCGAGAATATGACCCTTTCCAGTTGTCTAAAGTCCATTTCCCCTTTTCTCAGCACCACGTCTATTGTATCCATGTTTGTGCAGATGGCGTTGAATAGGTCGTTTTGAGATAGGAAACTTTCGCCATTCATTAAGTTTAGTTGTAATATCGCTCACCGAATCCCTTCTATTTGTTGCGATAATCACGGTTGCTCACTGAACGCGGCCTGTCTGTTCGTTGTTTTCCACTGATCCAGAACTTGAAAACGTTTTAATGATATCAATAGTTGTAGATTTAGGTAATTTTAGCATCATACTTATATTTCGGCGAGAATATCCGCTCTGAAATAGCCCTATGATAATATTTTTCACATCCATTAAAAGATCCCTGCCTTTTCAATCCATCTTGGCTTCGTAGTAATTCGGGGGAAACCAGAAAGCAGACGACAACAAAAATTTCATTCTATATTTGTTGTGTATCGTCACATGTAAACACGGCCATTAAAAGATCTGCCTTTTCGAAATCTTGGCTTCGTAGTAAAAGCACGACAACGTATATCAGTGACTATGAAAGCGTAAATTTTATCAGTGACTTTTTAATACCGAATACTTTTGGCACGTCACTGTAGATTGACGTTTTGGATCTACATATCTATCTGAAAGGAACTATTTTAAGATGATATTCAGCCATCTATCTTTAGCTTTTTTTCCGTGAAAAGACGGTAGTAGGTCAGGCCGCAATAAGCATTCATGAACCAGCAATTCCTTAGTGATTATAAATCCTAATCAAAGAAAATATAATAACGACTACCATTTGTATTTGATGGCCGCAATGTCCCTTGGATTTCGGACATATAAGACGAACAATTTTTGACTTTATGAAGTTTGAATGTTTATTGTGTAAGTTCATGGTATAAAACATAATCATTACTTGGTGTCTAAATTACTAAATGAACAAAGTTTATCTGTTAGAGAATATATCTGTCATGTAATCTTGATGTGGTAATCTCTGTCTGCATTATATATAAACCTCATATATATTCAGTAATAGGATAGAATATATGAAATTAAGAACAAACATATTATTGCTGTTATGACAATATAGTTATGGTTTGATATTAACAGGTGTCTATACAATGTTTTCTCTGAATATCATTATCTCGAAGTCTTCAAGTCAAACATTACTTACGCATCATAACGCATTAGCATTTGTTACGTGTACGAGGACTGATAGATAAGTTGTGAGTCTTGTATTGAAGAACTTCAGCAGTGATGCCTTTTTACAGCTCTACTTTTCCCTGAATATTTACGGCTATGTCCCGGAGACTGGTGTTATTTGTTCAATTTATGTCGAAGAGGTAGCAAAAACTACAAAATCGCTGAAAGAACAGTGATTCAATATTTGCATAAGAAATGTCCAGCACCGAAGGATATCCAAACCATATGCTACAGTGAAAAGGTGGATGGCATAATTTTAGCGTGGCAGGCAGAGCCTTTGGGATTGACGCCCGTCCTGGAAGGCCTGTCATGTTGTAACCCCAGAAATGGTTATCAAAGTCAATGATATTGTTATGGCTGAAAGGCGAGTTACAGAGAGTTATATAGCCAGTACAGTTAAGATTTGACAGGAAAACGTACATTCCATTCTTACGGAAGATGATGCAATAAAACAGCTCTCAGACAGATAGACTCAGTTGATCAGAAGTACACCAGGCGGACTTTGTTGAGTCTGAATCTTTTAGAGGCAGATTCCGCACACTTTCTGCAGGGGTTGGTGAATGATGTTTCAGCATAAATTGCGATATTTCTATGGGGACAAGGTAAATTGACTTAACTATTAGAAATGAACTATTTTAAATATACTTGTTAAAAACAGATTTTTTAAAAGAAATAAATTACTGAACAACAACATCGTTCATTTGTTATTTATGGCTTTTACTATGAACTCTTTAATGAGAAATTTGTCTTTATTTTATAAGAATGCGTCTAAATGATAGTATCGATGGAGTTGTTTGTCTTTGTACTGGCCCTGTTGTAGTTCATCACTCTAAGTGATCAACTAGCTCTTTCACACTAATTTCTTCCGGGAGATATCGGACTTCCAACGGGCATATGAATCAGGGTGAGCGCTCCGACGAATGGACGGTGTCATAGTTGGTCCTAACCAAGACTCATCGCATTAAGGTTGTATGGAGGAACTTTTCATAATTTCGGACGATAATTGTCATAGATAAGCACGACGTTACGAAACATTAATTGAGAAAGAATGTGTAGTGGAATTGGCAGGATATACAATTAGTTTATCCTAGAATCCATGGAAAAGATAGTGAACCTTTGTTTTCAAAACTGATGAACGGTTCGTTATTTTTAATATGTAATGGATATATACGTTGTGAAAAAGATCTTAAACTGATTACCATCATTCCCTATAAATTGGAAACAAAACACTGTTATTGGACATTTTGATAAGAACTAAAATAACGACATGAACAAAGAAAATACTTACAAAATCACATTTAAATGTATAAATATCTGGGTGCACTTGCACTGTAATGTCTACAATTCATATAGCAGTGTGTCCACTTTTGGCAACAAAAGATGACAGAAAAAAAATAATAAGACGAGTTTGAATTTTTGATCTTGCATATGACAACACTATTTAATCAGTAAAAACAGAATATCAAAAATTTTTAATTTGAAGGAATATAAAATAGTAAATCAATTCATCTATAAATATTGATATTAAACGATATGTTTATTATATAGCAATAATTTTGCATATTGTCACAGCGGTGAAATTGAAGAGGAATGCGATTCAGATTGAGATACGACTTCTGAAGAAACATTATATAACTAGACCTAGATTCACCTTTTAAAGTCAGTGAATGTAGTGTTATGAGACCTATCAAATTTTATCAAAATGGCTTATAAATGAAAGACACGATTTAAATGAACAAGTGTAATATGAGAAATGTTACAATGCTAATTGATGTTTCTCAGTGTGGTTAAGAAGGTATCTGAAGGTTTTATTCTAATTAAATATTTCAGAAGTATCCGTGGACGCCATCCCCTAGTCCCTTTTTGGTCTTCGCTTTATAGACTTTGAACCCTATTTCAATTGTGAGACATTATTTGGACCGGCATCGAACTCTACATGACGAAGGTCGTCGTTAAGGCAGAAGACACATGACCTTTCGAGAAACATGGTCGAATTTGCCTTGGACATTTGTTGCAAATGCCCAGCGTAGGTAGCATTTATATATTTATATGTATAATAAACAAACGAAACTCATCTTTAACAGTTTGAATTAATTTATTTGTTGTTTGCCCGTGTCGCGTCAAATTATTCACAGAAACATTCATCCAACAATAGAAGAGAAAAGTGTACTAGGAATGAGCACGTGGCTGATTACATGAACGACGCCATCTTCAGCCTCGATGTCAGTTTCTTGTAACGTTGCCACGTTGTTAAGCTTTGCGACGCCATCTAGGAAAAAGAGCATCACAATCAGTATAAAACTGTGCCAAACAGTAGTCGTGTAAATTATTAGGTACTTACCATAGTAACGACTAGATAGATTGAGCAATATCAAGTTTTTTTCTTGATATGTTCGATTTATGATCGAGCAAATAATTGATAACTGATCAACATTACGTTGAATGACTTGTTCACGATGTGTTACTTTGTGACCAAGAACAAAATGGCCGTAAAAAGCAATTCCTGAATACTGACCTGAACCGACGGTTAATGTAATGGAGTGACCAGTGTACATGGTGCTTATGTGACCGCTGTGATCGAGAGATTTCTCGTGGAGGGTACCGCGGTGGATATGGTAATCGACCAAACCTGTTGAAAGACGGAAAGATGATGAACCAGTGAAAACATCTATCAACAGGCGTTTCACCGACTCCTTAATAATATAAACTATGACATTATTGTGTTCACTACATAAGCTGTATATTTGGATATGCTTATATCACCAAATATACGCGGTGTAGGTGTACCCGAGATAAATGCTACTTTTTGAATACAACACCCTAAAGCTCCTTTTTTACGCCAGGTCTGTGATTTGTCAAGAACACGAACTGAGTTGTTTGCATACAAGTGTATGTTACATCATGTCAAAGCAATGTTGTCCTTGAATCAGAACATTTCTCGAAGATATTTTGAACATTCATTACTTTTGAAAAATACTGAGCTCAACGCCAATAGGAAACTGAAATGCATGATTGCAGAAATCATACACGTACAAAAACGGGATATTAGTACGGTATTTCATACCTTGCGTTTAACTGAACAGATAGGATTATGAACGTTCAACGATCACTGTGCGCGCACACACAAACAAACAAACACACACGCACACAAATGAGGATCCATTTCAACCTAGTTAGATTTTAACGTACAGTTATTTAAAAAGTAGTCAGTCGTTGTGGTATCGTCTTTTTATCAACTTAAAGTGGATTGTTGCCTTTTTGACAGTGATTTTTTCGCATACTTATATAAATCATCATAGCAACAGAGGTGAACAACATATTTCAACAAATAACCTAGACATCCATACAAACACACACAAGCGCGGAGTAATAAGGTTGATACATTGAATATTAGTGATGAGATATAAGAAACTTACGATGAGTCAGGGAATAGCTGGACTTGATTTTCTGGAGAATGGAGGGATCCAGAGAATTGATGGCGGCGTTAGTCGGTGCGAATACTGTGTATCTTGTTCCTGGAAACACATTATTTTATCATACAAAGATCATTTTTGTTGGTTTGTATGAATTCCTTATACTGTTATAACAGAATACAATAAAGACTTCTGTATGATAAGAATGGTGATTACATTTTCGTTGTTCTGCACGAATAATGTGCTAATATATTTTTTCAATCATGTAAATTATTTTCAATCATATTTGTTCATGAATTACAAATTGTAGGAACTTGAATATAAAAAGAACATTTTTTAATGCACCGGAAGTGAGTATTTTCACTCCTTAGAGTCATTCAAAACAAAAAATCAGTGTAGCAGTTATCTTGATATTATTCTATACTCAGTTCTTGGTCAGTATTCGTACCTGCAGTCCTGTTCAGGGCGCCCTCTAGACGCGCCACCTTGACGAGTTCGAGGAACTCACTAATTTCATAATCAGGATTCATGAGTATCTGGTCAATGGTTCCCTCGGGGACACTTAGGACTTCATCAACAAGGTAGATAACTCCGTTAGAGCCCTGAAGTACATCCATGGACACGACCCTGGCTTGGTTGAAGAAGATTTGCTGTGAAGATGGAATTAATTGAAAGATTATTATTCCATTCAACTTTTACCCTGTACCATTTTTGATAAGAATACTATACTTATTCAAATCTTGGATTTGTATCTTTAATGTGATTGTGGCTATAGTTACTAGAATTAACATCATGCTTCTTTTACTGATACTTTGCTCAGCTAAGTTTTACATGTAATAATTTGAATGTATTTGATATCAAAAGTTTAACCCTGAAGAAGGGACTTACATTTCCAGACATGTATACTCTAATGGAATGTCCGTTCAAACTTGTCAGGACTTGTCCGGATCGAAGGTCAAAGGTGAAAATCTCTCCCTTGACAACATGGTACTGGAGAACGTTAGCTAACTCATTTGGGTTAGCGGTAAGGTTGGCGGCAACCTCACTTGGAATCTTGGCAAATGCAGAGTCAACAGGAGCAATAATGGTGAAAGGGCCTGCAACAGGGTTCATTTACAATGTCATTCATAAGTTTTATTATTTTTAATCCTAAAACATACTTTACCAAACGTTAAAATACGTTCATGAATTAAGAAATTAAGAAAATTGTTTGTGAAGAATGTTTTCCAACTGTAAAACATTCCACTGACGCAGAACAGGAGAACTGGTTATATGATAGGACCATACTTAAGTTTCGATTTTATTTAAGAATAATGAGGCCGGATAGACTAATGATAAAAAGAATCCTCGTGACGATTTGTAAAACACCGATAAGAGGGTAGTTATTATTTATTTTTCAACAACAGTATTTCTGATGGTAATCATTCAATGGTTTCTCAATAGATTGTATAAATACACGTCTTTGATTATGTTGAAGAGAGTCATCGCATTACCGAAACTCATTCTTTGACAATTTATATATATTCTTAAATTCGCGATACTTTTAGATAGAAATTAAGTAATTTATATGAAATCTAATAATATCTCAACATGATACGTGTACCTTGATCCCTGATGACGTCATCAAGTCCTGCTGTAGCGAGGAACTGTGTAAGTGTGGTAGCATTATTGGCGTTAGCGAGATCCACTAGGTTAGGCAGTGTGGCTGCCGCCAGTGAGAGGATGGAAAGAAAAACAAGACTAGTCTTCATTGTCAGACAGGGACACGACTCGGCTCAGCTCGAACGGCCACAAAAATGGACAAAACCTGGATAAGTACAGATGTCATGTTCACGGAATGACGTCAGTGCTCCGATATATACCTTATCTCTGTGTGTCGCAATACAGTATTCGTGATCTATCCGTTCTGGTTACGTGTGGTAAATCCCATATGTTGTGTAACCGAGGTTCCAATTATTGTCCTACAGTAAGGCTTCATTTATGGAATCATTGTTACATATGTCCACGTGAAATGTGAAGCACAATTGCGTGAACTCTAGGGTACCGTACGATTTATCACACGTGTGATTTGTGTACTTATTTTCTGTAAATTTTGTCCATGTTTGACCAAAATGTAAATTATCCATAACCTTACAAGATCTAATTGTTCTCAACATAAAATACGTTGTATAAACCTTACCGCTGAATACAAGTAATTACTCAATTAAATAAATAACTTTCCTATGATACAACAAAGCTCCTGTAAAGAAATTAGGGTGCAGTCGAGGGCGTTAGGTCATGACCCCTAAGTAGACCCTGATATCGGAGTGATAAGAACTATCAGTTGAACAGTGCCACAGCAAACAGACCAGTCAGTGCCCCGAGTTTCTGCCATAACGACCGTCACCATGCTTGTTCTACTAGCTGTATTGTTGCCCTGTGTCTTCGCCCAGACCAATGATACCATTATAGATGCTTTGAAAGCCAGCTCGCGAGAACAGACACTAGTCGCCCTAATCCAACAGGCGGGACTCACAGATGTCCTCGCCACTGGAGGTTTGCCACATTTAATCTGAGAATTATTAATATAATGTATTATGTGTTATCCAAATATATTATAAACTATATCTTTATATGTCTAGTTGTTAATTTGATGAGTTTATCAATAATCAATTAAAAAAAAGTATCAATCTGTACATTAAAGCAGCTGTCAGGGACCTAATGTTTACACAAAGGTACCCATTGTCCTTTAAATATCAGGGATTGCCTTATGTCGATGATGAACTTGTCTTGTATATCTTTTCGACAATGAATACAGTTTGGATTGTTACAATGTTTTCTCACGAGTAATTATATTCGATACAGTACGGTACCATGTTTTCGTTCCGTTATTTCCATCAAATCAATTAATCAAACGATGCTTGCTTGACAAACTTGTAAGACTATCAACATTCTACTTAACTCGTCAAAATATTCTTCAAACAAATATTTCCGAACCCTCTTTAATGCATGAATGCGAGCTGATTTCGATTTGAATTTTCCGTTTGGGACCAGTAAGCTATGTTGAATGAGTATCTAACATATATGGAACTAGGTCAATTTAAGTATGCGGTAAACTATTTCAATTGACTTTTGTTATCGGGGGGAAGGGGTCAATTGTCCTGGTGCCCGGTAAGCCTTTGTTACCAGAGGGGGGCAATTGTCTTGGTGCCCAATAAGCCTTTGTTATCAGAGGGGGACAATTGTCCGGTAAGCCTTTGTTATCAGAGGGGGACAATTGTCCGGTAAGCCTTTGTCACCAGAGGGGGGGGGGCAATTGTCCTGGTGCCCAATAAGCCTTTGTTATCAGAGGGGGACAATTGTCCTGGTGTCCGGTAAGCCTTTGTCACCAGAGGGGGGTGGGGGCAATTGTCCTGGTGCCCGGTAAGCCTTTGTTACCAGAGGGTGGGGGGGGGGCAATTGTCCTGGTGCCCGGTAAGCCTTTGTCACCAGGGGAGATAATTTTGTATGCCTGAAACAACCATCCAGAAACATGTACCTTGAGAGCACTATCCGCTAGACGATTTCTATGGCAACTCTATATCAGCTTTACTTTCATACATCTGTAAAACACCTATAGTCTTTTTACCACCAACTTTGTAGACACTCGGTGTGCTTGGCAAAAGTTAAAATATTATGACATAGCTTTTGTTCTTACATGGAGATTATTTTACCTATCCAGGGCCATTTACATTATTCGCTCCTGATGACCTTGCCTTCTCCAAGCTCCCGTCGGCGACCCTCACAATGCTGAAGAACGATACCAATGCATTGGCAGAAATCCTCAAGTATCACGTGGTCAGTGGCACGTACAAAATGGATGATTTGAAGGTTAATGAAATGATGTTGGAGACACTGACTGGAGATCAACTTAGAGTCAACGACTATATGTACAAACGTGTAAGTTTTCTTATCACAATCACCCTTATCGTGATATTGAACGGGCCTTTCTCTGTGATAAAAACCTAATAGAGTTTAAACGTTTACTGGATCCGATTTACCTGCCATGCGTTAAAACAAGGAAGGTGACAATTTCAGCATGATTTTAGGTGATAATGCTATCAGTTGATGTTATATATCATAATTAAGAAATATCATCATTACGTCTAGATTTTCACATATCTTTTCATCTCTTTGGATTTTTCTCAGTCGCCTACAACGTTTCAAACTTTTGGTCCTTAGTAACACTGACGAGTCCTATATATCACGAAACAGTTATATGCTACAGTTAAGTAATTGTCTGGTTTTACTGTATCTCAATCTAAATTTGTATTTAAAGGTGCTTTTCACTTCTGTGTCTTTTGAACACTCTAACAGAATATAATAACGATCTATCTTTGTTCTTGAAACACCTTATCGATTTCCGATAAATGTATGGTGTCAAAAATAAAAATAAAGAAACAAAATGGTACTTGAAAGTCATATTTTGATGTTTGAATATGAGATTGTTAGAGAGGCAGCTGTAAAATATATTGTTTATGGAATAGTTAAGTCCTATAGACTTGTCATATCGATAATGGCCATATCTAGATTCCTTTCATTCTTGGCCTGGCTTCATGATGCACAAACAAATTAGATTTTCATAAACGTTAATATCGTTAATATATATATATATTTCCCCTCTATATTTCAAGTATTTATTTCCATTCCCCCCGTCAATGCACTGAAGGACGAAATATATACAGGATGCAGTTTTATCTGTATAGCTATGACAATGGAGATGAATTTACGACAACACTATTCGCCATTGTAATGGCGCAATGGATTATTATTGTAATGTTTGTACCGGCTGTAAACCTTTATGTAATGTGTATTTTGTAGTCAACTGAAATGAATTAAGTTGTGGAATACTTTCTTTTCATTTTAATAAACATCATTACGTAAGAATTGTTATTTACAGAGAATCACGATAGAGGGTGCCACAATCACGTATGCTGATAAGATCGTCAGTAATGGAGTTATACATCGCGTAAGTCAAGTGCTTATGCCACCAAAAGGATCTGTTGTCGATGTACTACAAGCCGATGGAAGTTTCAACACACTCATTGCTGCTGCTCAAGCCGCTGGTTTAGTCGACGCCCTCGCAGGTATGATAAACGGACAGATATATGTGACCAGTCGATCCATACCACTGTACGTCAATGAACCTACAGTCAGTTCGATTTGTTTTTAAAAATAACTATTTTCTTTGAGGGAAAAATTGCGGTAAATAAGCATGGCAAGAGATTTCCCCACATCTCACAATTATGTATAAAGATGTGTGTATATCTAATGCTGTATTTCACAGCAACTCTAAATCCTGATTTCGAAATCAATATGCAATGATTTATTTCTGTTTATTGGCCAGACATATTAAAATATATCTAGCAAATTACCAATGAGGTTATTTTCGACCTGTAACAAAGATATGACTATTCTCTTCCACGAAGATGTTGCAAAACAATATCATTAAAACCTTTTGATCAACTAATAGACTTCCTTACCAGTGAAATGATAGAGGTTTATACGATTGAATCCCCACAACTATCCTCTTCAACGTTTCCTTGATCGGTATTGTTTCATGTATCTTTCGTGCTTGGTCAGTGTTTATCCAACGAGATGACTCGTCATCAGGAGACTGATTATTTATATAAAATCTTCGAAAAATCCTCGATTGGAAGATAATACATACATGTGTAGCGAAAGAGCTAAAGATGTTATTTTTTCCCCACAGATGGACCCATCACTGTTATGGCGCCTGACGACAATGCTTTTGCAAGTCTTGGAAATGAAACCGTTTCTAAACTTCTAGCTAATCCAGATATTTTAGCAGGTAATATGCAGTAGGCGTTTTATAAAGTCTTTCATTAAACTGGAACAATGACAACAGAGTATAGTTAGGACAATTTTAGTACGCTGTAGAAGAATTTATTTCAGCTTCAAATTGGTCCTTCAAACAAATGATATGAAATATAAGTTTTCTTATTAAGTCACAATTAATATCTAAATCCGTAATATTTCGTTAAGCCAGTCATGGCCCGGTTGTCCTCCGAGACAATTCCTTGTTTACCGGAAGTCGATAACGGTCATGCTGTGTACTGCGATAGTTTCTTGTTTACCGGAAGTCGATAACTGCCATGTTATATACCGTGACAGTTTCTTGTTAACCGGAAGTCCATATCAGTCATATTATGTACCCAGACAAACGATCAAAATAGTGTCTACTGAAATTAGTTAACGATACAATCGCATTGTCATTCGCGACGTAACTTGTAAATCAATTTAAATCAAACAGAGACATACACTGTTATTTTTTTTCATTTTAATAAAAAGAGAACATAGGCAATAAGGGTAAGCTGTAATATACTTTTTTGTAAACAACGGCTCTACACAACGATGCCGCCTAAAAAGTAACACCTCATTCTGTCTTTTGTGTATCATATTGTAAATGTGGAAACAGTCGTTTGATATCGGCGGGTGCACTCGATTTGCCCGTCACGCCGAACACGTCGAATCGAGCAGCACCAGCGGCAATTGATACTGACCTGGAGCCTGAATTTCACGGGTTTTACATTTCAGATGTTTTGAAGTACCATGTGATCCACGGTTCTCTGTACTCCGCGGGTATGCACTCCGAGTATCTTAACACCCTGGAACAAGACGATCGTGAGAGGCTGTATGCCTCATTCACAGGTGAATATGTTTAAAAACTTTTGAAATAGATATTCACATAATTATTTTTTAAGTATGATTATCAAAGACCGTGATTGAATATTGTATGATTTGAATGTTGATGCTGTTGTAACCTAGTCGTTATATATAGAAACTGTGGAAGTGATGTTCTCACGTCATTACATTGTCAAGATAAGATCTTTGTGTGTGGCCCGAACATTTTATATTTTTGTCGGTAGCGGTTTCAGTAAGCAAGGTGATTTATGCCGTTTCAAGTTTAAATTAGTGTAATGGTTATTTACATAGAATGTAGTAACTCTGCGCGCTGAAGTTATCGATTATTTGAGATTGTATAAATACGTATTTATATATTTTTTTCTGCTTGACCAAATTTGGTACTGTATCAATGTTTTGACGAGGAGCGTTTTTATAATTTCCAAAAATACTGGCTTTTTTTTCAGTGGGACAATCTCCTTGCTTTTTGTAAACATATGATTATGATGGCCCAATTTTGAAACCTTGTTGTCTTTTTCAGTTTTTGAAACTTTGGTGATAATTCCGTCATGTCTTCCATGGATTGTAATGTTTAATTATTTGCCAACCAATGTAAACTAGATTTTTGGTTTGGTTATGATTATTCAGTTGACATTCGTAACATTCATGAATGTTAACATAGGACCAATGTTTATCACTGTCATTTTTCTGACGATCGTATGGTTATTTTTATTCTATTGTAAGGGGCGGGGGAGCAATTCCAATTTGTGTCTGTTACTTGCTGTATTCCTATACCTTTGCAACATGAGTCGGTAGTTCAAAACTGAATTTGGTATGGTTACGACAAAACGGCATTACAATTATTTAGGAGTAGATTGACTAAACTATTTTCATACAATGACTTAAATAAAGAACAATGAAGCTGCATTAACTGGCCGCCATTGTTTCCGTCGTTGTTTGTAGTGGTACGTCATGTTTGCGTTTGTTTGTTATAGGATACTCCTTGTCGGTTGACGGTGCCCGCGTCACTGATAGAGACATGAGTGCTACTAACGGAGTCGTCCACAAGATAAATCACGTCTTGGTCCCCAGCAGCCTCAAGGCTAAAATAGCTGCCCTCTAATCTTGTACTGTTAAATGTTAATAAACCTCAATTTTCTATGATCAACTGTGAAGCTATTTTTCGTTATCATTTCAACAGATTTAGAACTGGACGTGCATGGACGGTCCTGTATGATTTCAACAAGCGTTGTGGTATAAGATATATTGAAATCAAATTTGATAATTTAACGAACTTTTGTTTACGTTAGTGAATTTGAACTGAACGACAAGGCTTATATTTAGCCACATGAAAGTCGGTTTAAACATAATATATTTTTTTCAAACATAATGATTGAACACAACTTGTTCCAACTAATAAAGTTCTTTTATTGGAGATTACAAAAGATGGATGCATACATATAGATAGTGTCTTGGCAATGTAATTACAATATAAACTGGGATGGGGATGTGAGGAGGGGATAGAAATGTGAAATAGTATGATGGGGACGAGGATGTGAGACGGGGATAGAAACGTGAAATAGTATGATGGGGACGAGGATGTGAGACGGGGATAGAAATGTGAAATAATATGATGAGGAAGAGGATGTGAGACGGGGATAGAAATGTGAAATAGTATGATGGGGACGAGGATGTGAGACGGGGATATAAACGTGAAATAGTGTGATGGGGACGAGGATGTGAAACGGGGATATAAACGTGAAATAGTGTGATGGGGACGAGGATGTGAGACGGGGATAGAAACGTGAAATAGTGTGATGGGGACGAGGATGTGAGACGGGGATAGAAACGTGAAATAGTGTGATGGGGACGAGGATGTGAGACGGGGATAGAAACGTGAAATAGTATGATGGGGACGAGGATGTGAGACGGGGATAGAAACGTGAAATAGTATGATGGGGACGAGGATGTGAGATCGAGATAGAAACGTGAAATAGTATGATGTGGCCGAGGATGTGAGATGGGGATAGAAACATGAAATAGCTTGATTGGATGAGGATGTTTGACATCACACAGTTATATTATATCCTAGGTATAGTTTCTTTAAAGCAGTGTTGCTGTTTAGAACATGATAAGCTAGTTATGTTGCACACACATTTACATCTTTATGTGATTACCACTATAAGCTTCCATACCTATGTTATATGCTTCATTGATCAAAATACCGAGTGGTTGCGCTATTTTTCTACAGCTGTTTTCAACACTTATCGACTGACTCTGGGCCTGAAGCTTCGATAACATATACCTGTAACACATTCATGATGGCTATTACACCCTGAAATGAAATATACATGCATTGGTTGCAGTTTCAAAAACATACATTAGTAATGGTTGATTTAAACAAAATTTCAAGTTGAATGAAAATGATCTCACAGGATTTAATTTTTAGAAACACAATCTGTGACGAAAGAAAGATTTGCATGAGTTTCCAGAAATCTGCAATATTACTACACTAGTTCTTTCACACGAATGTCGACAGGCATTCTCAATAAAACACACTGGAAATATGTTTCTTAGCAGTTACTAATTATGTTAAGCGGTATCCCCTATTTCACAATCCTATTTTTTCGGCAAGTGACCTTTTTTGTGATACCATTTTTGAGGAAAACGTAAACAGATCTTAATTTTTAATGTATATATATTATTCTATACATTGTGGCATAGTTGTCCTAGGCCTTTTCATTTACGTGTTTTGTTTATTTGAAATGTATTTCCAGGAACATCTGCTTTGCGCTAGTCTAAAACAACACAAGCGATATTGTAGTGTCCGTGTAGTCTTCTTAGTGACGCCTGTGTCTTTTTTTGCCGGTGTGTTTCTCTTTGATCTCCCCGACATAGATCGTCTTCAGACCTTAACTAAACAAACACCGGGTACCTCGGCTTGGTTATTACCTGGTTGTGTAAACCAGGACTACTGGTCCAACACACTGTTGTTTCACTACTGTTTTAATGATTTATTTCAAAGGGGAATAAAGTGTGAAATTTCAATATTGATGTGTTTTGTCATTTCATCATGATTTCATTTTAAAGCGAAATACATGTAAATGACATTTTTATAAAAAACGATTTTAAACTCCCTTGTTTGTAGATAAGGTTATTACAATACACAACTGATTGACAAGTACCTTTAATTCTGTATAGAAGGTTAATATAGCTGGTGTACAACTAATTCTGTATAAAATGTTAATATAATTGATGTACACCTCATTCTGTATAAAAGATTATTATAACTTATGTACACCTCATTCTGTATAAAAGGTTATTATAACTTATGTACACCTCATTCTGTATAAAAGGTTATTATAACTGATGTACAACTAGTTCTGTATAAAAGGTTAATATAATTGATGTACACCTCATTCTGTATAAATGGTTATTATAACTTGTGTACACCTGATTCTGTATAAAAGGTTATTATAACTTATGTACACCTCATTCTGTATAAAAGGTTATTATAACTTATGTACACCTCATTCTGTATAAAAGGTTATTATAACTTGTGTACACCTCATTCTGTATAAAAGGTTATTATAACTTATGTACACCTCATTCTGTATAAAAGGTTATTATAACTTGTGTACACCTCATTCTGTATAAAAGGTTATTATAACTGATGTACAACTAGTTCTGTATAAAAGGTTAATATAATTGATGTACACCTCATTCTGTATAAATGGTTATTATAACTTATGTACACCTCATTCTGTATAAAAGGTTATTATAACTTGTGTACACCTCATTCTGTATAAAAGGTTATTATAACTTATGTACACCTCATTCTGTATAAAAGGTTATTATAACTGATGTACAACTAGTTCTGTATAAAAGGTTAATATAATTGATGTACACCTCATTCTGTATAAATGGTTATTATAACTTATGTACACCTCATTCTGTATAAAAGGTTATTATAACTTGTGTACACCTCATTCTGTATAAAAGGTTATTATAACTTATGTACACCTCATTCTGTATAAAAGGTTATTATAACTGATGTACAACTAGTTCTGTATAAAAGGTTAATATAATTGATGTACACCTCATTCTGTATAAATGGTTATTATAACTTGTGTACACCTCATTCTGTATAAAAGGTTATTATAACTTGTGTACACCTCATTCTGTATAAAAGGTTATTATAACTTATGTACACCTCATTCTGTATAAAAGGTTATTATAACTGATGTACACCTAGTTCTGTATAAAAGGTTAATATAATTGATGTACACCTAATTCTGTATAAGAGGTTATTATAACTTATGTACACCTCATTCTGTATAAAAGGTTATTATAACTTGTGTACACCTCATTCTGTATAAAAGGTTATTATAACTTATGTATATCATTATAACCGATGTACAACTAATTCTGTACATGTATATCATTATAACTGATGTATACCTCATTCCGTAGAGGGTTATTGTTACCTGGATATTGGTAAACCAGGTGTACTAATAGTTACTCTCCTAGTTATTATTTAGAATATATCAAAACACTTTTATAAGACCTTGGATTTTCAATATTTAATGGGAATTAAAATTGTGAACGCACACCGAGGACTTCTCTATCAATGTTTCCATAGAATCAATATATCTAATAGCACTATTTCTGTATTACATCGGGGATATAAACACTACAATTTACGCACTATGTCTACAAGTTGATCTCTCATTTTATTTCGGTTGTAGAAGCTGTTAATGGATTCAGGTAAAGCCTTCGTATGAAATATTGTTCATTATTTTGAAAACTTACAGTTTCCCTAATTCTACAATATTTTAGGGTGGAGAGCTTATTTTCCCTTTATCATTAATTGTACGAAAACATCTGATAGTAGTTCAGTTGCTCTTCGTTGATTTTTTTTTCAAGCATTTAAATATAACATAAAAATATTCAGACGTAAACAATAATGTGAAACTTCCTCATCCTACACACACCATCAAATAACTGTTTCATGTATAAGTTCTGACTCATTATAATGTTAGCTCTGATGGTGGAATTCTCCAATTCATTACCTACTGAAACGTCCATGTCACATTTCAATAGCTATATTTCAAAATGTAATAAATTATTTCAATAAATGTTTCCGTTTCAACATTTTTTAACAAATTGCTGACATACACTTTCACAGCAATTGAATGTTAAATAGCAAAAGGAATCATAAAATAAATATAGCCACGTACATTGGAAAAGAGAATTACTAATCTTTCCCAAGGTTTTTTTTTTGAATAATTATTAATTGAATTCTGAAATTCAATCCCCAAAAATGGAACTTCTTTTAAGCGATCATCAAAATTAACATTTATTTAACATTTACTGTTAACATTTAAGCAGTTTTCTGTACATTCGTTATTTATTTCAATCCAAAACTTGCATACATTATTCAGATCGAAATATTTCATTCAGTAAAAATGAGGAAAAAGTATATTTTTATCACGGGCCCTTACTCCAGCTGTTTTATTTATATATATATATATTAACCCTAGATGTAGTAAAGACTGAAGAAGCAGATATTGCGTAGTATAGATTACTTACTAATCGTTATCAATACTGAAGTACTATTTGTATAGGGTACCGTAAGTAGGTTCTTTTGTACGTAAATTACTCAGACATGATTAACTATAATGGGCCCAAGCCGTTTACACAGATAGGTGGTAAAATGAACAAGTCAAACAACTCAATTAGTTCCCCAAACGCCTGATGTGTCCACGTGATCAGCGGGGCGTGGTCTCCCCAAGCCGAGGCCTCCCCTCCAGTACGACCCCCGGCCACTAAGAAGGACATCGACTCATCGTTAAAAAGGTGCGACGGTGTCCATCCTGAGTAGATGCCCTGTCATTCACTGGACACTGAGTAAGGAGTATAAAACGTCACAACCACGACATACGACACCACTTGCACGTCTAGCTGTAACTACGGACTAAACTCCGATAATTTTTTGAGAAACTTGGAGTGCGTCTGAAGTTATTTTGACAGTTATTCCTTGTACAGTTTACCTCAGTAAATATAACAGTTAATTTAACCAGAATGTCTAAGTCCGAATCCCGGGTTCTGCTGCTGGAAAATGACCATTTGGAAATTGCGACGTCTGACCAGGAAAAAGACGGTAAGTGCCAGTTAAAAACTGCATCTCTCAGATATCGGATATTTTTGTGTGGTATCATTGTTGTACATTTTGTATCATAACAACGAATTTGGATTTCTCACGCTCCTACAAGCTAGTCAACATGTTTCATGTCTGTTCATGGTGGAAATAAATTGCTATATTTACACAACAAAACGCTTAATGGTAAATGTGTTCCAAAGACTTAGGAGATTTAAACATCTTTCACCCAAATTTTTTAGAGATGCGTTTGTTTGTAGTTTTTTCTCAATGAGGAGATTAAATACAAATATGTGTAATTTTATTGCAACATTTCAATCTTCACCAGAATTTAATTTAAAATATTTAAAATGTAAATAACTTATCACGTAATGCTGCGCGCTGTCTCTTCTCTGAAGAAATAAAACCATTTAACAAGAAAGCACCATTAATCATTAACTTACTAAGGCACACACAAACAACACATAATCATCAAACAAATAAACATCATACTTTCAGGATTTTCCTCGGGATATGACTCCACACAGGAAGTATCCGATACGGAAACCAGTCTGTTAAAGCCACAGCAGCCATACTTGACATGTGACTCCGCATGTGATAGCGAGTCTGAAGACGAGGCTACAGAAGTCATGAGCTACAAAAGTACCAGCGCACTCTGTGAACATCTTAAATACATCGTTTCCATGCCAGAGTTGTGTGACGTCACGTTTTTGGTCGGCCCAACTAAGATTCCAGTGTACGGAGTAAAGGCAATTCTCGGCACAAGAAGCAGGTAATGTCAAGTAGAAACACATTTTAATTATCATTAATAGAATTTAAATATATAGAATATATATATATATATATATATATATATATATATATATACTATATAAAAAGTGAACAGAAATTACCTGTGACGTATAAGATTGTACAAATGATACAAGTGGATCCCATCCTTCACCTTTACTACAACTGTAGAATGAAGTAGAGACTAGTAATAAATTGCACTGCATCATACAGCTGTTCCGTCGTTCTAGGTCTCGCCAGTGATGCTATGGGCCTACCCTTAAAAAATACTTGCAGATGACTGAGAAACTAAAAAAAAAATGACTTGAATAAATCTTAAAACGATGACGAGGTGTACTAGCTTGGAAAATTGATGAATTTGTTAATTTTCTGATCTTTTATAATCAATTAACATTTCATCTCAGGTTTTTCTACCGGAATATCTTGACGAATTTTAAAGTTGCAGGTTACAGGTATTTGCTGAAGGCTTGCTCAGGGAGTGATCTATTTTGTCGACATGACATATTCAGTAGTTTTGCTAATTGATATTTGTGACATCAGTTCTTATTATTTAACCACTTTTTCAGAGTGTTGTATCAACTCATTTTAAATCAACAACATCGAGCGGCAACAGAAAGATCGTCATTCAAGAAATTACGAAAGTCCCATTCCAAGTCGAATGTTATCATAGACGTTAATAAGTACGAGCCGGAGGACTTCAGAATGTTGATGCAATTTGTTCACTGTGGATCTGTAGACATTGGTGTTCACAATGTAGCGGGTAAGTTGACACCTCTTATCTGTTTTATCACAGACTGGCCGAGGTCAGTCCAACTTTATCAATATAAAAGTTTTGGGTTTGGTTCCACGAATAACACTTTGTATTTTAATCATTGAAAATCGCGAGAAAATTTAACAAATATTCAAAATCAAATAAAATTCAATTAATTAACCTTGTATGATTCTACAGGTTTGTTGTGTGGAGCCTATCAGTTTGGTTTGGAGGACTTGCGATCAGCCTGCTGGGATTTTGTCCGTCGCTCATTAAATAGTACATCTGGAAAGGAAACTGCGCATGCGTTGATGACATCGGCTTTCCGATATAGTCAACACAGAGCAACAAGGAAACTCGTCTCCAAGGTAACGTAATTTAGCAATGCATTAAAAATTACGATTAAATGCCATTTTATGATTGGTATTATTTCATCCAATGGAATCATAATATACATCTGTTTGTTTCGTTTTGACAGATCAACAAGTCGCTTCATGAAAATGAAAACAAGATAAACGAAAACTTTCAAGAAAAGTCATCCTATGGTTCAAAACAGAAGACATCGAATGTGACAACTGTATAGAAGGAAGTGACGTCATCACAAAAGTGTCTACAGAAAGAAAAGTGCTGTATACAATGGTGATTTAAACTGACTTTGATCAAAAACTTATTTAAAAATATGATATCTTCGCTGAAGTGCTGACGTGTCAAAACATGTGCTGAAACAGACGATCGATCACTTTAGTTTAATCACTATCTCATTCATAATGAACGATATGGGATGAGTAAACAAAGTCTAGAGCTTGTATATATAATTTCCTTCCCAAAAGGAATCGGTGATTTTCGTTAACCCATATGTACGATGGACCTGTCGAGTGTTTTGCGATCGAATAATGTCATGTTTAGTATCGAGTAGGTTCGTTCTGTTGTTATTTAGAAATTAAGAAATTAAGTATGTGTTCATAGAAATGTTTATTATGCTATTGTAAACTGACAACACTGTCTACTTTAACGTTTTGCTGTGATGCTAGTGATTCATAGATGTGAGAGTTAACACTGTAAAGAAGGAGAGAAGTGGGAGGTAGTGAGGACAGTGTGAGAGGACAAACGAGAGGAAACGAGAAGGAGTAAACCTTTTCGAGCATGTAAGAAGGATGCTGTAAGTCCAACTGAGGGAATAATGTTATGTATGAACGGACCCGGCTTGATATGTAATTCTTTAATTTATTGTCATTTAAAATGTGAATTTCAATAAATATTTATCTTGATATTAATTCTTAGTGCCGACTGTGAAGTTTTACATGTACCAGCCGTAACGTCATAATTTTATACTTATATCGCTCACTAATTGATGTGACGTCCCACCAAACAGAACTAGACAACACAGGATATGCAAGCCATTTAAACATCAAGATGGCGCCAGAGGAATTAAAAACAAAATGGCTTCCATGTAAGGATATTGCTAAAAGTAGTAACGAAATTGAAACGAAGCGAAACTAATATTGAAAAGAAACATAATGAAGTTAAATTATTTTCATTTCACGAATTTCATAAAACAGAAATGAAACATTATCATGCTTTGTTTCTGTACGTTTGACTTATTTATAAATCAAGATGATTTAGCTATAATGTTTAAGTTGAGTTTTGTTTCCGGTTTAAGGATCGTACGGTTTTTGGTAACACGTGCAAGTATGGGAAGACTACGGAAGCGTATTCAGGCCACGTTGTGTTTTATGTTATCTCGAAATTTCGGGTTCGACTTACTAACTCAAAATTTCGGATTACTAACTCGAAATTTCGAGTTGCTATCACTAAATTTCGAGTTGCTATCTCAAAATTTCGCGTTGCTATCTCGAAATTTCAGGTTAATAGCTCAAAATTTCGGATTACGAACTCGAAATTTCGACCGTTGCTATTTCGAAATTTCGAGATAAAGTGAAACACAACGTGGCCGGAATACGCTCCCGTAGGAGACAGACAACTCTATTTAATGTATCATTTCGGAGTTTTTGAAAAGCAACGTGCATGCTCTCGGGCGACTGCGGTACCCGAGAGCCGCGCTCTTACAAGAATATAGTTACAACACAGATAAATAACAACACGAAACTATGCATTATACCTTACTAATGATTAACCAACTTTTTATACATATTAAAAATTTCTGTTTAAAACTGACTGCAGCATTTGATACCTACTATCCCCAGTCGCCAATATTAAAGAGCACGCAATGAGAGTAGTAAGAGAAAAAGACCGCCAGTCCCATTACAATGGAAAGGGAATGTTCACAATTAGGGATACTATTCGGAATGTAAGGCATTAGATGAGAATTGACTCCCCTGGCTGAAGATCCTGCTTGTGAATATTTCACCCTATCCGCGATACTCAAGCTGCAGTATCGAGGATGATTTCACAATACGCTAAAGCGAAACATGTTGATACATAACGACGTAAAGACGGCACTGTATAAACATAGTATTATAATAAGTTTATTAAAAGGTTACACGGGGGTCAGGATGGTGTTAATCATATGGATGACTCCGTTGGTCACTGGCTGGTCAGCTTTAAGGACTAGGGCGTTATTGATGTGCACACCTGTCAACAAAATTGATCCGTCATGATTACACATGATCAGTACATAGCATACACCAAAATCAAGACAATACCAACATGTCAACATAATCATAACCCAAACTCAAATTCAATAAAACTAGAGCAAATATGAAAAAAAAATTACATGAAGACTCATGAAAAAGTACACGGTGTTTCGGAAGAGTATACGTCTTACGCTTCATCGACGACATCCGCCATGTTAGCCTTAGTGAAACCAAGCATGTTGTTTCACGTTCTCAAATGAAAACAAAGACTACAACAACAGAATCCACAGACAAACGAGCGCCAAAAGTACCGGGATTTCAGTGTCTCGTAATTATTGATGTTTGTGTGAGTAGCCAAGTAGATTAGATGATAATACCGATACTGGGCTTTCTGGTATCACTATCTACAGTTACAGATGGATGAAGTAAACTGACCTCCCTAATAAGCGCTATAGTACTCACCCGTGCTATCGATGTGGACGGTGAGATCTGTGCCTTGAAGAGTCGTGAGAGTTTGACCGTCCGTCAGTCCGGCTGAGAACAGTGTTTGTGGAACCACATGGTACTTCAAGATGTCTGGAGAAAAGGATTTAAACTATATTGCACTACTATTCAAGCATATAGTTCGACATTCAAACCAATACCATTCAAAATTTCAAACAAAAACTTTCACATAATCCGACATCTATAAAGTGTCATTCTACAATTCATGGAATTCGACATCTATATGAATGATGTCATTCTATGATCCTTATAATACTACATTTATATAACGACACTTAATCCCTACAATCCAATATTTATATAACATTCTACAACTCTTATAATCCGACATTTATATAACATTCTACAGGGCTTATAATTCGACATTTATATAACATTCTACAAGGCTTATAATCCGACATTTATATAACATTCTACAAGGCTTATAATCCGACATTTATATAACATTCTACAAGGCTTATAATCCGACATTTATATAACATTCTACAATTCTTATAATCCGACATTTATATAACATTCTACAACTCTTATAATCTGACATTTATATAACATTCTACAAGGCTTATAATCTGATAATCCGACATTTATATAACATTCTACAAGGCTTATAATCCGACATTTATGTAACATTCTATAAGTTTTATAATCCGACATTTATATAACATTCTACAAGGCTTATAATCCGACATTTATATAACATTCTATAAGTTTTATAATTCGACATTTATATAACATGCTACAATTATTATAATCCGACATTTATATAATGACATTCTGCAATTCTACATTTCTTTATTCCGACATATACCAAATGACATCCTTTAATTAAAAAAATTCTGTGATTTATGTGATGCCATTCAACAGACATGAAATGTCTGCCCATATATGGTGGTCATTCTGCATGCATGACATGATATTATTTTATCGTTGTCAGAAATTTGAACTCGGTATTAGAACAGATTAACACTTGAAAATCTTCAAATATCGATATTGCTACCTAATTACACGAGAACTTACAACTACAAAAGATAAGGGAAATGAGACTTCAAGCACAAGTACAAAGTCCTATTACAGAAGGATGAAATTTAACATACATTTGTATAAGTAACGACATCGAGAACACTACTATGCACACAGAAAAGAGGCATAAAGGCCTGTATCGACCACCTGTTTACCATGAATTGTACACCTATGTCCCCTATGACATTAAAGGTGAGTCAATCTATTGATAAGTCATTCACGAACATAGTATTGGCCACAAATCACGCCACTCCAAGATTCAGCACTAACTCGAACAAAAGGTCAAGTGAGACCAACTGTATTAAGCATATCTGTTTCCACATTCAACCTTTCAGAAATATTAAATTTACATGCATTATGTCTATTCGTGTTTATGAAAAGAGACATCAGCACCTTTTTGAATTTGGTTGTAAATTTCACTTTTTGGAAAGCATTGTTGACGACGGAAATGTTACAACGAGACGAAACATGTGCTTAAACGATTGAGATATATAACAACATCATTCTCTTATAATTATCAAAAGATTTCTTAAATAACGTAATTATTTACTTGCGAAAGCATCCTTGTCGGCGGTAAGAGACTGGAGACCGCCAATCTGCTGGCTGAAGGCATCGTTATTAGGGGCAAATATAGTGAATGTTCCAGCTGAATTGAAAATAGAAAGATAATGTTTACATGTATATATTGCGAGTGGTAAGTAATGCAGAAAGTATGTATTGTCACACTCATCAAGAACTGATAATAGGGTGTATATGTTTAAGTATAACTTTATGGACGGGGAAGGACGACCTGCACAGATTTAAATGGTGTTAACATATCATGCGTTACTGAACCAGAATGATATGATGTGCTTTACTTTGTATATGTCAGGAGTGTTAACATACAGGAGAACTGCATGCTAAATATGGACGCTGCTTATATACCAACATGGAATCTCATTTTCATTCCATGTTTATCGTATATATATATACGAGAGTTAACACTCCCGACATATACAAAATAAAGCCCATCATATCATTCTGGTTCAGTAACGCATATATATATATATTACAAACTCAGGAACACGTGTTCATTGTAATGTAAATGTGATAAAAATCCCGGACTTTGAAAATAAAATATCAATATATATACATAAAAAAAGATTGATGATGAATTAATAATATGACAAGAGAGTTGAATGAAAACTATGTGTAGGTTGAAATAGTATTAAATCTTACTGCTGGCCAGAGCTGGCTCCAGCCCTGTGAACACCAGAGCGGAGTAAAGGTCAACATAGTCACTTTCATCCTTCCCCATGTACTGAGATATGGACAAAGAAGATGGAAACATAACGCTACTAATGGCATGTAGGACTCCGTTCGTCAAGATGATGTCACCTCCGGTTACAGTGGAACCCTGTACAACCACAGCCTGTGAAAAGATGATACGACTAAAGTCACATTAGGGTCTGTATGCTTTCTCTGTTTTCTAACCATATTTCTTCTTCCTGATGTCTTATAAACATATGATCCATTTTCTTTACGAACGTGGATTTCAAACAAATGTGCAGGTATTTGGACAGTGTTAGGTGAACATATATCTGTACAAAGGTTGCAGTTTTTCGGAAACCATCTTTTTAATAATACCTAGAGTGTTCATGTAGTAAATACGCCCTGATGGACCGATCCATGTGATTATCAAGGCATGAGAAAAGCTACTACGACCAATATTTTCTCTTATTCTGATTGAGAGTAGAGTCAAGTCGTTGTGATTGTATGCGAAGTAACATACCCCGTTAGGATACTTGTTCACGTTGATGGTCTGGTTGCTAATGGATGTGGCGGACATCCCGTTGGTGAGGAGAGGGGCGATGAGAATACCATTGGTAACGTGGTATAAGAGGAGGTTGGAAAGAGCTACAGTGTCCACGCTCTGTAGGTTACTAAGCATTCCACTGGGCAGCTTGTTAAATGCATCGTTCGTCGGGGCGAACAATGTGAATGTACCTAAAAGGGAATGTTAATCATCAACAAATGGATAGAACGTGCTTTAATTGTTTTTTCAACAGAAGAAAAAGTAGGGTTTTAAATGTCGAGATTTGTAGCCTGAACAAAAAAATGTCCTTGTTTCGTCTTCTAAAAATCAAGTGTTAGTACAAAGTGCTAGAGAGGAGGTGAGGAAGCCTGCTGTAAGGTGGTCCGGAGAGGACATATTAAAATGGAGATGAGGATGTCTACTGTACAGTGGTCCGGAGAGAATATATTAAGATGGAGGTGAGGAAGCCTATTGTAGGGTGGTCCGGAGATTACATATTAAGATGGAGTTAGTGAGGCCTTTTGTAAGGTGGTCTTGAGAGGACATATTAGGATGGGGGTGAGGAAGTCTACTGTAGGGTGGTCCGGAGAGGACATATGATGGAGGTGAGGAAGTCTACTGTAGGGTGGTCCGGAGAGAACATATGATGGAGGTGAAAACACTTACTGTAAAGTGGTCTTGAAAGGGCATATGAAGATGGAGGTAGGGAAGTATACTGAAGAGTGGTCCGGAAAGGACATATGATGGAGGTGAGAACTCTTACTGTAGGTAGGTCAGGAGAGAAGATATTAACATGGAGGTGAGGAAGTCTACTGTAGGGTGTTCCGGAGAGAACATATTAACATGGAGGTGAGGAAGTCTACTGTAGGGTGGTCCGGAGAGGACATATTAACATGGAGGTGAGGAAGTCTACTGTAGGGTGGTCCGGAGAGGACATATGATGGAGGTGAGAACCCTTACTGTAAGGTAGTCTTTGAGAGGGCATATGAAGATGGAGGTAAGGAAGTCTACTGAAGAGTGGTCCGGAGAGGACATATGATGGAGGTGAGGAAGTCTACTGTAGGGTGGTTCGGAGAGAACATATGATGGAGGTGAGGAAGTCTACTGTAGGGTGGTCCGGAGAGAACATATGATGGAGGTGAGGAAGTCTACTGTAGGGTGGTCCGGAGAGGACATATGATGGAGGTGAGGAAGTCTACTGTAGGGTGGTCCGGAGAGGACATATGATGGAGGTGAGGAAGTCTACTGTAGGGTGTTCCGGAGAGGACATATTAACATGGAGGTGAGGAAGTCTACTGTAGGGTGGTCCGGAGAAGACGTGAGAGTCGTGAAACTCAAGTTTGAAACGGCCATTTATCATACTCTAGGGGGACGCCATTAGTTCTACAGTATTGATGGATCATTAATTTAACCAAAACATGCTATAATGTATAACGATGACATGCCTTACCGGGGCTGTTGAGTGTTGAACTAAGCTGAGCTTTGCTCAGTAATCCCTCTAGAATGCTGAATTCGCTATGACCCTGGATGTACTGGAACAGAGTTCTGTTTTCAGCACAAAAGGCTATGGCCAGTTGAGAGAGCAGAATGACGAGAAGCTTCATGATGGTGTAAGTCACAAGCTTTTCGGTTACTTTGACGTCTTAAGGGGCCGAGTCGGCTGTTACAGCCAAGAAATTATACTTCATTTGATAATTTGTGAGAAAAAAAACAGGTGTTACTCTACATAGGATAGTCGGTCAGACACGAATTGAGATAACAAAATCAGTCCGAACTCCAGATAAACTGTGAGAAGAGACAATATTAGTAATCCTCCCTCCCTACCTTACCTGAACCTACCTGGCGACAGGACACATGCTCACAGGTCAAAAGGACCGATGTTCTTATGGCATGGCGCGGCCGTTTGTCAACTTTTCTCCTGAGAACGCTTGATTGGATTTTCGATAACTTTGGTCAACTTATCATTAGATGAGCGGTTTTCCATTTTGATCTAAAGGATCTTTGATGAATGATGCACCACATTTTGTATAATCAATGATCGGAACGTTCATGGGGTAAAACGACAGGATCCAGTAGGGGAATTAGAGGTAAAACTTAGGACAAGATGAGCACCAGTATTTAGTCCAGCAGGACAATATGAGCACCAGTATTTAGTCCAGTAGGACAAGATGAGCACCAGTATTTAGTCCAGTAGGACAAGATGAGCACCAGTATTTAGTCCAGTAGGACGAGATGAGTACCAGTATTTAGTCCAGTAGGACAAGATGAGCATCAGTCTTATGTCCAGTAGGGCGAGATGAGTACCAGTCTTCAGTCCAGCAGGACAAGATGAGCACTGCAGCCTCAGCTCTAGTAAGAAAAGATGAGCTACAAAGTCTCGGCTCAAATAGGACAAAATGAGCACCAGTCTTAAGTCCAGTAGGACACGACGAGCACCAGTATTTAGTCCAGCAGGACAAGATGAGCACCAGTCTTAAGTCCAGTAGGACAAGATGAGCACCAGTCTTAAGTCCAGCAGGACAAGATGAGCACCAGTCTTAAGTCCAGCAGGACAAGATGAGCACCAGTCTTAAGTCCAGCAGGACAAGATGAGCACCACAGTCCCAGTTCCAATAGGACAAGATGAGCCCCAGTTTAAGGACAAGAAACATTAAGAAAATACCAACATGACAACATAATTATAATTCAAACTCAAATTCCATAAAATTAGGTAAAATATGAACAAATGAAAGATTAAAATGGAGACTCCTGAAAAAGTACAAGGAGAATAAGACCATGTGTTTAGGAAGAGTAAGGGTCTTCTGCTTCATCGACGACACCAGCCATGCAAACCTTGTTCGATCCAAGCAAGTAATGTCATGTTCTCAAATGACAAAATAACAAAATCAACAAGGCAAACTAACAAACACCAAATACGTCCGTCTTCATATCGCAGAAAGAAATAGAATATTTCTCAATAAGATCATTATGGTGACCATAAAACTTCCACATAATTTTCATCAACCTGCATCTTTTAAACCCTTGTGTTACGAGTCTGTCTGTCAGTTTACAACTTCTTGCACGAAAGTCATGAAAATGGGAATAGGTCCTTGAATATCAAATTAACACTTACATGTAAATACTACATTGCTATCCAGAAATGGAAAATTCACAATAGGGAAATTGAAAGCATCACGTTTATCATACAACTTTATGGAAAGCTGTCTATGTTGGTTTCGTTGTAGAAAAAGATCGAGATAAGCAGCTGATAAAGAAGAGTCTGTCATATCTTTGATTTCGAGTTCTAGTGGATATATATGATGGAGCTAGTCAATAAATTTCTTTTTATTTAAAGACTAGACTTAATTTCACGTTCTCAAATAAGAACAAGGTATTCAACAACAGAATCAACAGGCAAACTGATGAGTATCAAATGAGATGAACCCCAGCCAAGTATGACAAAATTAACACCAGTCTCAGCTTCATTAGAACATAATCATAACAGTCTATTTCTCACACTAATTAAAATAGGGAGAAGATAAGTATGTCCCTGTCTAGACTCAGGGCAACATAAGTGACAAATAAATATTCCAGATGGAATGGTTTTGATCCTTGTTCTCTTTCAGTTATAAGTAATAACATAAGATGCAACATTTGACTTTGTCAATATTTAATATAACACAACAAATATTGTACAAGTGTTGGAATGTTGATTGGTAAACTCCTCACAAAATAACAAATTGTTTGCAATTATGAAGAAAATTTTCTAATGAAATTAAAAAAGAATTATCAGCAATTTTTCCAGTACAAAAATTCTATAACGATAAGCTCAGTATTCAACAGTTTCCTCAGAAATCAACACTCCAGGATACATCATATCATACATGGACGGAAATTCATAATTTTGTGAGTTTGTGAATGAAATATAAAAGACGATTTTTAAGTGTTCTAAGTGATAAAGTACATCTACATGTAAAGTATCTCTGTCTTTTGTTTCATCAGATATGCTAATCTGATATTAAAGGAATGAATTTGAAGAAAACTTTAAGAGGTAAGCTCCTGATAGTAATATCGATATCATTTTATCACCAGTAAACCAATCGATCAAAGGGACAGCATCCTTACTGTAGAATGAGTAACCTAAGTCTGGGATGGAAAGAAACTATTTCTGTTATTACACTGTTCTGTTGTAATATGAAATAGTTTTGAAATATAGATCCACATTACAAAATTATCTATCCCATGAATTAAATCTACATCCCCATCCTTTGCCTGTGTACTGGTTTACTGCTAGTTTTTTGTACAGTATCTCCAAGACAGGGATTAAAAGTTCATAAAGTCCAGTTCCCTCTTCATCCTGAGTGTGACAGACAGTTCACCCTTATCTCCATCCCACTTGGCTTTGCCTGACTCGTGGTCCACTGGGTGGGGCAGATGGAGTCCTAACTTCCTGTCAACAGTACACAGAGATAAGAAATAAGTTTTAGACTAAAACTTGGATTTTGAAGTATATTTACTTATGATGAGAAAATGAATAAATTTTAATGCCAATGTTCTACATCACTGTTTAGATAGAACACACAATATAAAACATGGAAGACTCACAGTTTTGGTGTTCTACAGTCCAGAAACTTTGACTTTACATCTAACGTCATGTCAGATATCTTAGTGTCTGGTAACTTAATCTTCACCTGTGAAAATGAACATAGATTAGTATGACATGATAGTAAGACATTTACACCAGAAAATACAAATGGAGTAAAAGACTTCACAACAGACTGATCAGTCACATTACCTGGCAGGTGATTAATATTAGTAGTAGGAACCATGGTCGGCTGGGTGACACCGTGGATATTGAATTACACATAAAGTCTTTCATCAAGGTGGGAGTTTAATTCCCTCAAAAGAATATGAAACTGTTTACCTTTCTGACCCCCTTGGGATTTTTTTGAATACTTAAGTCTCTTCCAATACAAATTACACATCCTTAGAGCAAACATAACTTCTTTTTAGGTTATAAAATAGATGCTGAGGTAGCTTGTTTTTATCATGTTAATAAACAATAAAACTCTTGATTTCTAATGGTCTGTGGAGTTAACCTACCACCATATCCTCACAGCTAGCTGTAGCTGGGTTTTTATTACCCATCTGTAAGAACATGTCCTCGGATGTCACTGCCTGCTTGTAGAGGATTTCATACCTGGAATGGAAGTACAACTATAATATGTGTAAGACACAGAATTCTAAATATTTGGAAAAAAAGAATTGTGAAATATGTGTTCTACTTACATAGGTAAACATTCATTCAATGATCAATTTAACCTGCAATTAGAGTGCAAAGTCTTTACACTGTAAGACACAGAGTTCTAAATATTTGGAAAAAAAGAATTATGAAATATGTGTTCTAATTAAATAGGTGAACATTCAGGGTAAATACCAGTCTACAAGCTACATCCATTATGGTACAATGAAAAAGAAAACAGGACTAATTCTAGGATTAATTCAACCTGAACCTAGAGTACAAAGTCTTTACACTGTATATGTTGCTTTGGTTTTACCAATGAACAATCTTTGTATATGACTGATGGTTGAAGAGCAAATTATAATGTACTACAGACTACCCACTATAGTTTGGTTCACAGAGTGTAATATTTAATGCCCACCTCAAAAAAGACTACCTTCTTGGACTGTTGCTGAAGGTCATAGAACTTAACACCTTGTACTATACTACGACCTCAAAATAGACAACCTACTGTGACTGATATAACTTCAGAACAGACTACCTTATTTGAATGTGGCAAAAAGTTGTAGAGTATAATAATTATATATAACTTCATAACAAACCAACAACTTAATTGTGGATGAGAGTCATAGAGTATAATTCTTAAAAATAATTTCAGAACAGACTACCTTATTTGAATGTAGCCGAGGGTCACAGAGTATAATAATGGAGCATTACCTCAGAACAATCTACCTACTCTGGGTGAGGCTGAGGGCCATGGAGTATGATATTCAAGTGTTACCTCAGAACAGACAAATTACGCTATTTGTGACTGAGAGTCATAAAGCATAATAAATAAGTAATTTTCAGACAGACTGACAAACCAGCTGATTACTATAGGGCACCGCATTGTGATGCCTATCCAAAATGTAGGCGAGGGTTGCAAGTACTATCTCAGAACAGACTACTTACTCTGGTTGCGGCCAAGGATCATAGAGTTTATTACTTCAGTACTTCATCAGGACAGACTACCTAATTTGGCTGAGAGTTATTAAGTGTTAAACAGTCTACTTACTCTGGTTGTGGCCGAGGGTCGTAGAGTGATTCATATTCCGCACCTTCCCCAACATCTTCTTCTGTCCAGATATCCTTAGTGTTCTTCTTAGCATCTACTACGGAACAATGTTAACAGCATATCATCAGCAATATATAGCAGTCTACATAAGTTCAGATGTTTTCTTTGTGGAATTCTCTCATGTGAATGGAAGATTTTAATCAGAGGTAAAACATTATGATAAGTTATCATGAATATACATACTATGTTCCTGGCTGATGCAATACATACATTGAATTTTAAATCTATATATAGGCTCTTTCAGGTATTGTTTATATCTTACATTAGGTACTGACCCTGGTTTGACTCACTGCTACTGTCATCTTTCTTTTTAGGACCAATTTCTCCTGGACCCATCTTAGCAAACTCTGTCTTAGGCTAGAAATAATAAATATTGAATTAGTTTTCGGGACAATATAAGGAAGACAAACATTAAGATAGTTGTTAATACTGTTTTGTCTACATGAATGAATATTGTGATCATGATAAAAAATATTAAGTAAATACTTAAATTTCATAATATTTTGACTCATTACCTGTATTACTTACATGGAGATAGATTTTATGACATTGTACTAATAAATTAAACAACATTGATTGATAATATCACTTAAGTCTGCTACACTTCGTCAATTGAAATGTTTAAAATCTTTTCATATAAAAAAACATGTTAGAACAGAATGTAAAGTTAAACATGTGTAACCACATCATTAATGTGTATATCATTGTTAATACATACTGCTTCATCATCCAAATCACTGTCTGAATCGGCATTCTCAGGAGGTTTCAATATTTCAGCTAAGGCTGAAACCATGTCCGATGTAAAAGCCATGCTGACAAGTAAATAATACTACTCTTTCTGGACTTATTAGCTTAATAGGTGTCACATGTACAGGCCAACTTCCTCAGCTCAGTAAGAAACTTTCAAAATCTGGCGGTCATGGTATCTCAGGAAGAGAGACATCTGGAATAAACATATAATCAGTAAACCCTCGTTGCATTGTTACTTTTCTTTGCTGAAGTTTCATTGTTTGCATATACGACAAATGAGGGAATGCTTAACATTGATAAATGTATGTTGCATGCCAGACATATGTACATGTCCGTCAAAACAGATAATATGGTGTATGAAATAGAGTACTCAAACAATGATTGGGGTTTAATACGACGAGAAACTCTTAACATGTGTCGTGTCGCATGTTCGCCAAGCAGATTAAGATGACAGGTAAGACTTCGACAGCTTACCTAAAACATTGGTTACCAAAAGGGTCAATTTTTCCATTAAGATTCATTAAATTCCAAACATTATATCCACTGACTTTTGATTTAACATTGTTTATACCTACTGCATTTGTCAAATTCCTAGGTGCTTCTCGATCATTCAATTTACTTGATGAGCGTTACACCGTGTTTGGATACAAGCAGGTTTCCACATGTCGATGTAAACTTCCGGTTACTCATGCGCAGTATTAGATATTAAGGCAGACAGTTCGTGCATAATATAAAATTAAGGATCCATGCACGCCAATGAACAGAATGTCATAAGAAATGTCCATCAGCTAAGACGATGCCGTTATATGATAACATAAACTAAAACGATTGAGAATCCACAAAGAATTAAAGACAATTATAGTAGGAAAAATGTTAGCAACAATTACATATCCACGTGCAACAAACCCAAACAACAGAATGTTATTACACAAATGACATTAACAGGTCATGTAAAGTCAAAATACATCAAAAGATCAATGGGAATTTGGAAACTTGAAGTATCATCATGTTTTCCCAGTCTCTGATATTTTACGAAGATATAAACTTGATTTTTTATGTACGTCCCTGATGTAGCACATCCATACAAACATGTGTTAAATGCATGACCTATGATGGTTAAAGATTTAAAACTATATTTTCATCATCTATTTTACAAGTTGAATGAAAAAAAGTTTTCATCATTTATTTTCAATCTTAGACAAGGTAACCTGGTGACTCTTGAATCCCTTGACTCTCTTGATTGAATGCCCGCAGCCCCATACATGACATATTCCCGGGTGACATTCATGGTAACAACACAGACCAGTGTCCATCGTCTGACAGAGATGGGCAGTGCTAGTGTAGCGGAACTTGACTGGTAACAGCACAGACCAGTGACCACCTTGTGACAGAAAAAAAGGCTTTGTCCAAACAAAAGTATTTATGTACTTATTTCTTAAAATCATAGACATTTAGAAAAAATCATAGTATTAAATACAGAAATACTGTATCTTTAAATTATAAAGGTTAACATTATATTATATACCAACACACACCCTCATACACATATATATACCCAATGGGTATCAGTTGTATGTATTCTTTAAATATATAATCACCGTTAATTGGTAAGTGTCTCAAGAAGTAGCTACAATTGTGAGGACAGTTCTGTGCAATGCTTTGAAAATGAATCCTTCCAATGTATCAAATTCTTTATGACATATGTCATTTACAAGATTTTTTTTTCTTGTAACCAAACATAATTACATAATTAAATTCGTGAACAATATATATCTGAAAGTCGTTGGTAAATCATACCGAAAAGTTACTTGCATTTATTTAGAATATGACATGAACTATTGAGTATAAATTAATTGAAAATCAATCATAAGACATACATGAATATACAATGTAATTGATATCATTGAACATAATTCCAAAACCAACTGAAACTGATAATAAAACGGGATGTTGTTCAGAAGATTTGTAAAATAATGTTTCGTAGCTGCTCTAGCTTCGGTCTCCTGTCTAATTTACTAAATATGATATATAATTTATCAAATAAGATATCTATTTAATTTCGAAATATCTTATTTAAAATTTATGATACATCTAATTTATTAAATAAGATACATTTTGAAAGAAAAATTAATAAGATATATTATCTATTGAATAAAGTTTCTAAAATAAGAAAACTAATTCTGTAAACAACTTACCTCTTGTCCAAAATTTAGATATCCTGATCTGATATGGAAGTCTATCATTCAGATAAATTAAATATCTGATATAATTTGGTTAAGTACCAGGTCAGAATTATGTCTATTAATCAGATAAATTAGATATCTGATATAATTTGGTTCAGTGCAGGGTCAGAATTATGTCTATTATTCAGATAAATTAGATATCTGATATAATTTGGTTCAGTGCAGGGTCAGAATTATGTCTATTTATCAGATAAATTATATATATGATGTAATTTGATTAAGTACCGGTTCAGAATTATGTCTATTTATCAGTTAAATAAGATATCTGATATAATTTGGTTAAGTACAGGGTCAGAATTATGTCTATTATCAGATAAATTAGATATCTGATATAATTTGGTTAATAAATTAGTACCATTAGGTATCAGAATTATGTCTATTATTCAGATAAATTAGATATCTGATATCATTAGATATCTGATATAATTTGGTTCAGTACCGGGTCAGAATTATGTCTATTATTCAGATAAATTAGATATCTGATATAATTTGGTTAAGTACAGGGTCAGAATTATGTCTATTTATCAGATAAATTAGATATCTGATATCATTAGATATCTGATATAATTTGGTTCAGTACCGGGTCAGAATTATGTCTATTTATCAGTTAAATAAGATATCTGATATAATTTGGTTCAAGAATTATGTCTATTTATCAGATAAATTAGTATCTGATATAATTTGGTTAAGTACCGGGTCAGAATTATGTTTATTTATCAGATAAATTAGATATCTGATATAATTTGATTAAGTACCGGGTCAGAATTATGTCTGTTTATCAGATAAATTAGATATCTGATATAATTTGATTAAGTACCGGGTCAGAATTATGTCTATTTATCAGATAAATTAGATATCTGATATAATTTGATTAAGTACCGGGTCAGAATTATGTCTGTTTATCAGATAAATAAGATATCTGATATAATTTGGTTAAGATATCTGATATAATTTGGTTACGTACAGGGTCAGAATTATGTCTATTTATCAGATAAATTAGATATCTGATATAATTTGGTTAATTTGTACAGGGTCAGAATTATGTCTGATATAAATTAGATATCTGATAAATTAGATATCTGATATAATTTGGTTCAGTACAGGGTCAGAATTATGTCTATTATTCAGATAAATTAGATATCTGATATAATTTGGTTCAGTGCAGGGTCAGAATTATGTCTATTTATCAGATAAATTAGATATCTGATATAATTTGATTAAGTACCGGGTCAGAATTATGTCTATTATTCAGATAAATTAGATATCTGATATAATTTGGTTCAGTGCAGGGTCAGAATTATGTCTATTATTCAGATAAATTAGATATCTGATATAATTTGGTTCAGTACAGGGTCAGAATTATGTCTATTATTCAGATAAATTAGATATCTGATATAATTTGGTATGTCTATTTATCAGTAAATTAGATAGATATCTGATATCATTAGATATTAGATATCTGATATAATTTGGTTCAGTGCAGGGTCAGAATTATGTCTATTTATCAGATAAATTAGATATCTGATATCATTAGATATCTGATATAATTTGGTTCAGTACAGGGTCAGAATTATGTCTATTTATCAGATAAATTAGATATCTGATATCATTAGATATCTGATATAATTTGGTTCAGTACAGGGTCAGAATTATGTCTATTTATCAGATAAATTAGATATCTGATATAATTTGATTAAGTACCGGGTCAGAATTATGTCTATTATTCTGATCAATTAGATATCTGATATGATTTGATTGAGTACAGGGTCAGAGTTAAGATAAGTTCTAAGCTTGTTTTCCCACCCCAAGCATATTACATGTATGTGTTAAATTGTTGAATATTGAATAAAAATGTTGTTTAAACGAAGTACAGGAGCAACATTGATGAAAGAATTATATCCGAGAGGCCCGGAATGTGATATATTTCCCTAGCTGTAACCATCTCACAAACGCTCCTTTGAGTACACACAGTTAAGCGACCACCTGTTAAACTAACACATACAGAGACGAGTTAATTCCATACGAAGACAAAAAATTGATAGAGTTAGCTCATTCTCATTTTAAATGCCTTAAATTCCGACAGCTTGACATAACGTGGAAGTCTATTAAGCAGATAACCATGTTGAATGATACTGGGTAATGTTGATACAAGTTTCTCTTTAACTGTATATGTGATGTAATTAATGGTTACAAAATGTCCGTTCCTGTTTCTGGAAACATCTTTTATTTTTAAATATATGTAAACAAATGATTAAACATATGAACATTTTGAGTCATATCAGACAGGTTACAACATCATACATACATGAATTAGAGCTATACATTGTAATCCCGCGTGTTTCTGGAAAACCGCCGAAGGTTCCGCGCGCCAGAACAGACTAGAACATGAGAGATGGGCCGACATAGTTTGTAGAGTGTGCGTAGGTGCCCAGAGATGTATATAGCTTCCGGGACCGTTTCATTACAATCAGCATTCTTTGAGGCGAGCAACATACAGTAACACAAGCGTACTGACTACAGACGGACTAGTCTAGTGCCCGACACAAACTTTCACAAGGCAAAATGTCTGCCCCAGCTATAGGGATCGATTTGGGTACTACATATTCCTGTGTGGCAGTTTTTCAACACGGGAAAGTGGAGATTATCGCTAATGAACAAGGAAACCGGACAACTCCCAGTTATGTGGCCTTTACGGATACTGAACGACTAATAGGGGACGCTGCTAAAAACCAGGTAGCCATGAACCCAAGTAATTCCGTTTTTGACGCCAAAAGACTCATAGGTAGAAAGTTTGATGACGCCTCAGTTCAATCGGACATGAAAAATTGGCCATTTAAAATCATCAACAAAGGTGGCACACCTTTGATACAAGTGCAATTTAAAGGTGAAACCAAGATGTTCAGCGCTGAGGAAATAAGTTCAATGGTGCTGACTAAAATGAAGGAAACAGCGGAGGCTTACCTTGGCAAAAAGGTGAAGGACGCTGTCATCACCGTTCCCGCATATTTCAATGACTCTCAACGTCAGGCGACAAAGGACGCTGGCGCCATCACTGGACTTAATGTGCTCCGTATCATCAACGAACCCACGGCCGCTGCCTTGGCATATGGTCTCGATAAAAACCTCAGTGGTGAGAAAAATGTCCTCATTTACGATCTTGGTGGAGGTACTTTCGATGTATCTATACTTACCATCGATGAGGGATCCATGTTCGAAGTACGCTCAACAGCCGGAGATACTCATCTTGGTGGCGAAGACTTTGACAACAGGTTGGTCACTTTCTTCATTAATGAGTTCAAGCGAAAATACCACAAAGACATGAGCAATAATCCTCGTGCCATCCGGCGCTTGAGGACGGCATGTGAGAGAGCGAAGCGCACATTATCTAGCAGCTCAGAAGCAAGTGTGGAAATAGATTCAATGTTTGAGGGGATCGATTTCTACACTAAAATTTCTCGTGCGAGATTCGAGGAGCTTTGTTCAGACCTATTTAGAACCACCATTGAACCCGTTGAACGAGCGCTGATCGACGCCAAACTAGACAAGAGTAAGATCCACGACATCGTGCTGGTCGGTGGCTCAACTCGTATCCCAAAAATCCAGAAGTTATTACAAGATTTCATGAATGGCAAAGAGCTAAATAAATCAATCAACCCAGATGAGGCAGTGGCGTACGGGGCGGCAGTCCAGGCAGCTGTTCTGTCCGGTGATACCAGTAGCGCCATCAAAGATGTGCTATTGGTGGACGTAGCACCACTGTCCCTCGGTATCGAAACTGCTGGAGGCGTTATGACCAATCTCATTGAGAGAAACAGCAGGATCCCGTGTAAAACCTCGAAAACATTTACAACGTACGCGGACAACCAACCAGGGGTTCACATACAAGTGTACGAGGGAGAGAGAGCTATGACCAAGGACAACAACCTCCTTGGAAAGTTTGATCTCGACGGTATCCCTCCCGCTCCCCGTGGGGTGCCCCAAATTGATGTCACATTTGACATTGACGCTAACGGTATTCTAAACGTGTCCGCCGAAGACAAGAGCACCGGAAAGACGAACAAAATCACCATTACTAACGACAAAGGACGACTTAGTAAGGCAGAGATTGACCGAATGGTGTCGGAAGCCGAGAAATATCGCGAGGCGGACGAGAAGCAGAGACAAGCCGTATCCTCTAGGAATGCTCTCGAGAATTATGTGTTTAATGTGAGAATGGCAATCAATGAAACAGCAGGTGATAAACTGACACAGGAGGAAAAAACAAGTGCTTTGAATAAATGTGAAGAGACTCTCAAGTGGCTGGAGGCTAATATGTTGGCAGAGAAAGATGAGTACGACTTCAAAATGAAAGAGGTTCAAACTGTGTGCGCACCATTAATGAGCAAACTCCATGGCGGAAGTCAAGGTCAAGGCCAAAACCAAGGCGAAAAAAGTAGTGGCCCAACTGTAGAGGAAATGGACTAACTGGAATAATGATCCAACAGAGACTTATTCAAATAATGGTGCAACAGTGGTTAAAATGAACTAATCAAACTAGCTTATAAAGTTAAGTATAGTTTATTTATTAAGCGCTTTTGTTTAAGTTTTGTTTCACTATCAAGGGCCTTGTAATCGACATTTTATTGTCTGAATCACTATCTTCTCTCGCGTCAGATCTAATCGCACATGTATGTGTTGTAATGAGCGTATTTAAAAAGCAGCTTTATTCAATCGTGACGATTTTTGTTCAGAAAAGTGATAGGTGTTGTTAATAAACTTCCATAAAAATAAGCGCTCTCTGTATGTTATTTTTATCTTGTGTAGAAACGACAGCTACTCCTTGTCCAGTTATAAAGTTAAGCACATTTGTTAGTAGTGCTTTACACTGCAGTTTCCTTACAAATGATTGATTTTTAAGTGCTTGTGAATCGCATAATATATGTTTTATATTTAGCCGTTTCGAAACGTTTCCTTTAAAATATCAAAATGTCTACAAATGAAGGGAAGATTTGTACAATTGTAAATGAAGATGTCGGAAATTTTGAATATCGATATTTAATTTAGAAAAAAAATCTAATATTTCATTTTCTTCTGTAAATTCCGAATTGGGGTCCGGAATATGTTGAAATATTTCAGACGTTATATTTTGCATAACTGTTGACATTTTCCTTACAATTCGCCGCATAAATATTTTCCAGGCATCTCCAGATACAAGCACGTATATTGTAAACAAATCTTGATTACCTGTTTTTATCATCACACTAAAAGGCATGCGGTATATGATGAGGACTCCGAGGTTAACTTTCAAACCAAGGCCATGACCTCTGTGGGAGTTTGCCCGACACCTGTAATTATTCTCACTCTCATTTGAGATCATGAGCCTAGAACTAACCGGCACGTTTTAGTGATTTATCTACGAGTGTTCTTATAGATATCGCTCTGAGGGATATATACATATACCATCAGTATTTCTCTGAAAATCTGCTTGTCACAATACCAGATGTAAAAAGTTGCACTGTACATCACCGTTGTTGTGTTACATAATGTACATCACCGTTGTTGTGTTAACACAATACATCACTGTTGTTGTGTTATGTACATCAATTGTACATCACCGTTGTTGTGTTAAACTGTACATCACCGTTGTTGTGTTACATTGTACATCACCGTTGTTGTGTTACATTGTACATCACCGTTGTTGTGTTACATTGTACATCACCGTTGTTGTGTTACACTGTACATCACCGTTGTTGTGTTACACTGTACATCACCGTTGTTGTGTTACACTGTACATCACCGTTGTTGTGTTACACTGTACATCACCGTTGTTGTGTTACATTGTACATCACCGTTGTTGTGTTACACTGTACATCACCGTTGTTGTGTTACATTATACATCACCGTTGTTGTGTTACACTGTACATCACCGTTGTTGTGTTACATTGTACATCACTGATGCTGTGTTATGTGTTACGTCGTACATCAATTGCGTTACGTGTTAGATTGTACATCAGCTGTGTTATGTGTAGCATTGTACATCAGTTGTGTTTTGCTAAGAGTTACATTGTATATGAGTTGTTCTATGTTATGTGTACGTGCTACATTCTTCATCACTTGTGTTATGTTATGTGTCACAAAGTACATCACGTTTTTTTCTGTTATGTGTTACATTGTGTATCAGTTGTGTTGTCTGGAATGTGTTACATTGTGCATCAGTTGTGTTGGGATATGTGTCACATTGTACTTCGCTCGTGTTGTGTTATGTGTTACATTGAAGTACAAATGAAGTGCACTCAACACATTAGATGTACAGCTTGACATGTCAAATGCAGTTTACAATGTGACACGTGCCACAACAGACGTATAGTGTGATACATAAAACAACTGATATGTAACGTAACACAGACGATATATAGTGTAACACACAACACAACTAATGTACGGTGTAACACAATACAACGGATGTAAATGTCACACACATTGTAACTGGTGTACAGTGTAACACAACACAACTGACGTACAGTGTCACACATAAGGTAACCAATTTACAGTTTAACACAACACAACTGATGTACGGTGTAACACAACACAACTGATGTATAGTGTCACACACAATGTAACTGATGTATAGTGTCACACACATTGTAACTTGTGTACAGTGTCACACACATTGTAACTGGTGTACAGTGTAACACAACACAACTGATGTACAGTGTCACACACATTGTAACTGATGTACAGTGTAACACAACACAACTGACGTACAGTATCACACATAAGGTAACCAATTTACAGTTTAACACAACACAATTGAAGTACAGTTTCACAAAATTTGATCGATGTATAATGTAACACAACACCACTGATATACAGTGTCTCACACATTGTAACTGGTGTACAGTGTCACACACATTGTAACTGATGTCCAGTTTAACACAACACAACTGATGTACAGTGTCACACACATTGTAACTGGTGTACAGTGTCACACACATTGTAACTGGTGTACAGTGTAACACAACACAACTGATGTACAGTGTCACACACAGTGTAACTGGTGTACAGTGTCACACACAATGTAACTGGTGTACAGTGTCACACACATTGTAACTGATGTCCAGTTTAACACAACACAACTGATGTACAGTGTCACACACATTGTAACTGGTGTACAAACACACATGTCACACACACACATTGTAAATGGTGTACAGTGTAACACAACACAACTGATGTAACACACACACAATAATGTAACAGAACAAAAAGTGATGTGGTGTACAGTGTCACACACAGTGTAAACTGGTGTACAGTGTCACACACAATGTAACAATGTAACTGGTGTACAGTGTAACACAACACAACTGATGTACAGTGTCACACACAGTGTAACTGGTGTACAGTGTCACACACATTGTAACTGGTGTACAGTGTAACACAACACAACTGATGTACAGTGTCACACACAGTGTAACTGGTGTACAGTGTCACACACAATGTAACTGGTGTACAGTGTCACACACATTGTAACTGATGTCCAGTTTAACACAACACAACTGATGTATAGTGTCACACACATTGTAACTGGTGTACAGTGTAACACACATTGTAACTGGTGAACAGTGTCACACACATTGTAACTGGTGTACAGTGTAACACAACACAACTGATGTACAGTGTCACACACAATGTAACCAGTGTATAATGTAACAGAACAAAAAGTGACTTAACAAAGACATCCCATATGATTATAAGAATTGCACGTTGATCCTGAAATTTGTTTAAACAAAATTTCGTTTCAGTCTGTAATTGCAAATTACTGCAAAAAAGTGGCACACTAGTCCCTCTGTGTGCTCAGAACATACTAGAAACAAACGAGAAGCATTTTGTTTCCCATGGCTGTAAATGCTAGTTAGGTAGAGTGCCTTGATCAGATGTGATACATTCTTAAACCATGTCCGCTGCGGCAGAGCGCCAAGAAAAGGAATCTTTTAAAAAAGTGAAACTGGATTGAATCCAATTACACGTATCTGAGTGGTAAGGGAATGATTGCTTGCTATGAGATGTAGTAAGGTACATATCCCACATAGATGTTTAATGATGAGTCAGCACTGGAGCTCGTTACTCAGGAATTCATGCCAGATGAAATAGCCAGTGGACGAAAGTCGTACCCCGTTTCATTTTTTTATTCTATATTTAGATTAAAAAAAATCGTTTCATTAACCGAATTTCATCAACTTACGTTTTAAGTTAAACGAACAGTAGGTTTTAAAACATTAGATACTTACCATTTAAATGTACTGGAAAATGATGACAACAACTTAAAATGATCCTTATGAGGTGCCAATATATTTTTCAAATACACTTAGATGACACCACTAGAAATGAAATCACTAATTCATGATGGCTGCGTCATCTATTCATTACAGTGATATCCTCAATTCTTTATCACCAAATGGATTTAAAATATCACCACAATTAATAGTAAATATCTCTAATTCAAAGTGAATTGATAATATATCTTAATAGGCGATATCACTATAGTGAACAGGTGATAAAAAGTTGATAGCTCCAGTTCAACGTGGATTGATAATATATCTGACTGTTATGTAACCATCATCAATCGGTGATATCTCCAAATGATTTATTGATATTGCCTATTCACTATAACCAATTCTTGGTGATATCACTATAATGAATAGGTGATATAACTGTAATGAATAGGTGATATAACTGTAATGAATAGGTGATATCACTGTAATGAATAGGTGATATAATTGTAATGAATAGGTGATATCACTGTAATGAATAGGTGATTTCACAGTAATGAATAGGTGATATAATTGTAATGAATAGGTGATATCACAGTAATGTATAGGTGATATCACTGTAAGGAATAGGTGATATCACAGTAATGAATAGGTGATATAATTGTAATGAATAGGTGATATCACTGTAATGGAAAGGCGATATCACTATAATGGAAAGGCGATATCACTGTAATGGAAAGGCGATATCACTATAATGAATAGGTGATACCACTGTAATGAACAGGTGATATCACTATAATGAATTGGTGATACCACTGTAATGAACAGGTGATATCACTATAAGGATCTATCATCTGATCTTTTTCAATAATATCATTATATGAAAATAAAAAGTAAAACATCTCCCATATCTTTGCGTGAAGGAAAAGTTTACACTGCAATCGATAGATAGTTTAACTCCCTAACCTGATAAACATGTATATGATATTAAAGAGGAATGCTTAGTGAGAGAATGTTGAGGTAAAAATAATGTTTTATCCCTACCTCCTACATCTTTATGGATTTCCTGGTATTCAATACACGAACACGATTCTATTCAATTGCCGTTTGACCTCATGACGAGCATGTAATATCTTCAACGGAATGTCAAGACTGTAAGACAGTCATCGATAATGCAACGAAAAGCTTGCCTGGAATCTTAAGCCTGTAATTGTTCGTCGGTTCGTAAAGGTTACGTTTGAAAGCAGTTGCTGAATCGGGACACCAACATGTTAAAATCAAATGATTGAATTTTTAGTGTCAGTGCCTTGACCATGGGCTGGACAAGACCAAGTATGGACAAAGTAAAATCTCTTACAACAAAGAAGAGTAAGAGGGATGATGTCATTAAGCAAGAGTTCTCACTACCGAGGCTTAAAACAAGTGACCAATTCCGTGTAGCCTTCACGCGCTCGGACACCGAGTTCTTAACAGTAGCAGTGAAGAAAAGAACATCACAGAAAGTCGGTAAGTGTCTGTACATGTCTCACATATATCTGTTATAAATTAAGCACAAGGAAAATAATTCCATGTGTTAAAACGGAATCTAAATTCGGTTTATTATTATGGCTGGAAATGACACATAATATGACCAAAAAGAAAAAAAATAATAGTTTTGAATTAGAGTCCTACTCTATGATTATTTCATAAAACGTGAAAACGTGTTGTATTGTAGTTAACTGGTCACTCTGACATACGGTGTATACGAGTGTTGATATACAGTGCCATTGCATTAAAGATGGATAAAGGCTTAGTGGTTAAAATTTCTAATTCTATTTCTGATTTTTTTCCATTTTACTCGCCCTTTGTTATTTTCAATGCAACCTTTTCTGAAATATGAATTTCCACTTTTATTGAAAGGCAATAGAATGATACCTGGATAACAGGAAAAACATGTGAAAGCGCTGAATTCTTATTTCATTTAATAACCTCATAACTGGGGATGTCATAGCAACAAAAATGAAAAAAATGGATAGTTTAAATCGTTTATTTGACCATGTTCTAAAACTTTCAAGTCTTTTTACTCCGATAAAGAAGTTTTTTTTATGATGAGGATTTATCTTATTATTGATATTTGTTTTCTGGGTTCGTCACAGAGCCGTTGATAAAAAAGTAGTCCACTAGCAAATTCTCTACAGAACGTCTTCTAAAGCATCTTATATCAGCTAGTAAGTACAACTTCATAGATGACAAAGTCTCAGAAATCCAAGATATTACATTGGAACTCATTTTAAATTGAATTATATCCTACTTCCGGTGAAACATGTGTTTGATACGCCCTTACCGTTCCAGAATATATAACGACATGCGATACGTATTAATATTAAACAAATGCAACCAACATTGTCATTTACTTGTGGATGTTAAAATAACATTTCCATGCATTTTATTTTTCAAATCGAAGAATTTGATGACATAGAAAAATAACAGTTTCAGTTTGGCAGACTCGTGCTAATGCTAAAGAGGCGGGGAGACGAAGAAATTACTACACGAAATTATGCCAAAAGATCAAGGTCATACCTGTCCGAAGGGTCATGGGTCAAATTGGAGGATCTCGTATGTCTGTCCGAAATTTTTATCTCGGAGGCAAAGAAATCAGAGCAGTCTGTAAAACAGTGAGGGTAGGTCATCTCTACTTCACAGTGTTAATGTCTGTAATGAAGCCCAGACGGGTCATTAACGACAGAGGGAATATTTTCAAACGTAACTTTCAGTGTTTATGAACAATGAATAATTAATATAATTTATTTACTAAACACAGAAAAAGACTACATGTATGCTATATACATGCTGGTTGTATTATATTTAGATTATTCTATGTATCAGATGTGCACAATCTATGTAAATATATTATCTATATTCAGATTATTGTATGAATCATATGTTTACAGATCGATAAAATGGTTAAAATAACCCAGGCAGTCAATCAATCAATCAATCAATCAATCAATCAATCAATCAATCAATCAATCAATCAATCAATCAATACTTTTAGGTGTTATTCCGTGTATATCTTATAGTAGATGGTTGTAGATGATAAGGTTTGATACCATGTATAGTTTATATTAGATGGTTGTAGATAAGGTGTGATACCATGTATAGTTTATATTAGATGGTTGTAGATAAGGTGTGATACCATGTATAGTTTATATTAGATGGTTGTAGATAAGGTGTGATACCATGTATAGTTTATATTAGATGGTTGTAGATAAGGTGTTATACCATGTACAGTTTATATTAGATGGTTGTGGATAAGGTGTGATACCATGTATAGTTTATATTAGATGGTTGTAGATAAGGTGTGATACCATGTATAGTTTATATTAGATGGTTGTAGATAAGGTGTTATACCATGTATAGTTTATATTAGATGGTTGTAGATAAGGTGTGATACCATGTACAGTTTATATTAGATGGTTGTAGATAAGGTGTGATACCATGTATAGTTTATATTAGATGGTTGTAGATAAGGTGTTATACCATGTACAGTTTATATTAGATGGTTGTAGATAAGGTGTTATACCATGTACAGTTTATATTAGATGGTTGTAGATAAGGTGTTATACCATGTACAGTTTATATTAGATGGTTGTAGATAAGGTGTGATACCATGTATAGTTTATATTAGATGGTTGTAGATAAGGTGTGATACCATGTATAGTTTATATTAGATGGTTGTAGATAAGGTTTGATACCATGTACAGTTTATATTAGATGGTTGTAGATAAGGTGTGATACCATGTACAGTTTATACCAGATGGCTGTAGATGATAAGGTTTGATACCATGTATAGTTTATACTAGATGGTTGTAGATAAGGTGTGATACCATGTATAGTTTATACCAGATGGCTGTAGATGATAAGGTTTGATACCATGTATAGTTTATACTAGATGGTTGTAGATAAGGTGTGATACCATGTATAGTTTATACTAAATGGTTGTAGATAAGGTGTTATACCATATATAGTTAACAGACAGTGGACATTATATTTCTGATTAAGAAAGTTTGAATGATTTAGGGAGACGGGATTCTCGGAACACTGGATCTCTCCGGAAACATGTTGTCCAGTCGAGAAGGCCGCTATGTCCAGGAAGTTCTGATATATACCTCGAAACTGACCACGCTAGTAGGTATTGGTTCAAGAACACGGCCTCTTGGCACAAACTTAACTCCATGGTCGCACTTGTATCAGGGATAGTTGCAAGGGAATATATAAGAAATGGTGTCACTTCCCTGTGTGAAAAGGTCAGTATTCGAGATCTTCTGCCTTTTCCACAACACTATGGTATGAGTTTCCGGAACACAATCTTAAATATGACTCGGGTTGGTGTATGTGGTGAAGTAGCTCGTGGTTTACAGTACACGGTGATGTATGTAGAAGTATAATACGTCTGACAGAGAGATAAGCCAGCAGAGATACAAGGAAACATGGCTATCCTTCATGTCACATTTTTATTAGTCTGCTATTCACACAAAGAAGGCCTGTTAGAAAATTGTACCAAAAACGCACATTCTGAATTCGATACACTAGAGCCAGATAATGAATTAAATTGCATTATACAGCTGTTTCGTCCTTCTAGGACTCGTCAAAAGGTAAGGGGACTAAATTTTAAAAATTAGGAGGATATCTAGGCAAACCGAAAGTGATCGAAAGAAATCAAAATGTAGATGTCATTATACATGTGTGTCAATTTCAGATGAACGTATATGTATCTATAACGTTTTTGCCTGTGAAATATAGAAAAATATCTCACTGATAAAAGTGCTGTTTTTTTCCACAAGTGAAAAACAACACAATCGAAAACTTACACATTTGAACTCACGAGAGTCAGATATCTATCAAAATTTTGATTTTAAACACACTTTTCATTGTATTAAACCATGATACAATATTTGTGGTGTCGCATGGCATCATTTCCAGGAAAAGTTTTATAATTTCGTATTTTCAATTTCAACTGGAGATGGTTAGCAACATCGAAGACGCGAGCCGGTTAAAATGACACAATACACTACATTTAGTTTAGTATAGTCAATAATCACTTATATTGCAAAACAAAATATCTGCATCAAATTTTGAGAAGTGTTCCATTGTGGATAGCGTCACGTCAGACATTTCAAGAGGATTCGTGTCATCAACAGCGACAGTTAAGTTGCCGCCATATTTTCAGTTGCGTAGTAACTTGTCACACTCTCTTTGAACGTTTCACTGCATATTTTGTTTGTTAGTGACATTAAAAAAACATTTTATATGTTAATGTAAAAAAATTGTCATTGAAATTATTTTTTGTGTTTACATATTTCTAAGGATTTTTGAAAAACAGACTATATTTTATCGCGTACTACGAAGTTGTAATGAGTGAGTAGTGTCATCGAAAAAGCTTCGTCCTCTTATATCTGTACTTATTATGCTAGGAATTTAGCTATTTTGCTTGTGAAAATGTAGTAAATAGAATATCTATTAGTGTCTTAAGTAATAACAGATACATTTCGCTCATGTGTCTGATATCTTTTTATCTTTCAGTCTTGATGCGCACTCATGAAAGATGCTAAAATGGACACATTTGTGAAAAATATTTGTTATTATTGAAGACTATTAAATATCCTCTACATATTCTTAACCGTGCTGCTATTCCTATGAATAAAAAAAATTGTGTAGGTTACAGCAAACCCCTATTTAGGTTTTGTGGGAGAGAAGGGAAGCGGAATTGTCTACGTGTGGGTTTACATGTTAAAGAACGTAGGTAGGAAAATTGGTTACGCGTACGGACCAATTTCGGGTTCAGAAGGACTGGGAGGATAGGATGGTTAAACGCCTGGCTCTGAAGAAAGCAGTGCTACTTTTTAAGTTTCATTTTTTTAACCTTCAGGCTTTAGATGAGTGTGGACTGGGAAGTGAAACTCTAGATGGTCTGTCCAGGTGTCCGGGTATTCGTCAGCTTCATCATCTCAGTCTGGCAGGTAATCACAATAGGAAAAATATTGTGAAATACATGTTTTGTCAAAATATGTTGCGGAGTCACGGACAATACAAGATATGCGAGATGAAAAATCAGTTTTACAGATCTACCAAGTGAGATATCAGTCATGAACACGGAGAATAAAGATCTATAATGTATACAGATCTATACTAAGTAAAAGATTTTCACAACTTTTATGTCATTTCAGAGTAGTTTCAGGAAAGGAAAAGTAAATTCAATACTTCTCTTATTCTGGTAACTACTAACAACAATAGCTTAGATAGCGTTGTATTCTCATCCTTCAGGATCGACGTTGGGTTTGAATTCATTATGGCAATTTTACTGGATCAAATGAGTGTAAAGAAAATATGAGAAAGAAATCAAACTGAATTTGACGAATATATTTACAATGAATAAATCTCATAGAGAAAACAAAAGTAAACGAGGTTTGTTTAAATTAAATCTGAATTTCACACTGCAAAAAGAGGGTTACTTGTACTTTCACGAAGTACAGCTTGTAATCGGTTTTTCGACCAACTATTTCTGATCCGTTTAAGATGTGTGTTTTTAGCTCAATACTTGCATATTAACTTGTGTTGCTAAGCTGCTTCATTTGGAAAATTTATTCCATTGGAGTAGCATTTGACCTATTCATTTTTACTAAAATTAACTTGTCTTTCTGTCTTACTTTTTCTAGTAAAACTGATTTTAAAAAATCTGATTTTAGAAAGACGTAGAAAACAAGAAATAAACTTAGATTGACATAAAACAATGTAAGGTGGAGATATTTGTAGGGAAATAAATATAGTTTTTCTACCGTAGGTAACCGTATACAGGACAAGGACAGTGGATCTATAGCATACATCATACAGGTAAACGTGATCGTCTATAATACATGTTACCCAGGCAATGCTGTACAAAATAGAGATCAAAGTTTTAGCGGATTGCCCCAAACGTATAGCTGACGTTTCAACAATGACAGAGGAAAGTAATTTTGCTTTGCTCGGACAGAATCTATAAGCCCCTCATTTCAAATCAATGGCAACCGGGCATGGCGTATCTGCCTCTTGATCAAATTAATCTGGCTGGCAACCGAGAAACTCCAACGCCAAACGTAATTTTCAAATTAGTAAGTTATTTGTTGGCCGCGGAAAGACGTCACTAGGCAATGTGCAGAAGCAGCAAATTAAGGCGATAATATAAAAAGTTAACAAATTAAAAAAAAAAAAAAAAAAGAAACACAAAAAGGAAAAGTAATGTTAAAAGAGGAAAACTCGCTTGAGCAATATAAAGAAATCGCAAATATCCCTCAAAGTAAGAAAAAAATCCACTGTTCCTTCATTTCGCGGAACGAGTTGGCTTTGTCGTTTGACGTCATTTTGCGGGCAGCAATACAAAGAGATGCTAAGAGGAACTGTCGTATATCAGTCACGTTAAACGCGTTACCGTGCATATAACTTATAACTACATGTAGGTTTTAGCAAGCATAAAGACGCCTCTATATGTTATATCACAGAGTCGTGCCATACCGCCTACCAAAGCAAACATCAACGTTTACATAGTTATAAGACTTTTCGGACAGAATACATAAAAAATATGGCCTTTGAGTTTCTGTTGTGTTCACAAACATGTCAATTATTACATTTACAAGTTTGAAACATATTTCACTATGAAAACAGAATGATGGATGTAAGTGATATTTTGACAACATCCATTACGTAATTCGACTTGGCATCGGCATTTACAACATGCATTAACGTGCAGGAATCAATTATAGCGCTAGACCGCTGTGTTATTGTTTACTAACGTTTCCTACTTACAGAACTGTAAGGCACTGAAACACTTCAACCTGAGCCATAATACATTTGAGACAGAAGGATGTAAAATTCTTGGTCAGGCCATAGGTAAGAACCAACTAGGTACAGTCTGAGGGTGGCATTGTTTCTATCTCGAAACGTTGTAAACACTGCGCACCTTGCATATTTGTTCAAACACGAATGCGTGTTTACCATGATATGTTATATAATCAATAATCGGCATATAAATACATAGTGATATAATACAGGAAGCAAGTGCTTTATAAAATATATATTTTCGTGGATGTAGACGAATCATGAAAATAAAAATGACTTCAGATGCAAGAATTATCTGTACAGTTTTGTGACGAAAGTTTTTACCCTGGCAAGGATGTATTAGATTTAAACAGTACTACAAGTGCACAAATAGTAAGACTAATTCGGCAGGAAGGCCTATATATTATGTATATTATGGGGGGTGGGGGTTGGGGGAGGGGGTGAGTATGAGGGGACGAGAAAGGGGAGACACTTATATTACTTGTAAGGCGTTTCGGGGTATTTATTATTCATGAATCAACGTGAAGAAATTGATAAAATGAAATTTCAATCTAACATTAACAATTTAAAAACAAAACCGAAACGACGTGAATTATGTAAAGAAAACGCCATTGTCAATTTGTCATTTCAAGTATCTCGCAATAATTACGGAGATGGAAAGGGGAGTAGGGGAGGGGGCCATATTCTTGTAAAGCCAGATCCAACATTATACTATAAGTAAGTGAATGACTCATCAATAAGTGTATATGTCTATCACTGCTATTCATTCACCGATATGTAACCATCCCCACCAACACAGACACGATAGAACATAAATCTAATAAGGATCATAGTGCAGTATGCCAGGTATCACTGTCGTGTTGGAATGCTAGTGATCCTATTAAGAACGTCAAACACAGGTTACGGATATAAGTACCGATTTGTCATTCACAAGGAAATGAATGTGAGATAATACAAACACCATGCCGTTTAACATGGATAAACTTTGAATTATACCAGGTAGTTTTGCGATCTTTATGTAGACAAAGAAACAGATGAAGCTTACAATTTAGATTTTGCATTTGCCTTTGGTTTACACAATATTGTTAGATGATTAAACCTGACAAATCTTACTGAAAACTTATCAGATTCTGTCATCATTGAATTATAGAAAATATGAAATTTCAGAGGAAAACACCAACATAAAGGAACTGGATCTCAGTTGGAATCATATCCGGGGGCGTGGAAGTATCTATATATCACGTGGTATACAGGTATGGAACATGTATAATCAGACTGTTGACGGAATAACTTGTTTTCTTTGTTTTACTTGCTGTAGATTTACGCCAGGCGTGAAAATCACGATTGTATAGAATTCTCCGTTGTACATTGCTTATCTAAGACTATTATTTCTGACGAATAGGATAAGATATTTCCGTGTCACCAACCAAACAAAGAAAACCGATGTAGACTCTTAAGCCATGAAAGTTTAGGTCAAATCCATTTGATGTCATGTTCTCAAAGCAGGAATCAAAGTAGTGGTAACAAAACCGATAGGCATGTACTCGTATCGCAGCCATGAAACATAGGTTATATCCACCTGCATTTATCGAAACCTTATGTTCGCTCTGCCAGCATCATGTATTAATATTAATAATATATTAATATATGTAGTTCATGATCACGTGACATTCCAGCAGTTAATTCTGTCTCGAATGATGAACGTTATTATCATTGCCTATAAAGTGACTCCTACTTAGCAGTTGTTGATTCTGTTCGCTTACTAGAGAAGTCGAATGCAAAATGCAATTTCATTCCAAAAGTTTCATTTCTCAGCAAAAGTCTGTTTACTTTGGTACGTATAAAACTCTCGAAATACAATTTAGTAGCTAGTTCCTTTATATGTGTACATATATGTTCAACACTTGTAACTAGAACCGACGATGAGCGTACCTACCATAGAAACAAATAAGAGAATCACAGATTAGTGATGAAGTGGTTATCACCGATAATCAGTACATCTGTATTTCATAGCGCCTGTTACACACACACCTACACACACACATAATCAGATGAATTTTTTTCGTGTTATCATTTACTTTCAGTATAACACATAACACTTGTATGTCCACTTTTGTTATCTTTTACTTCAGTATTACACTTGTATGTCCATCGTTGTCATCTTTTATCTTCAGTATAACACTTGCATGTGCCACCGTTTTACACTAATCTTTTGTACAACATTTAAATAATTACTGTAGAACAGACCTGGAATGTTCCGCTGTTGTCACCATTTATTTTCAGCACAACACCTGTATTACCGATGTTAACCTGGCCTGGAATGGGTTTGGTTTTGAAGGGTGTTCCGCAATGTCCGAGGCCTTACGTCAGAACACCACGCTTACCAGGTTAAATATGGCGTGCAACAGAGTCCATCCTCCCGCCATGTTGGAACTGACCAGAGGTCTCTGTATGAACAAGTGCCTTCTCGTCTTGGACGTACGTGTCGACTAGCTAGTTATACATATCTGCTTAGGTCTGATTTTTTAATGAATTATTTCCTGAAGGTTACAGTTCTTCAATCTCTCATTCCATTATCCGCATATAGCGGAAACAATCTATTTTGAAAGGGTAATAAATATGTCATTAAATTTTTCCTCCAGGACTGAATTATCAGATTCTCTCTCGCCTACAGACCATAACGGTTTTTCTCCAGAATCAACTTATTAATTTCTCTCTCGTCTACAGTTTATAACATTTATTCCTCCGGGATTGACTCTAATATCTTGTCTACAGTCTATAACAGTGGTCCGTCAGGACTGACTAATGAGTGTCTCTCTCGTCTACAGTCTATAACAGTGGTCCGTCAGGACTGACTAATGAGTGACTCTCTCGTCTACAGTCTATAACAGTGGTCCGTCAGGACTGACTAATGAGTGTCTCTCTCGTCTACAGTCTATAACAGTGGTCCGTCAGGACTGACTAATGAGTGTCTCTCTCGTCTACAGTCTATAACAGTGGTCCGTCAGGACTGACTAATGAGTGACTCTCTCGTCTACAGTCTATAACAGTGGTTTTTTTTAATATATATATCTCTCAGTTACAGTCTATAACAGTGGTCCGTCAGGACTCACACCTCTCTCGTATATAACAGTGTTCCGTCACTGACTAATGAGTGACTCTCTTGTCTACAGTCTATAACAGTGGTCCGTCAGGACTGACTAATGAGTGACTCTCTCGTCTACAGTCTATAACAGTGGTCCGTCAGGACTGACTAATGAGTGACTCTCTCGTCTACAGTCTATAACAGTGGTCCGTCAGGACTGACTACAGTCTATAACAGTGGTCCGTCAGGACTGACTAATGAGTGTGTCTCTCGTCTACAGTCTATAACAGTGGTCCATCAGGACTGACTAATTAGTGTCTCTCTCGTCTACAGTCTATAACAGTGGTCCGTCAGGACTGACTAATGAGTGACTCTCTCGTCTACAGTCTATAACATTTTTCGTCTTATGTAATTTATTACCTTTACCGTTACTGCTGCCTCGTGATCTAGGTTTCTTTTAAGGTCTTATTATGTTTTTTTTTATATACATTTCAGTTAAGTAATAACCCTATCACACCCATATATACCACCATCCTTATCAACGCTATCAAGAAATGCCCCGAGATGTCGCTACAGTTACTTCGTCTGGAGGTATGCTATAATGTCTTATTTGCTTACACACTTTTTCTATATTGTATGACAATCTTCTATTCCTTGACAACTATCTATATGTTACAATCACTTGGTAGATACTTTGTTACTGAAAGAAATAACACCTCATGACACATGTAGCCCTATATCTCACACACCTATCTATGTTGCCGAAATTTGTGCTCATCTTCCTTGGTTGCATAGTATCTAAATAGTTTGTAGGAATACAAAGTTTTATTTTTGTCATTAAGGTACACGAAGTCTGGTTGTAGCTTGATTTACTGTGTTCCTTGATGGTATCATTGAGGATTTTATAACGGGTAGATGAGATCATTATCTTAATACTGCTCACTTATAAACCTTCGCTTTTTCTTGTCTGGTAAAAATATATAATTATTCGGAATTTGTTTAATTTTAGAAACTTTTCCTTTCTTGTGATAGTTGTCTATCGCATGTTGTCATCGTTGCGCAAATGTAGGGAGAATACAACAGTGTGTCAAGAGATATTAATACATTTACAATACATTGGGAGAATATAACACTGTGTCATTATATATCAATATATTTACAATATATAAGTCAGATGTCATCATAACAGCAGATTTTTTTCTTCAGAAAATTGTGGTCGATAAGCCATTTGTAGACACATTAACTGAGCTGAAACAACAACGGGGTTTCGACGCAGTGTACGAGTTGGCACTTCCGGTAAAGAGTATCTCGGAGGACAAGATGCGGAAGGAAATCCAGGCCCCATCTGTATTCAACATGGACCCACTTAAGTTGTTGTACATGCTCAAAGAGAAGAATCGTGCCCAGGATTTCTTTAGACGGATCAACAAAGACAACGACGATTCTGTGTCTCCTGAGGAAATCAAACAACTGTTCAAAGTAAGGCTACTTCCGTATTCACAAATATAATTAATCCGTTCTTATTATTTATAAAATTCTTAAAAATGTAGACTTCCTTGGTACAACTCATGAAATATTAAACATTCATTATTAATCGCAATCTCTTTCATCGTCATCAAAATATTTGGGTCAGTGTTGCTACTCCAAAATATTTCGAATAATTAGTTTTTGTTTTTCAAAAAAATATTTTCTAGCGACTCAGTTCGATAGCCTGAAATTACTGGATTGTGGACTGGAAAGCCACACTTTCCGCATAACATAAACACGCGTGTTAACTTTATTTCTAGGAATCTGGCGTACCTGTGTCTGATATGGTTATCGAAAAAATTGTAAATTTCCTGGACGAGGATGGAGACGGACATATCGACATGAGGTAATAACATGCTTATATACTTTTAGTACTATGGTCACATAATACCGTGGAAAATATTCTTAATTTTCGTTTTACAATGAGATTTACAACACATAAAAGAATGTATAACTACTGTCAAATATAAATTTCGGTATACTGATATGTTGTCTGTCACAGACAAGATAAATATAATTTCATTACGTGTTTAAAGAAGCAGAGCGATTTTAAGACACTTGACGTGAATCTTCCGTCTAATCGTGTTTGTTGAAGTCTGTGGAGCTGATTTGGTAAGCTGTTGTTGAGTGAATGGTGCTTCTGTGATGTTTGTAGGTCGGATTAGCTGTTGTTTTTATAGTTACTTCGTCAAACGAGAAGCTTATTTTGCCTATAAAACAATTGACAGTTTTCAAGTGGTTGCCGTTTCAGTCTTTTGATTCCTCCCAAAACATGACCCACCCATGGATGCTAAACGATGCATCCAGTGAACATGAATTTGACACAGTTATTTATTGGAGCATCTGTTTCAGTTTTATCTCAAACTTATAGGAGGTTTTATAAGATAACATAAAATGTCATACTTTTCTCCCTATTCCCTGGCCACCGAGAAGGTGTGGACCAAGGATTTTGCAATTTGTTTGACATTTCAGGTATTGATGCGCGTGATTAAGTTTGGTTCGTTTATCCGGTGGTTCTTGAAGCAGTGAAAACGTTAGCAATAACAGACCTTTAACCCAGTGGCCTTAAAACCTGGGGAAATCTTTATGACATTTTCTAAAACTTACAAATACATAATTAGTTATCTGTTTTCAAAGAAACCAGAATTGTATTGCTGTTTCAATACTTTTCTCCGTCAAAAATTTGATTCATCCTTCCAACTACATCCAGCTATCGTATTGCACTTTTGCTTTGGTTAGTCGCTGACATTACAACCACATTAAACATTTGTTTCAAATATGTCTCCAACTATAGAAGAAGATTTGATAAAAAAGAATAACTTGCTATTTCATTGTTTGGCTTCATCTTCACCGGAGCTCAAGTAATGAGCACCACAGACATTGGGAATTTGATTCATTTAAGTGTCGATGCTTGTGACCAAGTTTTATTGGAATCAGCCCGGCGAAAATTCGTTAAGTTTCAAATATTGTTTATGTACTATGCCTTATTAATGTATGAAAGTGGATATCAGTACCCGTGAAATACACTTTCACGAATTATGGTTTCTGTTCCAGGGAATTTCTTGCCGGCGACAAGAAGATGAGGAAGATGTCTAGAGACACCAGAAAGACGGGAGACGAAGACATGAATAAGTATTCACGTTCATTCAGGAAAGGAAATATCGATCCAATGACATTCAGACTAAAGGTGTCGAACGCGCCCAATCTCTTGTCCCCCGTGATGTCTCGAGAGTCATCCCCGAATGGCCAAAGAAAACTGTCTAGTTGAAACAAGGTCCTAGACAGTCGAAATTAATCAATCCTGGACTAGAAAGACAAGGGGACTCTCTTTAGAGAAGTACCTTTGGTCTGTGTGTCTATGTTGATAATGGATATCTAAGAGCGGATGATCGACTCCCGAGAAAACATAGAATTATCAACAATCCTGTTGGTAATTAACGGCTGCTAAATACCTGTATATTTGATTTTGGACAGATAAACAAAAACAACACGAATAGATGTGTGGAGGCCTGAAGCACAAGGGAGATAACTCCGCCATTCTTCTTCTTGATTGTTGTGTCCCACCTTTTGTATTGTCAAACATTAACAAGTATCACGTCGGAATACAATTACTAGGTACAGCAGAGTCATTACCTTTCATCAGTATTTGATCATTAGCATATAATGCATTGCATGCCATGTAGTTCAAGCTCCATGTCCTATCTGAATTGTTTTTTGTGTCAAAGACATTAGAATCTTATGATACAAATTAAATATATATAATTTTTTTTGTTTTTGTTTGTTTGTTTTTTGTTTTTTGCAGTGTTATCTAATTTTGTTGGTTTCTTACCTCTCACCTATAGGCGTTATAACCGTCGTAATTTATGTGTTTCCTTATTATCACTTCAATACATATGTTTTGTTTTCCTTAGTTAATACGAAGATGTTAAACTCTGAACAACACAAACAAAATCTTCAATTACTGCACTTTAGAGGATGGACTATAATAAAATTAACGAACATTAGACCTCAACGCATTCGGAGTAGATGGAACAGAATTATGTTTTTTAAATCTGTGTGTAATGTTTCGTGGGTATGTTTGTTTTATTTTAAGATGGCATTGAACACAAAATAAGTGACTTTAATTTAAAAATAAACATTTATAGTGAAATACATATCTATCTGCGATCTATAACTGCTACCCATCGGTCAGGTTTAGGTCTTTGTTGAAAATGCGAGATGACACCTTAAGTCATTTCATATAGATTGTTGTTGTCATTTGCAACACGTGAGGACTGTAGATGAGATATCGATGGGTGATACAAATTATATCGTGAGAGTGTTTGACCTTATTGGAAGACTAAATAGTTACGGATTAAATCATCTCCAACAACATTGTCTTCTGACTCGGTCTGATATTTCACCGATTATCATCATATACAAATCAATTAAAATACTTCACAGGTTGTCATATCACACTTAAGATATACTTATGTGGTAGATAAACGTTTAACTAATCTACTGTTTAACGTAAGCCGCCACGAACATCCCTACAATTCTATATAGTTGAATGAGGTTGACCACGAAAAGTTTTAACCCGATTATAAATAAGCCCTTGTATGTGGCTAATCATTGCCACTTTTCATTCGTGTAAACCTGAGCGAGTCCAACGATTCAATATTTTATTGACAATGCCACAACAATTAATTTTCTTAACGATCAACTCCAATTCATTAAAATTAAAATGTTGTCTGTTTTTTTTACATCTTATATAAAGAAACAACACATTTTAAAGATACTTGCATCAATTAAAGAATAACGGGTTGTACTATAATGGTTACTTTCAGCCTCTGTATATATTATATTATAATGTTTCGGATAAGGAACATATGTCGTTACTAATAAACTAAAGTAATTAGTCTCATTAATACCCGTATAAGTATCAACATATGGTAGTTATATATGTAGGTATACCTGTACCTGTTTAATATCTTTACATACTGTAATCCTTTAAGGCTGGAGGCTGTTCTTAATTTCCTATCCAAGGTTTTATATTTCATTCATTAATTGCAGTCATGCATTAAACACGTATAACACTGCTTAGCTTTCATATTGAAGCCAATATGTACAATATGAAGTAGACTTAGGAATTTGTGAAAAACAAAATGATCAGTGGGTGATGTTGGATATGGATATTGCTAAAAATCTGTTATGATAACTGAACACGTAACATGACCTTTGGTTGCACACTTTTTAGTCCTCAAATCTCCAAAGATTTGTTTTTTCGGGTGGAGATATAGACACATCGTTAATATCTCTATGAATAATCCATCTCGTTTACTGTTATTGTAAAATATTTACTGAATATTTGTCAGTAATGTGTTTTCTATGTATCCCAATACCTAAAAGTAATATAAAATATTGATTAGGGTCCAAATGATATAAAGACGTTTTCTCGCATTTACGTTTATATATAAAAATAGTATTAATACGTGTAGTAAATTATGGAATCGTGTCGACTGAAAGCCGGTTTTAATTAAATTTTTCCTATTATTCATTTTAAAACACACATAGCTTTAATGATTTATAATAGTCACGGATCTTAAACATAAATGTTGATAAAAACGTCACGTGTGAGAAGGTTAGTAACTGCCATCAATAGGCATTTGGTGTATTTTCACGGAAACACGAAATCGTGTCTTAGTTAACAGATAAAAACGTTCATTCGTTTATAAAATTATTAAATACCTTATCACTATGTCAATAATTCCTTCGCTGTTTCAAAACAACAGAAACGACAAAAACACAGCACAGGGTTTCCAGAGAAGCAGATTGAACATTGGAATGTTTTACAGTCTTCACAAAGATCTCATTGGGACATTTTCGTTGTGATATTGTGTTAGACGTTTTGATACTCATTAGTATGCTGAGTGGTTCCATTATTGTTTACTTACTCTTATTGATTACAATGTACATGGTTTATGTTGTCGATGAATCAGAATACGCTAACCCTGCTGAACACCTGGTCTTATTCTTCTTGTACTTTTTTGTTAATACTGTAATCCTTTAAGGCTGGAGTTATGTTATGTACAGTTATGTTAATATTTCTTTTGGTATAATTTTGCCATCGGTTCATTGAATTTGTTTTTGAATTAAGATTGTGTTAATATGTCGATATTTTCTTTGTTGTTATTAACCAATGTAAACTAATTGATCCCTTAATCCTTTTGTAAATCACAACATCAACATCACCGTTGATGCCATTTTCTACCTGTACCTTAATATCCGTAGTCAGTATTAGCACTTGTTTTCGTGAAACTACACGAATATAAATTATCAGTTTTCAGGATATACGCAAGCGTTAAGCTTATATCAATCATCCTTGTTGGTCCAGATGGAAGCGCGCGATGGGTGTCTTTCTGTAGAAGAAACCGGAGTATTCGGGAAAATCCAACGCGGTCTGGCAGGTGACTCCGTACATTTCCCGTCCGTTCGTGGGGTCTTACCCCGGACGTCACGGTGAAAGGCGAGTGCGTCATCACTACGCTACCCGACCTTCCATTTCGGCACCCCCGTTGAAAATAATTAGTGTAAACATGCTAAATAAATCAACTTTGTAACTCAGCTTTTTATAATGGTGGAATAGGACTTTTTATAATGGTAGAATAGGACTTTTTATAATGGTAGAATAGGACATTTTATGATGGTAGAATAGGACTTACAGATATACATATATGATGACATTGTGATCTTTTTGTCATATTTTGATTTCGATATATATCCCCTTAACTATACACTGCACAGTAAGATATATATCGTAATTTCTATGATCATATGCATTTTAAACACAATATGTTGTTCGTTCACAATACCACCTCTATAACGATAGTATCGAACGAATTTTGCGCTTTGTATGGAGGAAATTCGCGTTACGCCCAGTCAATGTACCAGTATGTGCCGTAATGCCTTATTAAATGTCGAAACATAAGCATCAGATTATTATGTATTAATAAACAAAGAATCACTTCTGATTGCTCAAGAGACCTTGAACGTACCGAGTTCCCGAATATAAAAGGTGTGAGTGTGGCATTGTTAAGGCTTATACAATATTACCTGTGTATACAAATGCAGAACCATAATCATTACTGATAAAATCAGCTTTCACTCCTTTCACTAATAGATTAAGTAATAGTGAATTACTGTGCCAGATGACTTCAGAATCAATGTAATGCTATATTTTGATTAAGTACATAGTTGTTAATACGATGTAAAGACGACTTAATACGATTTAAGTATTTCCTGATTCTAGTCGAACCGCTCACTGACATGTTGGGATCAATGGACCATATCGACTATTTAAGTCCCAAGTTCAATATGGTTTAAATGTCCTTGTCAAAGTATACAGACCGTAATGGATGTTTTTAATTCCCTAACTCAACTCACTTAAATCAGAAAAGCACGTTTTGGTTTTTCGTCTATCAATTTTGTTTTTATCTCAAACGAAAACGATAACGAGTAAATATTAGTAGTATTTGGTGTTCTTTGTCGGTAAAACTCACACTTGACTGGAGACTTGCCGGGTGATGTGACAGCAAGGAGGGCGTGACTAAATCAGAGAGACAACAGTACCAGTTACACGTACCCGAACAACACGCCTGACAAACATGGGACGAGGTCTTCATTGAAATTATTGCTCTGTAAAATAATGAAAAACGAAACATAATGTAGTAAATATATTTCATGGCGGCTGTTTGGTGTGGAGATGGATGATATTACATCACACAGACCTGGATTCGACTAGTTTGGTGGAGTACAAGCCGCAGTGATATCACCTTAGATGTGAATAGCAGCACGGATATTCTCCCTGGATGTACCAAAACTGATACTTACTTACGGTTGCGTGATCAAAATGGAAGGAGAACTATACGATCAAGGTTTGCAGTAGAGTCAGAATTATTTATCTTTTCTGTACTTCACAACAAATATATAGAAAGGAAATTAATAAGAATATACAGGTGTGCTCATTATTCAAGCACCCCCATTGAATGTCATTAACTCTTTAAGGCGATTTAAGTAGATGGACACTCCTAATTCTTTTATCGTGTCTAACCTCATTTAAACATAGTAAACACGTGCTTTTATTTCTTGTTGACTTTGGTGTTAATTATGATAGGTTAGAGTCCATAGTCTTTTGCTGAAAGTGTAGAAATGTTTGCGGACGTGTGATCATATTATAAAGCATATTTGCAATTCGTTCAGATGTTGACGTATATGATAATTTACAAGATATAAGGTTTTCTGCAAGCATAGCATCTCCTACACCTATCAACATTTAGAGGAGCTGTTCAGATAGTTTGCGGATATATCAGTGCTCTTTGTATATGTTGACATCTTGAATAAATAAACACCAGTTAAACTGTCACCATTGAGCTATAGCAAAATATGACGACATAATTTCTATTTTTATTTCATTTTCCGATGCATAGGGATATTTTCTTACCATTTTTCTTTTTTCAAAACCCCGTACTAAACATATTGTAAATGAATATACATATCGACGAGAAACAAATCTGATGCCGTGTAGTAGATACAACCAGATTAGTAAAAAGATAATCCCCAAAATATAATTAACAAGGCATAGTTCAGGAAAGAAAACAAAATGTTTGTGTTTAATTTGAATGTTTCATAAACCAACCATTGTTAAAATGTACAAGAG